CTTAATTTGATACAAGTTAGCCATATTATTATTTATTGTTTTAATTAGGCTCCTTATCACTGAAGAGTCCTCTGCAGAATTTGCTAATGTCTAGAAAAAATGTACATACTTTCTTTTTCCTTTCATATTTTTTTTATCAAAGAAAATCAGTGTTATTTATGATTGAATGAATATTAACATGAAATGTACAGTACATATAATCATTGTGAAATGACAAATAATATTAACCATAGATAGTTTTCTTAGAAGGCTGTAAGTTGAGAGCTGAGGAATTAGCAATTTGTAGGAATGATCAGGGTACTGTAGTTAAATAGTATGGTCTACAGTATATATATATATATATATACAGTAGTATGTCTTCACTAGTGTGAAATTTGATGAGGAAATTCAAAGCAATAGTGATATTCACTGCAGAAATAGTGAAATATTTAGTGCTTAATGTGCAATGTTTGAATTTAACCAGAGCACCTTTGTTGTTATAAATGCCATTGCACATGAATACAAGCGTGTTGCTATATTAACTGTGATATGATAGTGATGGCATTGTAACTTTAAATTTAGTTTTGCTACCACTATATCATAATAGTAGTCTAATGACATCCATCAATGATTTTATTTTTTGGGTATTGTTGGCAATTTATTTACAGTAGTGAAAAAGAGTTTTGTCACTGGATGTAATGGTGATATATTGACCACTTTGTTCTCTCTTTAAGCAATATATTCACATGATAAACATTGTTCTTTGGTATAGTGACCTGATCAACCAGGCTGTGAGCAACTGCATTGAACAGCCTGGTTGATCAGACCAGCAACCAGGAGACTAGGTCAGAGACAGGGCCATGGACACATTGATCCTTAGAATCAACATGCAGGACAGTATTTGCCCTGTGCGCATTGTACTGTTTTTAAGTTTAGTAGATATGAATACTGTGTTTGGCCCTAGGACTATATTTTAAAAGTTTTTGGATGAGAAGTAGAATCAAAATTTTATATACAGTACTGTATTTAATGTTCATAAACAAAATTGCTATACAATATTATGTTTGTCAGATTGATCTTGTATATTCGGTTGTGAACTTGTGTAGAAGTTAAAAAAAAACTGCTAAACTTGATGTTAACTTATTGAAACTGCATATCTTGAAGATCTGCAGAATATTTACCTACCTTTTACTGAAGGAGATCTTGTGCTACAGTAAGTGTAAAATATGTTCTTATGGCACCTTGCTTGGGAGACTTGCTGTTGTTGTTCATGGAGCACAGTCAACCTGGAACTGGTTTCTTCAGTCTTGCAGTGGTGGTTGTCAGCCTTTTCCCAGAGATGGTAGACATGTTCAGTTAATTACCTGAGTTACCGAGTGTATTAATAGTGTCGGTTATATGAACATTATCAGATTATAATACTTCATGAATCTGAAGGCTTTCATATTCATAAATAATTATGAACATTTCTATTTTTTTGGTCACTACCTATTTTGGCTTCCTTAAATTTTGCTAGTAAATTTTTTTTTTTTTTAAATATTTGTTTCTTTTACCTGAAGAACATGAAAGATTTTTAGATCAACTGAAGCAAGTAGACAAGAGATCTACCTGAAAAGGACCACCCTAACTTCACTCCTTCGTGGTTGCTTCAATGACCCGAAGGATTGTCAAGGGAGATTTCTGAAGTGCCTCTTGGCTTAAGGAGAAATGAGATTAAAACAAATTTCAGTGCAATCCCACCTCCGTGTTGGCTGTGCATGGGGACAATTTCTAGTTTCGCTTTATGCGGAAGCTAAATCTGCCAAGAAACTTGCAGCTCCTGGTGTATTGAGATAAAATAACAAGACCAGTGTGGCCTAGCTGAATCAGTTTGTTGGTCTTGGGGTCAAGCGGGTACAATTGAGACGTTCACATACCTATTCGTTAGCAAGTAATTATCAAAAGAAGGCACCAAACCAGGAAGGCTATGTAGCACCATCAAATGTGCAGAATTATTAGAGGGCGCTAAATATCACCAAGGATGCCAATACGAGAACAGAAACGCATAAGGCGAACAATATCAAAAGTATCCGATTCACCAAGAAGTCTATCTAGGGAGAAGTGACCGGGAGGGACAGTCGGAAAGCAAGACACACACTCATCCTGGGTGTCGAGACATTCAACAAGGATATGCACGACTGTAAGAGGGACAATGCAATTTGGACAATAAGGAGCTGGGCGGCGCTCCATTAAGTGACCGTGAGTTAAGCAAGTATGGGCAAGATGCAACCTTGCTAGAGCCGTTTCCCACAGCCGGTTACGGTGGCAGGAGGAAGGCCACGTGGACACACAACGCTTAAGAGTACGCAGTTTGTTACAAACAACCCTGCCAATGGGCAAGGATGGAGGAATAAATAACCGGGTAAAAGTCTGAATAAGGAATACCTTTACGGCAGATGGGACAAGAGCGGATAGCTTTCCGAGGTGCAGCATCCGCACGTTCATTTAAAGAAACACCAATATGGCTGGGAACCCGGCAAAACTCTACGGATTTAAATTTACTAGAGATAAGAAACAGCCAATATTCTATCTCAACAACCACCGGATGGACAGGATTAAAGGACCCGAGAGCCATGAGGGCACTGGGAGAGTCAACTATGTACAATCACAAAGGAGGATTGACAATGAGAAAGCAGGAGACAGAGAGCATAGAGAATAGCACAATGTTACACTGTGAAGATGCTAGTCTCTGAAGGGCGGCAACACATATACGTGCGGTCAAGAAAAACAACAGAGTAGCCTACATACCGTCCACAGACTTAGACCCATTAGTGAAGATATAAACGAAGCGGGAGTGTGAAGAAAAGTGCTCAAGGAAAAAGCGTTGCAGAACTGTAGGAGGGGTAAAAGCTTTAGTGATCCCGGTCAGGAAAGTACAAAATTTTGGATGGGGGACTCTCCGCGGGGGCAAGGAAGGAACAATACGAGGAAACACATTAGAAATACAAACGTAAAAAGAATCCTGTAAGCGAGACAGCCAGACAGAAAGAGGGAGGCGGTGAAGAGGAACAGGAGCTACAGGAGGGGTAAGAGTCAAAGCACGACAGAGGCGAGAGGAAGGATGTTGCAAGGACCACGCCAGACAGCAAAGACAGTAGCAATCACAGCGGTCCTGGAGACAGGAAGTCAGTGTCAACATACAAGCTGAGGGTGGGAGTCGAACGAAAGGCACCAGAGCTGAGGCGCAACCCAGCATGGTGCACAAACATACAGTGCTAAAGTATATAACCATTCTGGCTTGGCAATTTATTTTGATAATTTGCAGGTACTGTACTTACTGGGAAAATAATAAGCATGACGATATATTTAACCAGTGTAGGTTAAGCTTTTTAATTTTAATCGGGCACTTCCTATTAGAGAGAATATTACAGTATTACTAGATTTTACAAAATTATTCGCCAATGATTTGAACTTACTTGGCCCTGCCTATTTAGGTTACATCTCCAACTTTACTCAAAATAAAAATAAAATCATATATACATGTACAATACATTCTCATCTATTTTAGTGACAATATGATTGAAAATAAAATGAAGTTTCGACTGAATAGTACTTGGCTAAACACAAGTATCCTGAAGAAACATGCCTTGTGTCATCCACAAAATGTGTTCCTGTTGAAAATACAATAATTACTTGTTCCATTTTTTCTACAATAACGGTATTTCTCGCTAAAAGTCTGACATTCCTTAGTTACTGTACCGTGAGTGGGAAAAAAAAAGTTTTTAAAACATAAGCCACGTTAACAAAATGGTGAGAATTCAATCAACAGCAACCTGAATGTATTTGAAGAAACAATAATTCTCCCAAAAAATTATTGGAGCAAACGTTGTAGTGACACTAAGTCAAGTACGGGTCAGTAATTGGGTGGGTGACCTTACAAACAGCCTTACTCTTGACTAGAAGAACTTTAGCAAGCCTAACAGGCTTCCTGTCTCCCAATAACAGCAGGCCTATTCCACTATAAAAAGGTTACATTGCTAATTATTGAAATGGTAAAATTGTTGACAACTAGTTAAGTAAGATTTTAGACTTTGAAATGAGCAAAGTCCTGGGAAACAGATACTTATACGAGATAACAGAAGCAAGTAAAGAATTGAGAAAAGAAATAACATTAAACTGATCATAACATTTCTTAAACAGTTTTATAGATGCTACTGTTTGTTCTGCAAATGATTTATATACATTAAATATAACTCTGAGGAATATACACCTAAACTTTTTTCTTTAAACACTAAATTATGCACAAAATTTACACACTTTTTTATTTAAGTGACAATAAGAAAAACTCGCTCATTAAACTTGCCAAAAACAAAAAGTAAACCTGGAGAAAGGGAGATGAGGAAGTAAGTGAGGAGAGAAAATTGTACAAAACTAGTGGGAGGAGAGACGACGAGAAGTGATCAAGAACAGCAAAAGCTTGAGAAAAGAGGGCAACATACGGGAAGAGATTGAGAGTAAATTTATTTTACATTTGTAAGTTTATTCCTTTTTTAATTAATATTGTTTAGATGACTTTAAAAAATCAACACATGCAGAGTTACCCAAATAATTTTATCCATAACCTGCATCTTTTATACAAATAAGTAATTATCAAAAGAAGGCGCCAAGCTGGGAAACTATGTAGCACCATCAAATGTGCAGGATATTCAAAAGGCACTAAATATCACCAAGGGTACCAATACTAGAACAAAAAGCGCATAAGGCGAACAATATCGAAGTTATCTAATTCACCAAGGATTCTATCAAATCTTTTATACAAAATTTCCTTGATCATATTTACGTACAATATTTCAAATGAAATATATAATGATAGTATTGCATAACCTTTTGTGTGGCATGTGGGGTTGCAGGTTTCCTAACATAGTCGCTCAATTAGAACACCTTCCCGCGAAAATATTAATGTGTTCATTCAGGTTAAAATGTTTAAATTTTCTTCCACAGCTTGAACATGATACAAAATTATTTTTGTGTTCTTTACTGACTAAGTTTGATACAAGATCTGTCTTGATGCTCTTCTGCGAATTTACATATGGACGTGCTCGGGCGCAGGATTTATCCTTAACAAAATTTCCTCGTATCTTTTTCTGTGCTGGGGATTTACTTTCCACTGAAACAGGGTTTGCAAGATGTATTTTACGTTTAAATGAATTACAATGATTGGTATCTTCATAGGTTTTGTATATTTGATCACTAAAGAACTCCTCCAAATCATGACAATTGCCATGCCTTTGCCTCCATTTCATATTTTCCTGCACATAAGGCAATTTTTTTATTTTAAGTACAGATTTCTTATTAAAATTGAGAAATCTCTCTTTCAATTGCCAATCTTGGTGTGTTGCATTATTTATGTTGCTAGATGCATTTCTTTTACATTCACCTTCTCTCACATAACCATTGGAACACTGCTTATTTATACATGCAAGACTATTTGTTGCATAACAGGCTTCTATACTGTTGATATATTCATAAGCATAATCTTGGCCATCAATCACCTTTTCTCTTTTGATGCTTCCCTCAACATATTCATCCTCTTTACATATCTTGTTTTCTTTACCATGTTTATTTCTATTATCCATAGGGTAAGCATGTTTCTTTTGGGAGGAGAGAGTGTTGTCCTCATGTGAGAACTGACAAGAATTCAGTTGTCCGCAAACATTAATAATTTTATCACAATCACACTTTACATATAGCTTTGAGCTGTTACAATGCTTACTTGCATCTACACCATTATGAAGATGATTTATAGTCTTATGAAGACTGACAGAATGATGTGAGGAACATTTATGACAGGCTTCATGACCCGATGACCTGTTTAAATTGGCAGTGTAAGCCAAAGGCATGTTGAGACTAACAGCTTGAAATGGTGATTTACAGGGATTGACAGCGAATGGAAAGTTACTAGTGTTTGTAATATTTATTAGGACACTGCTTAAATTAGTAGAATCTGGGGACCTGCTGGGACTGTCAAGACATGAAAATTTGTTTGAATTAATAGGATGATTGGCAGGCCTGCCGAGATTAGCACACTGACTGGGAGACCCGCTGGGGTTGATACACTGCTTGGGAGACCTGCTGGGGCTGAGGCACTGACTGGGAGACCTGCTGGGGCTGACGCACTGACTGGGAGACCTGCTGGGGCTGACGCATCGATTGGGAGACCTGCTGAGGCTGAGGCACTGACTGGGAGACCTGCTGGGGCTGACGCACTGACTGGGAGACCTGCTGGGGCTGACGCATCGATTGGGAGACCTGATGGGGCTGAGACACCGAATGGGAGACCTGATGGGACTGAGACACCGAATGGGAGACCTGATGGGGCTGAGACACCGAATGGGAGACCTGATGGGGCTGAGGCACCGAATGGGAGACTTGCTGGGGCTGAGGCACCGATTCTGAGACTTGCTGGGGCTGAGGCACTGATTGGGAGACCTGTTGGGACTGAGGCACCGACTGGGAGACCTGCTGGGGCTGACACACCGATTAGGAGACCTGCTGGGGCTGACGCACCGAATGAGAGACCTGCTGGGGCTGACGTACTGATCGGAAGACCTGCTGGGGCTGATGCAGCGATTGGGAGACCTGCTGGGGTTGAGGCACCGATCGGGAGACCTGCTGGGGCTTAGGCAGAGATTGGGAGACCTGCTGGGGCTGATGCAGCGATTGGGAGACCTGCTGGGGTTGAGGCACCGATCGGGAGACCTGCTGGGGCTTACGCAGAGATTGGGAGACCTGCTGGAGGTGACACACTGATCGAGAGACCTGCTGAGATTTGCACACGAATCATTTGACCTACTGGGGCCGATATACCGATTGGGAGACCCTTTGCAACAAAAACACTGATCAGGAGACCAGCTGTGGCCGACACACCGATCAGGAGACCTGCTGCAGCCGAGACATGGATCAGGAGAATTACTAGGGCCAACATACAGATCTTGAGACTTGCTGGGACTGATGCACTGATTGGGAGAACAACTAGAAGTAACATTAAAATCAGATAAATTGCTTGGGTTACTGGTGTTAGTAATTGGCTTGCTAAAACTATGGTCAGATGACCTGCTGGGATTGACATACTGTTCAGAAGATCTGATGGGACTGTCACCATGATAGACCCTATTGGAGAACAGAATGGTATTAGAGGAGCTAATGTTATTGTTAGAAGTTTTGTGATGACTAGCACTGTGATCAGTGGTCCTGTTATTATGAAGACTGTAGTCATGGGGCTTAGTAAGGTTATAATCATTATCGGAGCATTTGAGAGATATGACATCATAGTAACGTGGTGTTTTATTACAGACACGAGATATTTCTTTAGGGATATTCCAATGAGAAGAAAGCCTACCATTAATATCACCTTCCTGAAATGCTTTTACCAGACCAGTACTGTGTTTTCTATTCACCCTGTTACCTTCTTTGCCAAGGGTTTGGTCAGATGGTGTGTAGTTTATTTTGTCATTTTTCTGATTGTTTATCTTGGCTTTCTTCAGACATCTCGGTTCATGTTGAAGGCATTTCCTTGCAGTTTTGAATTCATTACCCCGTTGCTGAAGATCTGGCTCTGGTCAGATGAAAGAACATTTTAGTACTGCATAAGTTTAAGTACTGTATGACTAGTTAAATGTTTATTACTTGAAATCAAAGATTATGCCCACAAATTTTAGAAAAGAACCAAGATGATTCAGACAGTGGCTTTCCAGAAAAAAAAACAACGCTTGCACAAACTCTAAATTGAGAGTCAATGTATGAGTTGTAGGAATGTCATAGCATGAAGGCGCTAGTATTTTTGTGTAAATTTCCGGAGGAATTAATAATAATAATACAGTAATAATAATACATACTGTAGTTCATTGTCGGGAAAAGAGGTAGCCAGTTTATACATGTTAGGCTTATATCGAGGTCTGTGGGGAAGACTGACTAGTGCAATTATATTATTAACTTTAATTACTATTATTAATTTAATTATTAAATGATTTATATTTTGTTTCTATATTAATTTATTTATTATGATAGTGGACTATATGATTTCTAAATTTCCCACAAGGAATTGGTGGGAAGGTGACACCCCTTGTGTTAACACCTACATCAGAGGAACTCTAGGATATTTCAAAATGCCTAAGTCTTGTAGAACAGGTTGGTGATAGTGAGTGGTGTCCCAAGAAACATAAAGGTGTAGTGCTTTGAAAAATAGGGGAGATAACACAAATGTGCCAAGAGAAGTGAACAAATTGGATGAGAAAAAGTTGCCCTAGTATTAGTCTCTGTGGTGTAGTGGTAAGACACTCACCTGGCGTTCCACGAGCACTATGTCATGAATTCGTATCCTGGCCGGGGAGGATTTACTGGGCGCAATTTCTTAACTGTAGCCTCTGTTTAACGCAACAGTAAAATGTGTACTTGGATGAAAAAACGATTCTTCGCGGCAGGGGATCGTATTTCAGGGACTTGCCCGAAACGCTACGCGTACTAGTGGCTGTACAAGAATGTAACAACTCTTGTATATATCTCAAAAAAAAAAAAAAAAAAACAGTGCAGGCAACAAAATTAAAGATGGCCGCCAGCAAGAGAGAAAACAAAACAGAGCTAGATTTTAATGGTTTCACTGAAGAAAACACTGATATAAGCATATAAGCAGTCTACAAAACAAGTTGGCAAAATTAGATATTATAGTGAACTATCATGTAGAAATAATCAGCAAATTGAAAAAAAGTAATGACCACTTGAGTAGAAAAAATTAGGTCTTGAGGGGGTTAGTGAAAGACTTGTGCAAGGACAAGAATTAATTGGCAACAAATTGCAAAGCCATGGAAGAGGAAAATAAATGATACATCTTGATTGCTTTTTTGTACATCATGGAAAGCTGACGCCCTGATGTGCTGACCAAGTTGGCTGAATCAGCTGGGAACAGGTCCACACCAGACTTCCCCACAACAGTGTAAAATGCCCCCCTTCTGATTCAGTTGTATATATACCCCTGTATGATAGTTAGGAGATAGAGAGAGTGCTGGAGAGGCTGCAGCCTCTCGTTTTCTGTTGCCAGACGGATGAGTTCCTCCTCAACCTTATCCATGTCTGTCCCCTCTCTTCTCTTCCGTCCTCCTCCCCTCCTTTCTTCCTTACTTTGCTTTACTTTTTCTCAATCACAGAGTAGATAGAGAAAACCAGGTGTTACAGAAGTTACACAGGGAATAAAACAGTGCAAGAAGGATATGCAACTCGCCTATGCCCAAGTGGCCAAGGAGCAGAAAAAAATAAAAGCAACAGTAAAGGAAGCCAAACACTGCAGCAACCAGGATAAAACAAACATGAGGCTGGAAGTCAGAAAGGAACTGGCATCAAGTCCTAAATTGGTGCAAAACACAGTTGATCAAAGTCCCTGATAATTTTTGGTTGCAAAGAAAAGGAGATAACATCTAGGACAGAAAGAACTGTAGATGACGTGAAAGTAGTAGATAAGATTGTTGGCCTTGTGGAAGGTCTTACTACCATAAAGAATGTCTGCGACTACAGGAGAATTGGCAGGTACATCAAAGGGAAAGATCGACCTTTGAGGATCACCCTAAACAGTGTCAAACAGATGGAAGTAATACCAAGGAATGTTAGAAAATTACAAAGTGACGAGGAAGGGAAATTATGGGCATTAAGATGAGATCTTTCAAAACAAGACCGAGAGAAGCTGAAACTACCTCGTGAAGGCAAAATGTCTAAATGAGAACATTAACGAAGAAGAAATAAATTCTTTACTCTACAAAGTGACTGGGATAGGCAGGCCAGTAAAATGGTACAAAAAGGCAAACAAAACCGCTAGAGAAAGGGGGTAGTGAAGAATAAGAAGAGAGGGAACATGTTCCTGAAAATTGCATACATCAACTTAGATGTCGTGAAATCAAGATACCGGAGTTAAGTGATGTAATACAGCTGCAGATGCCAGGCATTGTTGCACTCACGAAGACAAAACTTGAAGATGATATTTTAAATGAGGTCATATTCCCAAGGGGCTACTCAGTTTGGAGATGGGACAGAAAAATTAAGAAAGGGAGTGGTGTTGCTGTGCTGGTGAAAGAACACCTAAAGGTAATAATGATTGTAACCAGGAGTTCTACTGACTTCACATGGATCCTGCAGTCTCTCCAAGACACAAACCAGGGTTTTACAAATATTAGAAACTTTTCTTTTGCAGAGTGGTAGACGGTTGGAACAAGTTTAAGTGAGAAGGTTGTGGAGAGCAAAACTGTCAGTAGTTTTAAAGCACTATATTACAAAGTGTACTGGGAAAACAAGACACCATGAGCATAGCTCTCATTCTGTAGCTGCACTTAGGTAATTACACATGCAAGAATGACTGAATTAGTAAGGTTAGGATAGACTAGGTTTTATCAAATTTCTAAGTTAAATTAAAACCAAAATTCTAAGCATATGTAATGGAAAGTTTAAACCATAAGAAAATGTTGAAAAATATATTATTTCAGGCAAATTTGGCTTGTTAGGTAACTTTGCCAATTAGGTACAACACACAAACACAAGCTTCCTAGCCCCGACAAAACAAATGATTATTAATTGTAGTCTATAAAGTACCTTAAGTACTACAATATTACCTTTCCTAATGTGGTGGTACTAATTTACCATTATGCTAATAAACATGAATATTGAGCTTTTTTATACATTACTTAAGTATTGTATTCATTTCTTCAAAAGAATTTCATGCAATGCTTCTCTATCCTTCTGTGACGAGTGTCTCCCCATCCACTGGGAGTTACAATAATGTAACTTACAACAACATAAACTTACCTTTTAGCTGTGGTTTTAAAAAGTCTTTCACTGATATTCCCAGCCACTCTCCATATGCATCTCCATACCATACCAATAACTCTGTCCCACTGTTGAAAAAATATATACAATGTATGATGAGTTTATATTCTAAATTCATAACATGTTAACTTGTATAATATTTATGATTAACCATATCAGAAATTTATGTTGACAGTACCTATACAAATTATGCACACAATTAATAAAAGAAATGCTTGAAGAGTTACAGTACACAGACAAATGGATCATATTCAGACACCTGTTATTATCTTGATTGCTTACCCATTTGTGATTTATCTGGGTAAAGGTGTATGGTTGGAGCATAACATTGCCTACTGCTCATTGACCTCCCAAATGCCACCAAACACCTCAACTGATGTACCTAGTAATCCTTTCATTGTTGTGTATTGTTATTATTGTGCATTATTCTAATCTGCTTTTGTGTCAAAAGTTCTTGCAATGTTCCTGTAAACATTTTTGATGATTTGCTGTAATTATTCTACTTAAAATTATCTGTTACTGTATAGTAAAGCTGTAAAGTACCCGTAAACATTTTTGTGTCAATTTTGTTGTGATTTGTCTAAAATTATCTGTTAGTTTAAGGATTTGCCCAAAACGCTCTGCGTGCTAGTGGCTTTACAAGAATGTAAAATCAACTCAATTTCTATGTTCTCTGTTAATCCCCAATGTACCTTCTTGTACTGTATATAAATAAATAAATAAAATAAATAAATAAACTACTGTTTGCTGGTAACAACTCTCATCAGTAACAAATTAAAACAACAGTAAATACTCAACTTAAAAAAAACTGCAGTTAATAACCAACAAATTTTGGTCTTTAATATCAGCAAAACATACTACATATTACAGTCCAACCTCAAAAATCCAGCGTTGAATGTAATGAAATGCCATTTTCTGGGCGAGACCCGGAGTCCCCACCATGTGGTGTCGTCGTTATTCAAACGAGCGTTCGCTATACAAGACGAATTGTCGCTGATTGGGCCAGTCATCACTCGAAATGTTCGCCATTTGAGGCGTTCTTTATTCGAGGTACTGTACCACTGTAGTGCCAATCCAATTTCCAAGAATACATCCGCATTTAATTAATGAGGAATGATATTAAATTTTTTATACAAGTCACATAAATTTATTTTATCCATAAGGCTCTTAGCAACAGACCAGCCTATATGGTTTGATACCATGGCTTCTCTGCAGGAATTCATTCAACCTTAGTCTGAAAACATTTGCATTTCTCACACTTATTTAAATTTCTGATACCTGTATAACTAAAAAATTGTACAAACCTTTTTATAGTACAAATGGTGACATAAAATATTTCATTTCGAATCTGAACAGCCATAAGATTTCTTTCAGTATAATTTCTGGCACAACTGAGGTAGCGAACCCAGTTGCTCACAGAAGTATTCACAGCATCAATTTCTATGTCAGGTCTCCCACGTATCTGAAAATACAGGTCAGCTGGAATAAAGAATCAGTTTTCTCTACCTTCACTTAATAAATAAATAAATAAATGTTTATTCAGGTAAGGTACATACATACAAGAGATTTTTTACAAAAATTGCTAGGTTTATAGATAGAGCTGGTACAAACAATGCCTAAAGCCACTATTACGCAAAGCGTTTCGGGCAGGAAAAACATTAAAGACTAAAACTTAATACTTATTTATTTGTCAACCACATTCCATTGCTAATTGCACATTAACCCTTAGACCACGCATATTGGGGGTCCGGTAGCAAAAAATATTTGAATTATGTAAAAATGACTTAAAAATGTTAAACATATCTCAAACTTATTGGCTTCATTGTCGTGAAACTTAAATCAAAATATTTTCAGAAATTGATTTTAGACAAATTTAAAAAAAAATTGAACATTTTGTTGATAATCAGAACAGCTCCTAATAACTGGAACTGAAGGATTATGCAGTAATAAAGAGATGCAAGCACCTGTCCGACGCTCAAAGAAGAATAGTAGTAAGAAGTGACCACAAAGTGGATATGCAGTTGGTTGTTGAACATAAATTTACCTCCCATCCATATCCAGACATTTTTTGTTGTTTTTTAATGATTTGGCCCTCACAAGGTCCAAACAGAAGTCCCTCTGGTAGGGTGGCACTAGTCCAGACTCCCTCTCCAGCACCCGTTATTTGAGATTTGGCAATGGTTATAGGCCACGGAGCAGTGAGGCGAGCTCGCTCTTTCACACTTCCATCACGAGAAACCTATGATGCACAAAGGCAGAGGCAATAAAGCAAAAATATGTAAATTATGATCATAAAACTAAAATGTTCAAATCTATAAAAAACACTAAATAAGTAAAAGAGCTCAACTAATAAAAAATAATAATCTATAATATTAATTAATAGTTTACAATCCTTTTACAATTTAAGGAATAAAAGAATGAAATCGTGGACAACTTACCGGAGTATCCAGTATAAGCACCAATGAATGTTTCCGACACAGTCCCGAATATGATCTATTACACTTTATACAATCTGAGGAAAAAATATACAAAATACAGTATAGTACTATGCAATACACTACAGGTTTAAGTCCTGAAAGCATATGACTAAATAGCAAAGAATACATGTTTTATTGACTACTGAAAGGTGCCTCTGTCTTGCAACCAATAATAATACTAATACATACTACTACTACTACTACTATTACCAATAATAATAATATAATAATAATAATATTATAATTTATATTTTATTCATAAAATATGCATACATAAGATCACATTACAAAGGTAAACTTTATTGTAGAGGAGTTGAACATTAAATAAAGCCACTAATACGAAAAGTCTTTTGGGGCGAAACGTAAAATAATTAAGTTAAATTTGTGTTTATTTGTGGGTATAATGGAGTAAGCACTTAACACTAAATGAAAAATAAGCTAACACATTTGAGAGGTTCAATTTAGCAAATGATACACAACATAAAGGTGATACTGTAAGATAGGCACTGCTGACACTGCTAATTATCACTGCAAACTACTGGTAGTATTACTATGAATGTACTGTATGTGAGTAACAGTTACAAAACCCTATCTGAACATCCAGACAGCTGCCATATAAATAGCACATACCGTTAATACAGCCTTTAATTCTTAAACTTCAAATTATGACTAATAGATTCTTACTAATTACTTACATACATGACTGTACATCTTGTTATAAGACTTGGTAAGCTTCATGCCAGCATATGATGATACACGACTGGTGTTGGTCAGCTTCTTGCTTGTACCTGAACAGTCACCACCACCAGTTTTCTTTACATTTTTCGAGTTGATATACACCACCTACATGAAAACATGAGTATGAATGAGCAAATGGTTTTTATTTCATGAAAATGTTTTAATGCTAAGAATGAACTCAAATAATTATGTTAAAACTACTTAACTTAGACACCAACCCTACATACAGCATATAAAAGGAAAGGCAATTGATGACATTTCAGTTTGACCTGGGCCCTTACTGACTTGGTAAGGGTCCTGGATGAACCAAAATTGTATAAATTTCCATCCAGCGTCATTTGCTGGCTGTTGTGTGATTTCTCATGCAGTGTATGATGGTCACTGTAAAGTTTGGACACAATACCGGATTACTTGCATAGTTCTGGTGAATAAAGCATGCAGATAGGTATATATAACATGTGTAAATAGTGTAATAAAAACAATAATTTGGTGGGAGGAGCAATGTTGGCTAGTAAGATGTTGGAGGAGTGAGGGGAGACACTGGATGTTGGAGGAGTGAGGGTGTAGCAGCTGGCACTCGCGAAGTTCTGAGTGTGTTGATGGTTATCTCGAGATGATTTCGGGGCTTTAGTGTCCCTGCGGCCCGGTCCTGGGGACCGGCAATGGTGAATGTATATGGTATGATAGTGTGTAGTGTGTAAATAGATTGTATATATACATAAATTAGCATGACGTATGGGAAATATGTGCAACATATGTGTATATATGTGTCATGCACGTAACAGTGTCTTCGGACAGTACGGATGTTCTACTGCCATAATATAGTGTACGTGTTCATTATACATAGGATTGGCATGAAAAAACAAATAAAATGTATTTGAAACTCTGCGCAAAAAATGAAAAAAAATATATTTGTGGCAACTCGCGCATCCTGCCCCAGGCGCCCTACCGGCCCATGGGGTGTACGCCACGGGCGACCAGGGAATGACGCCGTAACTTACGGACCCCATAGCAGCCAAAGTACGTACAATTCCGACCTTCTGTTACTATACCAATACTCAGGGAAGGGTTTTTGACACTTTCAAAACAAAAAAAAAAGATTTTTTTTTTCCAGAGAATTTATTTCCTGCATACTGAGGGAAGGGGGGGGGGGGTGTCATATTTGGAAGTCGAGCAGTTGAGGGGTTAATGTCATTTGTTTCCTTTTTTATTTCTCCTTTTTCTTACTCTTAAAAAATATTTTGCTCAATAGATAAATTTTAACATGTGACTAACATTGATAGTGCCACTCTGCCTGTGTGGGGAAAGAAAAGAAGAAGAAAAAATCATATAAAACAATACATTGTTATGCCAAAAAGGAAAATTAAAAATCTCACAAATATCCAAGTCTTTCCTTGTTTTGTGCACACTGGGAGAGAGCCAGGTAGGGGGAGTCCCTGGGTCCTTGTACACATCAGCATGCAGTGTGCTCTGGTCACGAACAGGAAAGGGCTTTTATGTCCAAGTTAGATGGTTTTTATGTTTGCCGTTTCACTTTTGTTTACACAATGTGTGGAATAACTATGACAAAATCATTGTCATAGTTATTCATTATTGACAAAAAAAATTGAGTACTTCATACAGGCCTACAATTTTATATGTACATCTAAATGTTATGTGAATCTGCTCCTGGAAGAGCTCAAATGAGGTACTCTAGCAACATACTCCTTTGCTGCTATTCTGCCTCAGAACATTATTCAGAACACTGACGGAGAAGACCAAACTGCAATTTGATGATAATCACAGGCCACAGGTACACCATATCCTCTTCACACAGCAAGCAATTAAAAATTATTCAAAAATTTTCTCATGGATATTTGTTAACCATTACATCTATATAGATGCATTATAACCACATACCGACACATTACAGTATTTGTATAACAGCCAAGCAATAACTAAAATCAACATATGCTGCTAACTGCATTACCCCAGAGATCAATGTATAATGATAACTGCATTTTAACTGCATTTTAACAACTAATACTGTAACAATTTAATAAATATGGAGGAAGGAGAAGGCATTATTGTTTTAATTATTATGAATGTTAAAAAAATAATGGCCAAATTAGGTGGGGTATAACTTGGGCATCTTGTATTTAATATACTCAAATAAACCACAACTATACAGGACCTGCATAAATTCAATACTAGACCATAATAATTCAAAATTAGAACTAAGAGACATAACAAAACTAATTTAGAATACCCTAATTTTAACCATGCAATGCCCTATATATTTATTTATTTATTTATTTATTTATATATATACAAGAAGGTACATTGGGTTAGTGAGAATACATTGGATAGTACAGTATTTACATTCTTGTAAAGCCACTAGTACGCACAGCGTTTCGGGCAGGCCCTTAATCTAGCAGATAATTTTAAGTAGGTAATTTCAATCAGAATTAATAAATGATAAAGATACATTACAAGAGAAAAATGAGATGATATATTTGCATTGCTTGTAGGTAAACAGCTAAAATGGGTCTTACCTTAACTGTATTATTATTGTCAGGTTCCAGCTTTGCAACTTTAAATAAATTAGTAAATTCCGATTGAGATTTGCTCAGAAGCATCCCATTTTGACTTGGCAGAATATTTTGTACAGTTTTAACCATACTAATTCTGTCTGTAGCTAGACTACCTGCAACAATTATTGGTATATCTTTAGTTGCTGATTGATGAAATTCATTAAATATAAGTTAACATAAATTGAACTGTGAAAGGTCATAATTTGGAACAGTTAAATAAAACTGGTACTGAATGTAATAAAAATCACTTTTTTTCTGGTAGGTGGGGGTGGCCTTGGTGGCTCCTTATTGCTAGCCACACTGACATAGTTCTACACCTATAAGTCACATCAACCAGTATGAGTTGTTATAACTATCAATGTGTGGCTACTAAAAAATTATTATACATCCCTCTGCACAAAAAAATGAAAAAATTCAAAACATTATTTTTCATTATACTGTAGAATTATGAAATTGTATAAAAAAATGTAAAAAAAAGTTAGAAATATATGAACATGTAATATTTACTGGGTAGAGTGGCAGTAAAAGGGGTGTGTGGTGGCCATGGTCTGGTTTCTGTCAACACAGAACAGGTGCTGAAGTCAAAACCAACCCAGCAGGTAAACCAGCATGGTGAATTTTAAACTCCCGCACAGCTGCTCGAGCAACCGCCAAGTGACCCGGGACCCCCTCACAAACAGCCGAAGGTGGGACTGTCAAGAGGGAGTCACAGATGCCGTCCAAGAATCCCAAACAAGGCCCAGCCAAGTTTGAATCCGGGACGGAACCAAATGGGACTTCCTCAAGTTCTCCAGGAATCCAAACCCATCGAGCTGGGAATGAACCAAACCCCTGGCGAACAGACAAGTGGACTGACTGGGAGCCCACACCAACTAGTCGTCAAGGTAGGCCAAAACCCGAACACCTAGCAGATGCAGACGGGCCACTACGAACCAGGTAAAACGCCTGAAAGTGCGAGGTGCCAGATTCAGCACGAAAGGAAGGAAACAAAAGTGGTATGCTTGTCGCCCCAGCACAAAACCTAACCAGTCCCCAAACCCCGGATGAATGGAGACATGCCAATACGTGTCCCAGAAATCCAAAGACACCATCTAAGAACCTGGCCCCAAGAAAAACTGGACCTGGGACAGAGTGGTCATCCGTAAGGAGGGGGGCAAGGAATCCTGTGGTTCAGAATGGAAGAGTCCAGAATGAACCAAAAATCTGCACAGTCCTGTTTCAGCACTGGAAATAAGCGAGAAACGCACTCGAGGGACCAAGTCGTTTCAACTACACCCAAACGTGCCCACTCCAAGATGACCTGACGGAGCACAGGGGAAGAATCCTGCCCCGCCAGCCCCAATCCTCTGGGAGGAGGACTCACCCATTGCCATCACAGGCCAGAGGACACGACCTGAAACGCCCACGAATCATGGGACCAAGAGTGGGCAAACAGAGCCAGCCTTCCCCACATCGCCACGCCAACAGGGCGACCCATGAAAAAGCCAGCGCATCTTCCCAGAAGCCAACTGACATAGTGACCACCGAGCCGACCAGATGAAGACGGCTCTGGAGGTGGCACAGGCAAAGAAGCTGGCACCAAAGGTTCACCTCGAAGACCTGGAGGAGCCATTTTGGTGAGGAAGGTGGCATCTCATTCGCAGCGTCGTCTGCTGTATGACTTGTCATGCAGTGTATGGTGTGCTGTTTGGACACAATACCAGCTTAATTGTATAGTTATGGTGAATAAAATATGTAGATACTCAAACATGATGTGTGTAAATAGTGTAATAAAAACAATATCAGTATGGTGGGAGGAGGAATGTTGGCGAATAAGGTGTTGGAGGAGTGAGGGAGGACTGGCCGAGTGTGGCAGCTCAATCTTGTTTTTTGGGCTCACCATACTAACTTAGCAGTTCGTTATGGTGAACACCTATGTATATGAGTATATACAATGTGTGTGTATAGTGTAATAACGGCAAAACACTGTTTGATTGATCGTAGAATATAATATATGTCACATTCATGAGCCCCATCATTTTGAGCATACCGGTGTTCCACATTTTGAACTATATAAATTCCATAAATTACACTTTTTTTTATTAATATTACAGCAAACAAAGAAAAACGAAAGAGAAACATCCAAATAATTGTGAAACATTATGTTCGCAGCAACTGCCGTCCTACGGGGTGATGGGGCCGACTGACTCGGAGCGCTCCAACGCTCAGCGCCCATAATTTGCTCAACTTCCCAGCTCCATCGCGGCTAAAGTATGTCACATACAATATATTTTTTAGTTTCCCCATGATCAGAGACTGCATTTTAACAATATAAGAAGACAAAATAATTTATTGGAAAGAATTTATTTACTGCACACCATGGGTGTGTCTTATTTTAATGCAGAAGAGTTCAGTGTTTAACACAAGATAAAATAGGAGTGCATGTTAATGATAAATCCAAAAATAATCTATACTTACTGTTACTTCTGTGCATTGATATTGTACTGTCAAGGAGGGATGGTATTCCTAACTCTCTGCCATATTCATCACCATACCACACCATCAGCTCCGAGTTACTGAGAACACATGAACACACGTAAAATTTACCATAGCTTTTTGAATTGCCATATTTGAGGCAGCTCCAATTTACTCTTGGACCTGCCCCTGTGGGTACAGTTTATATGCCTATATTCTTTTTTACTTGTTCCTGAAATCTATGAATAACATGTTTTCCATCGTACAGTATGTCAATAAAATCCTCAATGTACAGTAATTACATAATCATACTGTACATTATATATTAACCCCTGCACTGTGCACCTGTTTTTGGCAAAAACTTCATAGTGTAATTGTTAAGGACATATTTTTGTTGGTTTTATAAATGTTCAGGTAAAGTTAATATCAAAATGTTTCCAAACTCAACCATTTTCATTTCAAAACACAGAGTGATGAAAACATTAAAAAACATTAAAATATAGCCTAATTAAAAAAAATAGTACAACTCTCAGAATGAGATTTCTTGGTTGGCGCAGCACAATGGTTAAAGACTTGCCCAAAATGTTTGGCATACTAGTAGCATTATACAAAAATAATACTGCCCATCTTCCCAAGCCAGGGGTTTATCTATAGTCTCCCAGGAGCTTTCTTAAGAATTCTAATTTCTACAGAAATATGTTAAGGTAAACATTCTGAACTGGAACTACCTTGTATCCTCTCTAGAGATTATCATCATTTATTCTTCATTGCTAGAAAGATATGAACAACACAAATTTCTCTGCTATATACAAATCTATAAATTAGTACTGTAAAGCAAACTCTCAAAAAGGTGATTAATGAATTAAGAATTTTGTTTGAAATAAATATGCTTTAATTTTGTAAATATATAAACATGGCATGAGGAATTATAATATACAAAAGTACTGTACAAGGATATGGAATTTGTTTAAAAAAAAATTCAAATAGCAAACCTTTCAACATCACACAGTGTAGTGTAGTATATGTTGCCCTTGTACTGGAAAGCTTCGAGATTCATTTCAGAGAGAGTTCGTGGACAGTTTACATAACGCAACCAGTTACTAGTCGTTTTATCTTCACTATCCACCATCATCTTGCATTTTTTGGATGAATTTAACTGTAAATATGCAGAGATATTGCTTATTGTATTGCTATTTTGTTTAAAAATATAAACAAGTCAGAACCTATTGTTTGAAAGTGCATTAGTGTATTAAAAAGCTGGTGGCTTGCAGAAAGTCCCTCAGTTCTTCTGCAGGATTTATGCATTTTTTTTTTTATAAACCAAAGCACTGTCTTGGTCTGTGTAGTTGTTTTGTTAACAAAAATGTGAATAGGTTTGTTAGACAGGAGTTGTATTTTAAAAACCATGTGAGATTATGGAAGATTTTTTCCTGTAGGATTCTCTCCACATATGTGTAGATATGCAATGTTATGCTGATTTGTCTGTAGTTTCCTTGCAGTATTATTTCTGTTTATTTTTTTAATAAGAGTGATAGTGACATATCTAATTTCAAACAACTTCTTGGTCTAAGGATTTTCTGAATACGAGTGTCAATAGTAAGCACCATTCATTGGCTGATTGACCATTCTGAACAGAATTTTGTCTAATTTAGAGTTTTAGAGTTTTCTAACTTGTCAATGCTCATTCTGAATATTTTGCAATCGAGATAAGATATTATCTAGTCTTTTTATTGTGAACACCAATGTAATCATTCAAAATGTCAGTAGACTTTTTCTATCAGTTATAATCTAGTTGGTCACACCTTTCAAGGGTTTGTAACTTATGATTACGTGCTTGTATTTGGTTGATTGGACACACACAGTTTAGTAGTTTTTTACATTTATTTAGTATAGTCTTGGTTATAGCACTCGGTTTGTTATCAGTATAGTGAAGTGTCACAGGAGTTAAGACAAAGTCTGTAGCAGGGCAGAGAGCGGATTAAGGCCGGGGGTAGAGCGCTTGAATGCGGGGCGAGTCATAGCGCATGGCGCTCTGAATGTTGGCGGAGTCGAGGAGCTCTGTGTGAGACAGGAGCATGAAGGCTCGATGCGGCCAGAGTCTGGCTGTCTGCTCTGTGTTGAGGTTGAAGTGTCTTGTGAGGGTAGGAACTGGACACGCCGAGTGCTACATTGTTGTTGAAGATGTGTGGTATCTCTCAAGTGTGTGCTCTGCACCACTCTTGAAATTACTGATATTTATTTGATGATGATGAAGATTAAGCCACCCAAAAAGTGGCACAGACATGACTAGCCCGTAAAAAGAGGATGAGTATTCGCTTATCGATTGCCTATGTAATCGGTCCACACACACCATCCACTAAAAGGTTAGGATGTCGTTTTGGAGCAAGTATATTACTGACATAATATACTTGCTGCAGGTTTTACCAAGACTTGTTCTTTATTCCTTGTACCACATAAAGGTCTTAGATTCTTTCTTGAAGCGTTTTGCCAGTTTTCTTCAGTCTCCTTTGGCTGATCCAATTTCCTGGGTGGCTTCATTCACTGGAAAGGTTAAACTTAGTGGTTATAACTCTTTCTACTAGCTTTGTTATCTATCTGGTGGGCATGTTTCCTATCACCTAATACACCTGTTCACCTAGAAGTAAATATGTACTGTACCTGAGAAATCTAACTGCCTATATACACTGGTTGCATGTCCCCAATACAATGAATTATTATTATTACAATTAACAAAAGATGGCACCAAGCTGGGAAGACAATGTAGCATGTGATATTTTTTAATTCTTCTCATTTGTGGATAGTATTCTAGAAAGTAGATACAGAGATACAGCAGTCATCATCCAGCCTGGACCTTTATTTGGAATTTTATGAATGTATAATATTCATGTCAGGATATATTGGTTGTATGTGGGAGTAAGTTTCTCTTATTACCTAAAATGCATTTTTTTTTTTTGTACTAGTTTTCCTTGGAATGTGACCTGCCAACTGGTTAACAACCAGGTGCCCAATTACTGTTGGATGAACAGTTAACAAATGGCACCTGGTCAATTCTTCCTGGACAGGACTCGATCCCACATCAAATCGCTCATGAACAAATCCACAATAGCTGCTCATGAGTTGCTGGGTAAGTATCTTACTAACATGTCACAGCAACGACTCTGTTGTCATTATAAGATCTAGGGTGCTGTTTCTTTAAGTTGCAAGCTGTATGGGTAGAGGGGTCCTGTATAAATTTCTCCCTCACTTTTAATGTTTGATTTTTCAAATCTATTCTCTCATGGTTCAATACCACCACTAATCTCTTCCTCAACTAACAGAGCTTTAACTCCAGCTGATCTTTTTATAACTTTATCCAAGTCTGCTGGTTCAGGAAGCGGGCCGCCTGCCCCTGGTTCGGGAAGCGAGCTGCCTGCCCGTGGTTCAATAAGTGAATTCCCTGGCCTAAGTTACATGAACCAAACACTTCCTGCTACATCTAGAATCTCAGAAGCTTCACCATTGAACCAAAAAATATCATTATATTATGTATATGTGTTAGTCATTACTTCTCAGTTCTAAGCCAAAACAGTAAGGCATGCTTCTACTTTCCCCAGGTGCGGGAAGTGAGCCGCCTGCCCCCTGGGACTCCTAATTCAATTACTTCTTGACACTCATTAAGAATTTATAGTTTTAATTGCTTAATTATTCAACTTACAATCCAAGCATAAGCCGAGTCAGCGACTCCCTCCACATCTTTTTTATAATGACCTTCATAGGGTCCAAAGACAAGGCCTTGAGGCAAGCGGATACTAGTCCACACACCTTCACCTCCACCTTGAACTTTTGACTCTGAAATATAAAGAGGCCAAGGTGCTGTCAAGCGAGCCCGGTCTCTCACACTCCCATCCCGGGAAATCTGAAAAAAAAAAAAGCGTTGAATGTAATGAAACGCCATTTTTGGGCGAGACCTGGAGGCTCCCCAGAGCTTATCCAGGCTGATATGCTAATGTCAGACTTTGGCATCTGTCATGTGTATGGAGTTCTGTTGGCCTACCAGGGACCACGAGCAAGAACCGGGCCCCCTTAGAAAGGCATGGGGAGCAATGGTCTATAGAAACCTCCGTGTAGTTGGAAGCATTCTATGTCTGCCATCAACCGGGTCAGGCACCCAGAAAGGTAGGCGTCCCAAAACAAACCCCTATTCTGGTGAAAATTGCTACCAAAAGCCGAACAAATGGATAGAACTCCCCAAAAAGAAAGGAGCAAAGCAAGCATGATGTGTGACATCATGCTTGTTTCTTTTTGGGGAGTTCTATCCATTTGTTCGGCTTTTGGTAGTAATTTTCACCAGAATAGGGATTTGTTTTGGGACTCTTACCTTTCTGGGTGCCTGACCCAGTCGATGGCAGACACAGAATGCTTCCAACCACACGGGGGCCTCTCTGAGGGGGCCAGATTCTGGCTCGTTGTCCCTGGTAGGCCCACAGAACTCCATACACATGACTGATGCCAAAGTCTGACATTAGCATATCGGCCTGGATAAGCTCCGGGAAGCCAAAGGGGCTCCCCCCAGAAAAGTTCTTTGTAAAGGACAAAATTAAATTATTAAAATGTGGTTAGTTAAAATAATATATAACTTTACTTTTTTCACCAGTGCTTCAGAAGATGTTCAAGGACAATTGGTCTGCTACCTAAATACATGCACAATATTCAGGCCCCTAAATGCACAAGGAGCACAGCTAGACATGAAAACACATGCACACAGCTGACTACATTACAACACTCTCCAACAGGCCTCGCAGTGGAGAATAATCATGTGATACATTTAAGTAAGGCGACTCAGGAGGAGTCGACTCCTCCAGCAGGTATCTCTGGTGGGGCAAGGGAAGTGCAAGAAAATCTTGAAGCACAAATAAAATAAACACAAAGCAGTGGCTCTTTGTGTAACAATCATTCTAAGAATAGCCGAATAGCCAGTCACTTAGCCGAGAACTTGAAGCGACATGTAGGGCCAGTCTGAGTGGTATGACCAAACCGCTAGCAGCTAAGTGAGATGGAAAGCTGGACATGACTCCAGGTGACCTGGATTGCCATCAGTTAGTTAATCATCACAATCAATCATAATTACGATAATCATAAACAGGGTATTTATGCCAAGGTAACAATGTGTTACGGACCTGAGCCCAGCGTCCGAGCACGGAGCAGTGACGACCGCGCCATCTGTGGGTCGGCTCCCGAAACCCCCTCCAAATGGACGACGCCATCTAGTGAGGACGAGATATACTGGCCACAAGGGCTAGTTTCCCGTCCTGATCAGCTCATAACACAGCCGCTGCTGACCTCTGGTGAGGTGGAGCTTAGACAGCAACGCCATCTATGGAGTGGATAGGTGGGCGTTTGTGTCTAAGCCTGTAAGTGAGGTGCCCTAGAGTGTCCCTATTACTGATGACGTGTCTGATTACAGAGTCGACCTGGGACTGCTGAATCGGACGGTGGATCAGTCTACCCAAGGCAGCCGTAGAACCTCCACGCATTTGCTGTAGAAGCTGTGAGTCACCCCCCCGGATGAACACTGTTGTGTTAGCCTGCCTGTGATGTGGCAGTTGAGGATTTGTCGTACCCGGAACGACTGGTGGAGAAGACTAACCACTGGGGTGTTGTGGTGAGGAGAGTGATCTGTGAAATCACACGAGGCTCCTGCCTAGGGCTCGCAACCCTAGTATCGGTCGTGGAGTGGCCTACGCAGCGTTGCTGATTGGAACCTGCCAGCTAAAGGCTGGATTTGTGATTGACGGCCTCCACGACGGTGCACCCAGTGGGACTGTGATTTGGCTGGCCTGTGGCCGGGGTAGACTCGCTGGGAGAATCTAAGGATTCGTCTAGAGGCCACAAGAAGAGAACCAGGGCTACTCGTCTTGAGCACCGTTAAGCAGAGCATCCTGTGTCTTCGGAGGAAGACAAGTGATTGTAAATAAGTGTAGTTATAGTAACAGCGTGTGACTGTTTATATATTTATTTATTGGTGGTGGTGAATATATATTTATTTCTGAGCAGTTTTATCCCTTCCCCTTTAATTTACTTGCGTTACGGAGCACACCCCTTGAAAGTCATTACTAGCTTGGGGCCGGATACCCAAGCTCTACTAACTTCAGAGAAAGAACCCAGTTGCGACCCCAGAGGGCCATAACACAATGTTTCTCCAATCCAATCAAAAAGTCCATATTTTTGTGTTCCTATTCTTTATGACAAGTTTTTCTCTGTTTAGGGTTGATCTCTGATCCCCCACGATCTCCTTGCCTCAGAGAGCCAGATTCTAGTCCTGGCTCATGACAAGATGGGGTGGTTCTTAGAAAGCTGATATAATTTCATAATGCTTGGCAGTATCAGCCCTGAAGCTTAGGGAACTACTAAAGGGGCTCTACTAGGTATATTCATAACAAAACTAGATTGATATTATGATATATTACTATGAACACCAAGTAAAGCCATACATTTAACTCATTCACTGGTATTGCATTTACATTTAAGTTGACCATCCTGCAGGGTACCATCATCTATCTACTTGAATGAAATCAACTTTCAAAATTGATTGAGAAGAAAAACATCTTATGTAAACTGCACACGTGATTACCAGCATTTACTGCATGGCCTGCAAGCACAGGTTTGGAGGTAGATCTAAAGGCAAATAAAATGCCACGAACATTTTAGTCAAAATGTCACATGTAGAATGCCACACTCAGCCAGCCCTCTCACTAAATAAAAATTTAAAGACATACTTACTTTTTCATTAAGAATCAACACAAAATGACTGGAACACACCCCCACAAAATGCTTTTGGCACTGCATACAATCTGAAAAACATGAAGTGTTAACAAAAATCTTTCACATGTAAAATTAGTAAGGAGAAGTAGGGGTAGTAGTCGAAGAATGAAGAGAAGTTGAAGGGGGGAGAAGTTGAAGGGTAAGAGAAGTTGAGGCATTAAAAGTAGTTAAGGGGGGAGGATTAGCTGAGGAAAACAGAGGCTACAATTATTCTAGTGTGCAGATTAGGGACTAGATCCAGGTGTTATGATTTCTCTCTCAAATGTGCTATAAAGTCAAGTTTAAGGGCTTTTTAGTGATTCTAATAATTTAGATGTTTTGTTGAATACAGTTGGATATAAAAGTCCTTGGCACTTTCTCCAGGTCAGCACATTCTCCAGCTTTGAATGAAGCTGTTAATGTGCAACAATATTTCACTTAGGTTATCCCTAGTCAACTAAAACATGCTACCATTGATTTGACATTGCTTGTCTGAAAGGTTTTTGTTTAAAAAATTTCTTTACAGTAATAGTGATAGCTACTTTCTTGTTGTTTTATAAAAAGGTCTCGACATGATTACTCCTGGTCTTTTATGTTTTTCCTTCTGTATTATGGTTCGACTTTCGTGTTTTATTTATAAAAGAAACGGTGTTAAATGTAATGAAACGTCATTTTCTGGGCGAGACCCGGAGGCTCGCCGGAGCAATACCGGGTTGATGTGTATATATATATTAGACCGTATCAATAGTGAATTGATGGAGTTCTAGCCTACTGGGAACCGGCACCAGAACCTGGCACCCCTCAGAGAGGCAGGAGCAGCAATGGCCTATAGACACCCCTGTGTAATTGGAAGCATTATATGTCTGTCATCTACCAGGTCAGGCACCCAGAAAGGTAGGAATTCCAAAACAAACTACAACTGGTTAAAAATTGCAAACCAAAAGCCGAACTAGCAAGCAGAACTCCCCAATCAAAAACAAGCATGACGTCACCACAGCCACTGCGAGCTATGCAACTCCCCACTCCCTGTGAGGGGAAGGGGGTCCCAGGGGGTGACCCATGCCGGCTAGCCAACCCCAGTTCAGAGGCTGAAAATAAAAAATGCGAAAAAAATGCAGACTAGAGGGAGGGACGGATGCCACAGCGCCTCCAGGTCTCTACTAGAAAATGGCATTTCATTATATTCAACGCTGGTTTTCTATACAGCGCCCCTTCGGCTCCCCGAGCTACCTAACCAAAGGTAAAGGAAAAGAGGGACTTACCGGGAGGCAGCTGCCACTCGCTCCTCAACTCGAAGTCGAGATAACTGGCTGTAACCTGCGACCCAAGGCTATACACGCCCAAGAAGGGCCAGGAACATTAACAAGGTACCATGCAGCCAGGACCTTGTTCAACCTCCAAAAGCCCCATGCCCAAATGATAGGCCAGGACATCATAGGCCAATTAATCAGTAGTAGTTTGTTTTGGAATTCCTATCTTTCTGGGTGCCTGACCTGGTAGATGGCAAAGACTGCTTCCAATTACATTGGGGTGTCTTTAGGCCTCTGCTCCTCATGCCTCTCTTGAGGGGGCCAGGTTCTGGCTCTGGTTCCCGGTAAGTCTAGAACTCCTTTGATTAACTGTTGCCACGATCAAATATACACACATCAGCCCAGTATAGCTCCTGGGAACTGAAGGGGCTCTCCACAGAAAAGTACCAATTACTGTACTTATAAATATAATTTTATAGTACCATATATAATTTATATTTTATCTTTTTATTTCAGAATAATTATTCAGATTGAATTATTCAGATTACCATATATTTAAATTTTAATATTTAACAAATTTAGGAAGGGCCCCCCCAAACTATATTTGTACCTCAGGCCCTTCAAATACATAATCTGCTACTGGCTGTAGCCAAGTCTGTTTGGAGAGATTGTGGGGGCCAGGAGTGGCAAGTTGTGTTGTTGCCACATTAGCTGTGGCCGAAGGATTTCAATGCTGTGGTCAAGCGGTCTTATATACCTGTGGTGCAGGATGTAACAGTACTTGCTCACAGTGCTGATGTAGTTGCTACAAGTACATAAAATCAACATAGAAGGAGCTTCAAAAGTAGAAGTAAAAGGCACTTTATTGGATGATCATGACAAAATAATACTCACAGGTCATATCATCATTATTTAGCAATTCTGGATCTGTGTATAAGCAACCAGCTGAAGCTCTTAAGGTGTAAGAGCATGGTGCTCTCTTGTGTATAAATTCTGATGATGGTCGGCATATCTTTTTGACTTTCGACGTGATCATGCCTGCTGGAACATTATCATCAACAACACGAACGTGTATTCTCTGCTTTTTTTCTGAAGTTGTACTGGGTGGTTTTGTGACAACAACCTAAAAATAGAATTTCAGTAAAAATTTCAAAATAGATCTATGAAAAATACAGTATATTTTATATAAATGTCATGATGTTATCAAAAAACAGATGGGTTAAACCCTTAAGGTGCATTTACATGTATTGTCACATTAATTCCAGGGAAATTGTGGTTATCATATCTTTGTTGTAGTTATCACCTGCTTTTTATACTTGTGATGTAAATATTATAATACAGTACATCTGTATGGATGTAAAGAATTAACTTACACCCATGAACAAAATTCCATATTGTTAATAATTTCTTAAATGAGATTATCTTAATACCATCAGCAAGACGACTGTCAGATCACAACACTTCTGCCAGTGTTTGAATCAATTTCTGGAAGACATTACCAGACTGAATAGCAGTGAAGGAGTGGATTGCAAGACCCTTTGAGCTGAATCAGGCTCAGATTTGCATGTAATATAGGTATACATATTACAATGTACCTTTAAGTTAACAAGCATATCAGAACTTCTTATATTGGCGAGTACAAACAATATACTGTTGAAATTTTGCAAAAAAATTGTCAATTTGTTTTCCATAGTGTTTCAAGATGATTACCACTTAACTGGACAACAGGTTATTCGTTTAGTCTCAGTCCCAAGGGGTTTGGAAAGAGTGCGGCCCTTTGCACATGAATTTTTTTTTTTTTTTTTTTTCATTAGGTTAGGTTTGTTTAAAAGAACAGTAATGACAGAACAACCATCCTAGCTAGGAGATCTGTGAATCCTATCCCATTTATTACTGTGAATATGTGATAGTTCATGTAACCTAAATTTACAAACATTATACAGTACATTAGCAGGAAAAATGAACAGAAATTTTACTCAAAAATCAAACCTAGATTTAAGAAATTAAATAGTCATTGTATTAATACAGAACAAGTACAAAAGTGTAGTTACCTTAGCAGATGCATGGTCATTTCCAAGTACAAGAATCCCATAAGTCCATAAATGGAGAATGTCTTCCTGAGATGAACTTAAGCTTGCTGACCTGCTCTTAGCACTCATTTTTCCTGTTGCATCTTCTATTCTGCTTCCTTATTAGTTCATTTTTGTCTAAATGAATCAGAGTTTTGTTACAAACATGAAAAAGTTATTTATTACAGAATTATCACTTAAACTGTGTTTTATAACATGCAAATGTCAGATTTAATAATGGATGTAATTCTCTTCTACATGCATGTATTTCAAACTGCAATGCAATGTCATTATTCAGCCTGTTGTGACAACTTTCCAGCTAATTATATTTTTGCAAACTGTTCACTATTCCACAAGCATGAGCCACAAAATTTCCACAATCTCAAAAATTGTATTTGAAAGATATATATTTAAGATACTGAAAGAGCTTGTAGCGAGTAGATTATCCCAATAATATACTCGCTCCAAATGCTTTGTTAATATTCCTGTCAACCTTTGGAGATGAATGAGGTGAGGCGTTGCCCGGACAACACGGTGAGGCGTTGCCCGGGCATATAAGCAGCAGGATAGCAAACATTAAGCAGAGTCTACTTTCAAGTGTGGTCTAGAGCAGACACTTGCGAGATACTGTACCAACGCTCAGTGCGCTCAACTCACACCAACGTATCACCTGTGTACTTCTGTATATTCGACCAAATATATATATAGTATCTTAGTGTCTGTGTTTATTTGTCACCATACTCTACGTAACAATAGAACCGTTACAAGCTCAAAGATTGTTGGAACACAAATTTCTTTATTTTGTACTGATATTACATTACCTTATTGTCATGTCTTCCCAACCAAATAAATCAAGATGTTGTATAATTAAGTTAACTAATTTAGTTTAATGCATGAAGATGACTGTTGGCAATTTATGGTTACAATTTTTTTCCTCTTTCCTGTGACTTTCACTCCATACTTGGATACAAATCTAGCACGTGTGTGTGCGCATACATTCAGAGGCCAATGGCATCAGAAAAACATGAGGATGAGAAGAGACAATAGAACCTATTTCCGTGGGTACTTTCTACTACTGTATTTGGAAAAAACTATTAAGGCATAATATTGAACTTAAGACTTTACAAGAATTTTTTTTTTTTTTTTTTTTTTTGAGATATATACAAGAGTTGTTACATTCTTGTACAGCCACTAGTACGTGTAGCGTTTCGGGCAAGTCCTTAATCCTATGGTCCCTGGAATACGATCCCCTGCCGCGAAGAATCGTTTTTTCATCCAAGTACACATTTTACTGTTGCGTTAAACAGAGGCTACAGTTAAGGAATTGCGCCCAGTAAATCCTCCCCGGCCAGAATACGAACCCATGACATAGCGCTCGCGGAACGCCAGGCGAGTGTCTTACCACTACACCACGGAGACTGCAGAATGTAAAATCAACTTAATTTCTATGTTCTCTGTTAACCCCCAATGTACCTTCTTGTATATAAATAAATAAATGAATAAAGTGTTTTTTTTCCCAAACCTTGCCCAAAACGCTATATGTGTATTAGTGGTGTTAGGTATTGTATGTACTAGCTCTATCTATAAATCCAATATTATGTTTGTAACTCATCTTCTATGTATGTAATTTTAACTCAATAAACATTTAAATTTTGTTAATCCCCTGTTCGACTTGTGATCCTGTGGTCCCGGGTTCGATCCCGAGCGCCGGCGAGAAACAATGGGCGGAGTTTCTTTCACCCTATGCCCCTGTTCCCTAACAGTAAAATAGGTACCTGGGTGTTAGTCAGCTGTCACGGGCTGCTTCCTGGGGGTGGAGGCCTGGTCGAGGACCGGGCCGCGGGGACACTAAAGCCCCGAAATCATCTCAAGATAACCTGACAATCCCAGTTGCGTCTGGGGTACAAGTGACAGGGTGAACCACCCACCGGGTTTTCTTCTTATTGGGGAAGACGGAGGAGGTGTGGCACATGTTCCTCTGACTATGTTCATTCACAGGATGACTGACTGCCCAATAAACTAGCCCTCCGGAGTCAAATTTAACAATTACATGAACAAGATCCAGCCATCACTAGTGCCTGTAAACTAAACTTCACCTACTATGAAAGACACGCATTAAAAATTGACATGCTTACAAATGTAACACATGTGCTATAAGTTACCACGTCAGTGAGAGCTTATTGAAAAGTGTAACGGAAAATAATTCGGGGAAATACGAGACAACTTACAGGCACGAGCCGAGCGGCCGCGTACATGTGTGCCCTCTCGTGCTGCAGGTTGGTAACTAACGTCCCCTGCCCTGCAGACGACGCCGTCCTCACATCATATTTGTGGCTCATCTTGTTTAATTTATTATTGAGCATGTTACGTTATCCTTTACTGCCGTTTACAGTACCAGGAAGCTAATTGTTTAATATAATTTCCCCCCTTCATTATATTCCTCTTAGTATTGGTCTGCCTTTGCAGATTCAGCCAGGCCACCAAATTGCTGGCAGGTCAACCAGACAAAAAAAAGGCTAACCACTACACCCAGGCTATTATTATTATTATCAATAAAAGGACACCCAGGCTAGATTAGCATATTTTTCTTCGACTTTATACGCATTGTTCACGCCACTTAAATGCTAACAATTACAGGTGTGAGGCGGGCCGCCTCCGGAGCCAAAGTTCCCACCCACAACATTCAATTTAATTTCTTTCTTTTATTATATCCCTTGACCTTAGTATTAGTTCAGCCACTTTGCAAGTTATTATACGTGACTGTCAGGCTATTATAATTGCCAGAGCCAGCCGCCAGGTCAATATACTTTCCAGAGTCGACCATTAAATATCACATAATTATCTACCTGTCAAGATTTGGCTAGAGTAATAATTCTTTCTGCCCGACGACAGTATCATGTAGTATGTATCACCGTGACACTTCTTAATTTTAACCCATCCCTCTTAAGGATTGCCGCTTATTATATGCTTACTCTTACAGGCCCTCCATGAAGCAGGCAGCCCGTCGCCAGCAGCGGTCCTCATATTTCCGAACCAATATAGAAGCATCAAGAGGAAGTATAGGCCAATAGGCCCTCTGCAGTTGCTTCCATTCTTATGTTCTCATATCCAATTAATACCCATAGTTTCGTGTTTTGTTTTGAGTTTGTCAAAAGTTTGTTCACCTCACCCAAAACTGTTGTACCATATCACCTCACCCACGAGTATAATGCGAGTATAAGTATGGACGAATTTACGTGTTTATATATAACACGGGAGACATCTCCCGTCACGCAGGGTGCAGTCGCACCTCCACAGATCTCCAGTATCATCTATTGATAATGGTATTGGCTCAAAAGGGCCTCCACCTACGGGCTATTCATGCCCGTGCCACCTTTTGGGTGGCTTAATCCTCATCAATCAATCGTGTTTATATGCCTTACGGGCTATTCATGCCCGTGCCACTTCTTGGGTGGCTTAATCTTTATCAATCGTGTTTATACACAGCAAATTCAGCATCGCTCCTGTGCCAGGTAAGTCCACTACGGGCTCACCATAGCCCGTGCTACTTGCCCCGCTCCTGTGCCAGGTAAGTTACCGGCTCACCATAGCCCGTGCTACTTGGAATTTGTTCCAAGTAGCTGAATCTATTACAAGGTGTTTACAGGTTATAGTTGTGTGTAACCTGTTCTTAGATCACTAAGAACAGGTTACAGTTCTGTTACCTAGCAGTAAATAGGTACCTGGGAGTTAGTCAGCTGTCACGGGCTGCTTCCTGGGGGTGGAGGCCTGGTCGAGGACCGGGCCGCGGGGACACTAAAGCCCCGAAAATCATCTCAAGAAGATAACCTGTTTTTAGATCACTAAGAACTCTTTGACCCGGCCAGGAATCGAACCCATGCCATCCAGGATCACCCCTAAACGTACACAGTACTGTGACCACCATAGACGATCATTGGTGCGGTGGTCACGGTACTGTGTACGTTTAGGGGTGATCCTGGCCGGGTCAAAGAGTTCTTAGTGATATATATATATATATATACTGACAGCAGGTTTTCATTTATACATGTTTCATTGAAAATGACTGCATATTCTATATTGATTTTCTTGTTTAGGGCTTCTATCCCTCTGACTAGTGCTCTTGCTTATTGGTTTAATTGGAAGAGGATTTCTCCAAAAATCATCATTGTTCAAGGTGAAGAAAAAGAAATAAATAGCTGTAGAATGTATTACTTATTATAAATTTACACAATGTTTCAAACCTACATGGTTCATTCTCAAGTGATGGGACAGTATAGGGCATATTAGATTTATACCATTAGGGAGGGCAGGTGTAGACAAATGCAAATAGGTGAAGAGTAAGGCATTAAAGTGTGAAGAATAAGGAGGAAAAATGGTACGAAGCACATACAAAGATTAATCAGGTGTAGTGGGCATGACATGTTGAGAAGTGTCTTCTATGTTTGCATTTTCGTGTTCGGTCTTGTTCTTACTATCATGGTGGGTAGAGTGAATAGGTCCGTAATTTGGGTATTTACTGTGGGTTCTATTTTTATGTGGATAACTCCAAGAATTTGCAATCTTACATCTTGGGTTTTGTCTATTAAACAAGTGTTTTTATTCAACATTTCTCTTGTTAGGGTGATGTCATGGACTTATCTCATGTGATTTTTAGGGGTACCTGATTGAAGATGGCAGGTTAAATGCCTCGCCAGATTGGTCAACATCATACTCATGTACAGTACTGTACTTAGATTGAAGGCTATATCCTTCGTGGGGAAGGTGTACATATACTAGTATACCACGTTTGACTGCTGTAAAGGATTCTCCGTCGGCTTCGAGCTGTTTTTAATGAGGAGTTCAGTAGTCTTCTTTGTTTAATAGAATATGATTAGGTCTATGTTTTGGTTAGTTGTGCTTTTTACTCCTTTATGGATTATATCTTTCATTATTCTTGCTTCATTTTTATGTTCACTGTGCATGGTTAATATGTAATATACAATAATTTGATTGGAGGTGTTGTGGTTTCTGTTCTAGGTTCAGGATTTTACCGTTAGTCCAGGTGTTGTCTTACAGTAGTGTTTATTTCTTTGTTGCTATAACCATTGTTAACTAACACTTGAGTTATTCTTTCAGACTCCCTACTCACTGTGCTCCACTCCGGGCAGTGGGTAAGGGCTCAACGAATATAAGCATTGAGAACACTGGCTTTGTATATTTGAGGGCACCCACTCCTACCATTTAGGCATAATCCTATGTTTGTAGGCTTAATATATATGCTGGTACTCAGAGTTGCTCCTTTTTTTTTTGTTATTAGCACATCCAGGAAAGGCAGACTGATAATTTCACTATTTTCATGGGTAAATTGGAGTAATGATTTTGTCTTTAGATGGCTTTTTAGATCATTTAGTTTAGCTGGGTCTGAATAAATATATAACTCTATTGATTATTGAAGGGTTTATTTTCTACATTTTGTTCCACTCCTGGAACATCTTCACAAAGGAAGGGATACACAAGGTGCAAATTTATCTTAAATATGCATATGGAAGAGGTGAAGTTGTGTGGGGTAAGGTGTATTATGTGTACATAATTTTTTTTAATTACTTTATTAAAAATGAACATAATTTCCAGTGTGTGGGCTGATTTTTGCAGTAACTTTGGGAAAATGGGTGCCAATCTGGCATGCATAGTCCACATCATATCACTTATGAAATGGTGGAAACAATGACAAGACGACAATTGAGTGATGACAAGATGAAGTTTTACAGGGGAGGGAAATTTGGTGGTGGGGGGGGGGGGGAGAGGTGAGTTGTTGTCTTTCTTGTCTTTTCTCATCTACTTTCTGGGTGTTTTTCCATTAAGATATGATTGTAACAATCCCAAGCTCCCTGTGCCTCTTCAAGTGGGCCAAGGTCTGGCTCTGGTCTTTGGTTACTTAACCTATCACCTTACTTAACCTATCAACGGTATAGGTTAAGTAATAATTGTAATTAAGAAGCAATAAGATGCTTATCTTAACATACTAAGAAGGTTAGGTGAGGTCGGTGTTTTCTATGAAGCTCTTCAAGGTAAACTAAAATATTCACATTCAATTAGTATGTCACATATGCACTTATTAAATAAGCCAATATTGAGTGTAAGCAAGTGTGAGAACGGGTTGCTTTGGTTGGTCACCGGGCATCTATGACTGATGTGTTATAGTACTGGGAAGCTAGCTCAGCAACATAACTTTAGGGAACCACTGGGGTTCACCCAATAAAGGGCATTTCACTACATTAAACACATAAGTCTTGGAGGCCTAGTGCACTTCTTAAGATTTGGCTGTACCAGAGTGAAGCTCCAGTGAGCTACTGAGGACCCACACAGTGAGAAATGCGTCTCATTACTTTCAACATTTGATTTTAGTTTACCTGTTGTCTAAGCTTTGGAACAATCTTTCCTATTTCTCTGTCTTTGAATATCTGACTTAGCAGGCCAATTTGTTTTCCCACTCTGCTAAATGTAAAGATGAATTAAATGAATACTCAATTATAATTAAAAGGAAAAATTACAACACAAAAAGATTTACTTGATTTATTGACCAAAAATATAATTAATCTGATGGTACGTGTATGAGGAAAGGAAATGCATTAAGGAACTCAAAAGAATGGAAATATTTTTGCAACATTCAAATTATATTATGATACAGTATAATCCATCCATCATAAATTATTACTTAACATACCTTGTATTGCTTATATTATACATACTGTATAAAGTGTGCCCTCAAGTATAGTATCATTCTGTCTTTGTAATATGAATATTGTACATATTGCCCTACTGCCAATAAACCAAATCTAATTCTGTTTAAATGCATTAATTTAAATAAATTATTTTTGTTATACTAAAATAGAGATCACATTTGTCCACACTGAGAAATAATGACAGGAATTTTTGGTTTATTATTTGGTCCTGTAGGAACATTTTCAATTTTTCGCATAACTAAAAGGCCATCAATTACTCTGCCAAAAACCACATGCTTTCCATCCAAAAAGTCACATTTGGAGCAGGTGATGAAGAACTGGCAACCATTTGTGTCCTTTCCACTGTTGGCCTGGAAAAGAAAATCCAGTGTTGAACATAATTAAACACCACTTTCTGGTAGTCCTGGTGACTCCCTGTAGCTATCCTGCTGAGATTATTCCAATCTATCAGTCACATCAATTGCATTTGGCCTACCAGGGGCCAGTGGCAGAGACTGGGCCCCCCTCACACGAGATGTAAGAAGCAAATGACATTCTGCCATCTCTGGGAAATATATCCCTAACGTCAGTGAAGCTGTACAATTTCACAAGGCTCAAAGGCCACTAAACGTCCAAATAATTCCCTAAACAATTCAAAATAAACATAAGAAAACACACAAAATTAGCTAGAAACTTATAGTATAAAATGCCACTACAAGGTGGCTTGGAGTTCAGTCCAGCATCAGCTAACAGACCGGTTCATCTGCTGATGTGTAGCCTAGAGCTACACCATAGTGCTTCTTTGTTGCATCTTCTTGTAGCAAGTCCGAGAGCTTCTAAGCTAATTGCTGGGCATCCTAGAACTCTTCCTGTGAAGGCCTCTTTTGCTAGTGGATTATTCCATTATGGTATCTGCTTCTCATAGGTGTTTTCTGTCTGGTTTTGTTGTGTGGATTTGTCTTTTTGTGGTATAAATTGCATGTACCCAGCGGTTATTTCCCTGGGTTTTTGTGAGCACTGCCCTTGCACTGACAGAGCTCCTTCTTTGGTGTGTTAAGAGGTTCACTCTTTCCAGGCCAGCCCACCAATTTGTTTGTTTAGTCCATCAAGGATCACCTCGTTCGAGCAGGTTTACAACCCGGCACCTACGACCCGACAAGGAAGTAGGATATCCATGCCGAAGGAACCCGTCAAAACCCACCAGCGCAGACCTAACCTGACACAGGAGCCTGCACAACACACCAAGGCAGCCGAAGTATGGGGAGTGGTTAGGATGGGCCTACATGCAAACAAAACGCACACTGCGGCCCCAGCATATGAGGTACGAAACGCACCACCCGTCCACTGGGTGGCGTGGCTCGTACACCAGGCAGACACACATATCGTACAAACACCAGGAAGGCGTGTGTAACGAAGACGAAGAATGCCGAAACTGGAAGTATAGACGACGCAAAAACAAAACAAGGCGAAAACGAAGCAAAAGAAAACAGAGGACGGAAGGTAATCTGGTAGGTTGATGGGGTTCTGGGAGTTCTTCTACTCCCCAAGCCCGGCCCGAGGCCAGGCTTGACTTGTGAGAGATTGGTCCACCACTGTTGCTTGGAGCGTCCCGCAGGCCCACATACCCACCACAGCCCGGCTGATCCGGAACTTCTCTTAGAAAACCGTCCAGTTTTCTCTTGAAGATGTCCACGGTTGTTCCGGCAATATTTCTTATAGTCGCTGGGAGGACGTTGAACAACCGCGGACCTCTGATGTTTATACAGTGCTCACTGATCGTGCCTATGGCACCTCTGCTCTTCACTGGTTCAATCTTGCATTTTCTTCCATATCGTTCACTCCAGTACGTTGTTATTTTACTGTGTAGATTTGGGACCTGACCCTCCAGTATTTTCCAATCAACGAGGCCGACAAAAGACCAGAGGGAAACCACATCGGAAATCAACAGACGTTCCAATAATATTGGAAGGTACGAAGAGACGCGCGAACCAACGAGAACCACGACAAGCAAGCACATAGACAAAAATAAACCCCTGATCAAGGGACACGCAGGGACCCCGATATGAAGGGAACAGTATCGCGACGTAAGAGCGAAAAGGGTAAGGAAAAGGGGGCGAAACACACCCCCAGGAACGACGGAACCGACGAACCTGAAGGAACACGGAACCGAACCCAGGGAGGGGTATACCCGATAACAACAGGAACACAGAGGAGGAAGGAACAACCCCACTCTGAGGAACTGCCAGCCCCACACCAAAGGTACAAAGACCCAAGAGGGGCAAACGGGGCCGAGGTCCCCCAGGCAACCCCTCCCTAACCCCGGAAACCTTGACAGCATGACCCGGAGCAGAGCTGCACCCACAAAGCCACAGCTTGACGAGGAAAAGCCGGGGCATCCGTGCAAACACTAAGGAAGGGAGCCCACTGGTCAGACCCATACGGCACGGCTGGAGGAACCGACTCGAATGCCTCTGCCGCCACCCCGGAAGAGGAGATTCCCTGAGACAGCCCGAGTCTCAACCCAACCAGACCCCGCCCCAACCCCGAAACCTGCCTATGGTTCGGAGCCGGAAGCAAGGGAGAAAGTGTGCAGAACAGAAGGGAAAGGACGAGGAGTGGAAGGAGCCAGAGCCGAAGCGACCCCCACCCCCAAGTCCGGACCCCAACAACCAAAACAGGACAGCCTCGGGGCATCCGGGGCCGCAAACAACAAAGAGCATTGCAGTAACCTACACCCAGCAAGCAACGCCGCTGCCGCCTGCACCCGATTATCATGACCAGTGGCCTGGGTGAACGAGAGCACGTACCGACTACACCCGTCACACGACTCCGGATCACAAGAAACAATGACCCAACAGGCAGCATGGCGGAGGCACAACCGGTGAGTGTCACCCTGAGACAAGGGGACAGAGCAACCATCAAACTCGCAGGATGCGAGGGGGGGACTCCGGGGACACATCTATAGGACCACGGAGCCCCCGTGGGGTTTCCCAGGGCCCTTAGGTCCACGCTAAGGGAAGCCCAGGCAGGGTTATCTTGAGATGATTTCGGGGATTTTTAGTGTCCCCGCGGCCCGGTCCTCGACCAGGCCTCCACCCCCAGGAAGCAGCCCGTGACAGCTGACTAACACCCAGGTACCTATTTGCTGCTAGGTAACAGGAGCATAGGGTGAAAGAAACTCTGCCCATTGTTTCTCGCTGGCGCCTGGGATCGAACCCAGGACCACAGGATCACAAGTCCAGCGTGCTGTCCGCTCGGCCGACCGGCTCCCTATGGCACTTGTGAGAGATTGGGTACCGCGAACCGGTGCCCAAGTCTACCAAACTTCTGAACGCTGAACCCCCGGGACGTGTCCACTCACGGGGGCCAAGCGGGGAGTACCACCAACAGAAGAAATCGAAAGAAAAACACCTAGAACAGTAATGGGGACAATAAAGGCAGACCCCCCACCAGGCAAAAACAAAAGAAAAACCCTGCAAAAGGACAACGTACCCAGGCGGAAGAGAGCCGGCTGCTGTTATTGGTGAAAACTAGCTGTGCGGTACCCCACGCCCCTACCAGTGATGAAAACTACCACGTACCCAAAGACAAAAAAGGGCAACAAAACCCCAGCCGACTCCAAGGGTAGCCCAGTACCGAGCAGTAAAGGACACAGCAGAGGTAGAACCCAAGGTGACTTGTGGAAGGTAGCCCCAAGCCCCAAGGGCAGTACTTACAGGGTACCTAGGGAAGATAGCCCTAGGCGCATGCAGCCCGAGTACCGTGGAATCTTGCTCCTGGCTCACACCCCACCGGTAGAGACAGTCCACACCACACGGCACAGAACTGAAACAAAAACCAGAGCCAGAGGCACTCGACCGGACAGTAATTCCATCAGCCAAGAACTGCCAGTTGGATCGCCGGTGTGGAGCAGATGGTGGCGCGGTGACGTCATGCTAGTTTGATAATTTTGTTTGGGGAGTTCTGTCCACTCGTTCGGCTTTCGGTAACAATATTTTCACCAGAATAGGGGTTTGTTTTGGGGCGCCTACCTTTCTGGGTGCCTATCCCGGTCGATGGCAGACATAGAATGCTCCCAACCACAAGGGGGTTTCTATAGGCAATTGCTCCTCGTGCCTCTCTGAGGGGGCCAGGTTCTGGCTCGTGGTCCCTGGTAGGCAAGAACTCCTAGCACTTTGACTGATGCCAGAAAGTTATACATATCCATTCAGCCTGGATAGCTCCGGGGAGCCGATGGGGCTCCCCCCAGAAAGAAAAGAGATAGAAAGTTTTTTTTAGTGTAATACAGTAGTAGGAAAATGGGACAAACTAAATAAGCATGTTGTAGAAGTGAACTCCATTCATAATTTCAAAAGTAGATACAATAAAAAAAATAGGTTGGGAGTCACTGCATTACAAGACTTGAAAAGCTTCAAAAGCAGGGTCCAAGAGCTAAAGTTCAATCCTGCAGGTACAAATAAGTTAGCATCTTCTCTCACCAATGACAATAATCCAGGTCCATCGTGCTTGAGAATGAAATTTTCATCAGGGAAGCTTGGGCCATATATACTCTGCGTGCCTGTTCCATCACCCTGGTGGACAATAAAAATAAAAATTTATAGGATGTAAGAAATATAGCTAATAATTAACACAAAAAAGTAGATTAATTTATTATACTATAAAGGTACATGAAATATGCAACCCACAGTTAATGGAGAGTGGTCTGTATATACAATGTTAACAAATGAATGAGAAATCACTGAAATTACAATTAAAACCAAATCAAGTTCAAAGTTAGTGACTGACCTGGGAAAGCACAAAATACTGACAATGATGCTTAGATTATTAGTGCTTAGGATACCTACCAGTGTCTACAGGAAGGCATCAGCAAAAAGCCAGCGTTGAATGTAATGAAACGCCAGTTTCTGGGTGAGCCTCAGAGACTCCCTGAAGCTATCTTACTGATCTAATGCCATACTACTTGAGTGTCATCAGTCACAGAATTCTTTGTAAGCTTACCGGGGACCATGAGCCAGAACCGGCCCCCCCCCCCTCAGAGAGGCAGAGAGAGCAATGGCCATGAACACTTTACATTTAAAATAGGTTATCCTGCCATCACTCGAGAAAGGACCCAGAGATGTAGCCTAATCAAAACAGACCACTGTCTGGTTGAAAATTGCAAACTATGTCCTAACAAATGCAGAATAACTCCCCCAGAAAGCAAACAAACAAGCTAAACTTCTTCCAACTAACCCCCTCCCCCCCACAGGGGGAAGGAAGAGCCAGCCTGAATAAGTCAGGCCACCAACCTCCAGCTCTTTGAATGATGAAAACCGCCGACCAGAGGGTGGGGAGGGTGTCAGGGGAGCCTCCAGGGCTCACCCAGAAACTAGCATTTCATTACATTCAATGCTGGTTTTCTATGGGGAGCCCTGTCGGCTACCTAAAGCTAATTACCCACAGAGAAAGGAAAAGGGGAAAGAACTCGAGAGGCAGCAGCCCCGCAGAGCACAACTCGACAAAGACAGCTGTCTGCAACAGAAGCCTCAAAGCAACACAAAGTAGCAGAGGGCCCAGGACGGGCACAAGAGACCTGGAGGCCAGGACCATGACCGACCCCCCCAAAACCCAGAGTCCTATAACTGTCTAAAGACCGCCAAATGAGTGGCACACAACCGAACATCATAGGCACGAGGGTAGTCTGCACCCGGCCTAACCAACCAAGCAGCCACAACCAACGGATCCCCAGATGCCTGCTGGCTCATTCTGGACCAACACTTAAGTAGTGTGGCACTTGATCAGTAAGATAGCGTCAGGAAGTCGACTGACTCCCCATAGAAAATATTATCTACAATTTTTTTTTTTTTTTTTTTTTAGATATATACAAGAGTTGTTACATTCTTGTACAGCCACTAGTACGCATAGCGTTTCGGGCAGGTCCCTGGAATACGATCCCCTGCTGCGAAGAATCGTTTTTTCATCCAAGTACACATTTTACTGTTGCGTTAAACAGAGGCTACAGTTAAGGAATTGCGCCCAGTAAATCCTCCCCGGCCAGGATACGAACCCATGACATAGCGCTCACGGAATGCCAGGCGAGTGTCTTACCACTACACCACGGAGACTATGTTTAGTCTCAAACAAATTAGTCGTTTTTTTTACAATTTGGAGTAAAGCATGATTACCATTAAAAATATTTGTTGGTTATGCTTTAAGATATCATTATATAAAACATACCCTCATAAAGTCACCTCCTTGAATCATGAAGTCTTTGATGACACGATGAAAGCAAGCCCCCTTGTAGCCAATTGGAACTCCATCTTTACGGTATTCACCAGTGCAAAATTGACGGAAATTTTCACTCGTCTTGGGACAAACATCTGCATACAGTTCCATAATCATGCGTCCAATTTCCTGAAATGTAAATCATACATCAATTAATTATAATTAATTAAATACCGACATGAGTAATACACAGGGTAACTCCTGTTGGTAAGTAATAACTTGAACATACTTTTGTAGTGAAGATTTGGGTAAATTATATTGCACGCATAGCGTTTCGGGCAAACATGGTACATTTCGTGGTACATTTCGTGGTACATTTCGTGGCACATTTCATGGTACATTACATGGTACATTACATGACACAAACATTCCGGATACATAGTCACTGCACTACGCTTACTAATCTAACTTACCGTCTGTCCTACAGTTATATCAAAGAACACGACAGGATTATTAGCATGTCTCAGTTGCTGCTGAATCTGATTCCAAGTGGGCATTTTGATATATGATAGTTACTAGCAAATTTGAGGAAATCTGCAGCGACGCCACGCTTGTTTGTTGTGACGCTCATCCATCAGTTGGGCTCCGGTGGCCGTACTTACGTTTTCTTTTATTTTATTTTAGCGTCACTATCTAAGATTCTATTTTGTATTTATTTACCTGAGGGCCACTAATACTAGTGGTCTCGACGAGAACAGGAAGCCGGCGGCTTGTCAAAAGTACCCTTCTTTGCCCTGACGATCTTTTCCAGTTGAATTTTAAAATTTAACAGAGTTTTGGTGTTGTAATCATCATCTGTTTATTTAGTTTAGTTATTTATTTATTTATTTATTTAGTTTATTGAGTTAAAATTCCTTCTGATGTTCTGTTGCTTTTTTTGCTGTTCTCTCATCTATCGTTATCTCAACTATGGTATTTGTGCTTGGGGTTCTACTACTCAAAATCATTTACGTCCTCTAATTACCCAACACAAAGCTGCTATTAGAACAATATCTAACTCTGGCCCCAGACAGCACTCGGTACCCTTACTCAAATCTCTGAATATGTTAGATATTAAGTCACTGCACATCCTCTCATGTGTACTCTATATATTTAAAACTCTGAATTTTAACGTCAAAACCGATTTTCATTCATAAACAGGGGGTTTGGTGGCTGGATTAACGACCTTGGATCTTTGCATGCGAGGACGGGCTGTACAGTTAGGTTCGTTCTCGACTCACAATCGAGTATTCTGGGTTCGAACCCCAGGTGGTTTAATTATTTATGGAATTTAAATATTCCTGGCAACTATATATAGAAAACGTGAACCTAGTAACCATGGAACGTTAGCGATCAACTGAAGTCAACACAATATTCATCCGTACACCGCTAAGCATCAATTCTAACATTCAAACCAGGATTCCTGGTTCACCCTTGACATCTTGCAAACGCTTGACTTCTGTTCCGCTTGGGAAGGCGCCGGAGAACGTTTACATATTCCTGCCCATTGGATTACATGTTGCCTTAAGGCACTTTTGTTCAAGTGCCCAAATGCTTGCCACGCCTGGCCCATATATCGCCTTGGGGTCAAGAGGGCTTTAATAGGTTTTCTTACATTTTCCGGCTTGCACCTTGGGTGTTGAGCCGGGATCCGGAGCTGAGAGGTGCCGGGGTCCGGCGGCCGGGCCCTGGAGGCTCCTGAGTTCCCTGTTGACGGGAAGGGCGCCTGTCTCTCCCTCTGCTGGGGGTGTTACCCTGTGTACCCAGTGTGTGGGTGGCAAGTACCTGCCCTGCTGGGGGTATTAGGGTGTTGCCAGGTGGGCAGCGCCACTTGATGGTTTTATTTTGCCGTCTGGTCATGTTTTGCTTTTCTGGGTAGCTTCCTGTTTTGTTGTCATACCAGGAATCCTTTGGACAGGTCGCATAAGTCTACTTAAGCTGTCACCCTTAAGTCCACAACAACAACATCGGCACTCTGGCCTTCCCACAAGGAGAAGAAAAACCAAGCAAACTGCACCTATCATAAAAAAGTGATAATGGGGATCCTTATTGATAGTGCTATTATGATAGGATCTATGGTTAGTAGTTTACATGGTAATTGTTTATGAGGATAGGAATAGCCTAAGCTACTCCAGCCTTTTGAGGTGTATTTTATTATCTCAATAATCTGACTTGAACTGTTAATTGTGATAGCAACTATTGTAATTGTGGTAGTAGCTATAGTAATTGATAGTAGTTACAATAATTATGATAGAAGCTATGATAATTGTGATAGCAGCTGGGGTAATTGTGATGGCAGCTGTAGTAATTGTGGTAATTGTGATAGCTGCTATGACAATTACCACAGCTGCTGTGGTAATTGCTATGATAATAGCAATAGCTGTGGTAATTGTGAGAGCAGCTGTGGTGATTGTGAGTGCAGCTGTGGTGATTGTGAGAGCATCTATGATAATTGTGATAGCTATGATAATAGCAATAGCTGTGGTAATTGTGATAGCTATGGCAATTAGAAACTTTATACATAAAACTCATTTCAGTCATTACAATAATGGCTGTACTAAACAGTTATGCAACAGTCTAAACCCAATTTACATATTTTAGCATAAATTTAATAAAATTTAGCTTATTTGAATGATGATATTTACTGATAAAAAATGTGTAGTTTAGTTATAGTGGGGAGAGAGATTGGCAAAACATTCGGTATCCTTGGAGTTTTCAAATTTATCAAAATATTTATGGCAATAAATTTATTGTCAATTCTAGTATTGTTCTCATCGTTCTTTATTGTTTCAGCTGATATTTTTCATAGGAGGATGGGTGTGGTTTGTCAAGAAGATCTTTCGTGATTATGAAGTCCACAACACCCTTGTTCAGTTGTTCTTCCCAATGATCTTCATGCTTTCATGTGCTATGTTTGAACTTATTATCTTTGAGATTGCTGCTGTTTTGGAATCAGGGTGAGTCAATTTTATTATGCTTTTGTGTTTCAATTTAACTTTTCTGATACACTCATATATTCAAACCTTTATGGAAACAATATTTAATTAAAAAGAGAATGACCATGAAAGATTAATTTATGAAATGCATCATTATATCAGATTCTGGTTCATGAATATTTATCCCTTAATTTTGTGTAACTTATGGTCTGACAATATATAACACTGTTGTGGGATATTCAACTATGCTTTCCTTAATTATTCATTTTGTCTTCAGGTCCCGCTATCTCTACTGGCAGGTTGTTCTTTACTCAATGCTCATCATGCTTATATTGGTCATACCGTTTTATCTCTGCCATTTTGTGGTTTCAAACATTAGAATAGGTAAGTTCACTCTTATGAGGCCATAATTTTTTTATATTATGTCAATAATTCAGTTCATATGGCAGCTTTTCTTGCTTTTACACATACTTATCTGAAAAAAAGTCCAAGCCTTTAATGATGCGCAGGTGATGAGTCACAATAACGTGGCAAAATTATGTTGACCAGACCACGCACTAGAAGGAAAATTCAAACAAATGTTTTTCTCTTATAAACCTGTTAATTTGCATTCCTTGATCACAGGAAAAATAATACAAAAATTGTAAGTGGCATATTTTGGGCGCAATAGGGCGAAGAAGTCTGGCAAAAAAAAAGAGGCGCTGACTCAGCATGCGTCTGAGGCAGTCTGCTCAGCCCTAGCTGTCAGGCGGGTGTTGCCACAAAGATATAATTACCTAATTATTTTAATGTCTCTGATTGATTTTTTTCTTCATTTTTTGCTGTAATGTTATTCAATAGTGTGTAGTGTGATACATTTATATAATAAAATGTGTGAATCATCGCTGTACTCAAAATTATGGTGAGCATATTATTGATTCAATTATTGTGTTCATAAAACAATAAACAAATACTTTGTAGGTTATTACAAAATATACACAGATTATATATAAGTATCTGCATGTTTTGTTCACCATAATGAACCACTAAGTTGATATTGCAAGTCAAAAAGCAACGAGGAGTGACCAGCCAGCCTCATGCTGCCACTCCCTCCCTCAATGACTCCTCACTCGCCCACATCCTCCTCCCATCATACTGTTTTTGCTTTTATTCACTATATATATACAGACGTTATATATAAGTTTCTACATGCTCTGTTCACCATAACTGTTCATCTAAGCTGGTATAGTGCACTACGAGCATAGTGGCCACCCTTACACAGCATGATAAGTCAGGAAGATAATGCCACCTCCCTCACCAAAATGGCTTCTCCCAACACTCCTTTTGCTGTTATTACACTATATATACACGTTATATATAAATACTGTATCTACATTTGTGTTACCATAATGAACCACTAAGTTTGTATGCTGAGTGGCAGTGGCAGCCACTGGCTGCCATTCCCTCCTCCCTCACCTCATCTGACTTGCCAACATTCTCCTCTCACCATGCTGTTTTTGTTTTTATTCACTATATACAGACGTTACATATGAGTATCTGCATGTTTTGTTCACCATAGCAAACCACTAAGCTGGTATAGTGAGTCCAGATAGTAAAAGGTGGTCACACAGAGTCAGCAGACAACGTTACCTCCTCCCCACCAAGATTACTCCTCCCACTACAGCGCTAATTATCACAACAATCCTGCTATTATCAGAATCCTGGTAATTTTTACCACAGTCAAGGGTCTTCTGTAATTCTATCATTGCTAAATAATAGCATGTACATATATATTTTGACATTTTTAGACGATGCTGTGGTCACAAGCTGAACAACAGTGCTGTGAGCTCATGCTGTGTGCGCCAGCCTTGGTGGCTCACTCAGTACTGAGGCCCTGATATCTGGGAATGTTGCCCACGATTGTTTTTTTAAATGGCGTCTGTTTACAAGAGCCCTGATGAAGGTGAGGTGAACCCCGTGTATTCGCGGGCTGTTTAAGTCTTGGGTAGTATTCCAACACGTCATATGACGTGAGTTAGTAGGTAAATAATTAACACTTATATTATGAACTGTAAGAAAGCAGCATTGAATGCAATGAAACAACCCTTTATAGTAGAACCCCGGTGGCTCCCTGAAGCTATCTTGGTTAGATAGCGCCCACTACTGGATCACATTAGTCACAGGAGTTCTGTTTGGCCTACTAGACCAGAGCCAGAACTTGGATCCCTCACAGAGACACAAGGAGCAGATGATTATTATAAAAATTTTCACTGGTAAAGCGCCCAGAAAATCAGTGAAGCAGTACTGGCAGCTGCAAGATTCATAGAAAATGAAGCATCGAAACAGCCAAACAATTCATTCAAAACAATTGGTTCACTCAAAACTAGCTTGAGTTAAATTGAAGTTAATTGAAGTTAAATGGAAGTAAATTTAGTGTAAATCTATAAATAGATGATAATGAGTAAATGACTTTCTTCAATATTTCCAGTTCGTCGAGAATGGGTGAACGTTTTGTCAGTGCTAACGTGGGGTGTATTTATGGTTTGCTTCTGGAAAATTGGAGACCCTTTTCCGATCCTTAGCACTCAGCATGGAATACTGTCAATAGAGCAAGTAAGTGCAAGTTCATGGTGATACTTGTGATTATTGTTTAATTCACAATAGGGTTAAATAGATGTGCTGTAGTATATAAATGTGTGTGTATCTATGGAGATCATTGTATACACTGTATTTTGAGATAGACTTGAGCACATGTGTGTTGAGCCTTTCCAATAGCATTTGAACGTTGTGCCCAGTTTTCTTTGTTGAACAGACTATTCATAGGTTAATTTCTTGCTTGGGAAAATATACAGTACTTCTGCCATTTGTAATAGCAATGTATCTAAACATACTGATTATACTTCTCACTAAGCTACAAGTCACCTATTAATGCAATTCTAGTATTCTCAGCATACATAAAGGAATATTGCACAATGAAATTATCTCGAGAACCCAAAAATGAAGAATGTTAGTTTATTGAAACCCTAATGCTGGTGGTGGTAGGGAAGGGAGAGAGGAGTGAGAGACCATGATGGCTTAGGGAAAGCATGTGCCAGCCAGGGGAGGGGGGGGGTGAAAGACAACTCAAAACAACTTGAAAAATGGTACAAAGGAAATATCAATGCTGAATGCCAAAAAGAGATAAAAAGGCAAAAGGAGTTCCAGAATACTTGAAACTATTGCTGCAACAAAGACACAGGCTGGATACCAACAAATTAATTACCAGTGCACCATACAAATGCTGGTAAACTTGCAACACAAACTAGAGATGCAGAGAAGGGGTAAACCAGCATGGTACATCACCAGGCCAATCTGGGGAAAAGGAGTTGGGCTGCAGAAACACACCTGAATATGGACACTGAGCTTGAACAGGAAACCAATGCAGAACTAGCCACCATAGATCCAGAAAGACCACCTTGCCCAAGAATATCTCCAACCTGGAAAACACCTGGAGCAATAACTAAATTGAGGAAAAGAGCTAAATGAAACCCCCATTGCAAACAGTCCAACCACAAAGCATCCAGTGCACGAGTCTCATGATTTGGTAATGAAGCCATATAATAGGGGACCCATAAGTTCCATGCCAATGCAAAAAGTTCTACCTTGGGGCAACCAAACACCGCACAAAGCCAGTAGAAGGATTTACTCGCTTACAGTTCCTTTTCCATTATTCTCCCAATGATGATGTTTCTTGATTGGATTAAAATGTTTACTCAACATAAGCTGGATACTAGACTTAAATGTTATAAACAGCTTCTGGTATGTAATTGGAAGTTTGTGTGCACTTTCTTAGGAGTCCATCATACCATTTCTCCCCAATTCACATTCTAAGATCCCCTTCTCCCTAGTCCCCCTTCTATAGTAAAATATATTTTTTACAAATAGCTCTCATTATTAAATTTTGTATTACATTTTCCTACAGAGCATCAGTCGAATTGGGGTCATTGGTGTGACTGTAATGGCATCGTTATCTGGATTTGGTGCTGTAAACTACCCTTACACCTCTATGAACATCTTCATGCGTCCAGTTACTAAACATGATATTCAAGCTCAGGAACGACGTTTGCTTCAAACCATTGATGTCATTGTAAATAAAAAGAAGAGAATAGCTTTAGCAGAAAAGGAAAGAATCACCTCTAAGGTAATGTACAGTACTTTAAATTGATTAATAGTTTGTAAATTACTGCTTCATTTAGGTACTGTACTATACTTCCAAGCCACATTCCATTTACTCCTATTTCTGTACACATTTATTAATTTTTGTGCTGTCACTTTGATGTGTTTTCACTACCCATTTGTGAATATTGATGTTATTTAATTTTTGCCATGCAAAAAAGGGCTAAATGTTCATGCATTTATTGCTTTCATATATACTTAATATTAAGGGACTTGTATCAGAAGCAATGTGGAGACTTGATAACCAAAATGTTGACATGGTTTCATATCTATTGTGTGGGCTTGGTGTTTACCACTGACTCTTGATCTGAGCAAATTTGTAGATATGCAAATTTGTTTTAATATACAAGTTGAGTGTACAGAAGTGTGCCTGTATGTACATGAATTGTTTAAGTATGCATGATTGATGGTGCACAATGTGTCTTACGCTCTCAGCCATATTCCATATTGTCTCCTGCTGTTTAAATGTTTCTTCATTCTTCACAGGCAGTCATAAATGAATGATGTCCTTGTTAGAATTATGTTGGCAATTTTTTTTATTGATTAATGATGGAGCATGTGTTATGGAAGACTTGGAGGTGCTGTGTGTGACCGGAGAGCATGGATGGCCCCTCTGTGCAAGGAGCTTACCCTGCTGGGGAATCTTGCATTTCCATGGGTGGAAGCTTGAATAGTATGTTACCAAAGACAATGGTCTTAGAAAGTTAGTGAAAAGACTTGCTGTACCTTTTGCCAAGGATTAAGTTGTTTGTAATGTGATGGAGCCCATTCAAGCATATATAACTAATTGTCATAATAATCTCTTTGTATCTGTTTATATTATTTTGTAGGTTGGGGATGAAGGTGGCCCCCACTCCAGAATTTGGGGTTTACTACGGAGTGTCACAGCTAGCAGTCCACAAGGAGAAAGCCTGTCAACTCTGAAACAAGAGGTTGCAGCTTTAGAGGTAATTTCAGTGTTTTAAAAAAAATATAATATTCTATGTATGTCAGTACAATTTTTGTTTTGTTTTTTTATTAATAAGCTTAGGTATACACAGCAATGTGCTGCTACCCTATTCTATATGAAAGATTACACAGTGTAGATCAAAAATTAGCTATAAGTTCATCTAATACTCTCACCTCACAGGATGGTTAGTCATACACGAAATGGGGGAGAAAATACCTGCCTCAATACAAAAACAAATTAACTCTGACTAAGCAGCAACTTCACGATTTTCTGGATGAGCTACAAGCTCTCATCTACAAGCTCCTCACCATTCCTCGGCGAGGAATGGTGAGGAGATAGTAGAGTACTTGTCAAAACATTTCTTTAGAGGGAGGTTGACTTTTGTGATCACCTTTCATTGCTTTTATAGGCAGTTTTTTCAGTACTGATTCAGTCTGTTCTTCATGAGTTTTATGGGTTCCTGATCTGACTAGCCTATCTAGTCTTGTCCAGTCCATAAGCAAAAAGGAGCTACAGAAACAGTTCCCAGAAAGAGGCGTTTCATTACACTTGCCATTTTTTTCTTTACATACAGTAGTAGCTCCAGAATTTTATATTGCGTATTTTTCAAATTGTCTCACTAGTTACTTGACCAAACATTTCTTTGTTAACAGGAACTATCAAGACAGCTATTCTTGGAGACGGTGGAACTGCAAAATCAGAGGGAAAGACTTGAATGGGCAAGAACATTTCAGGGACGATTCTTCAACTTTATGGGCTATTTCTTTTCTCTGTACTGCTCATGGAAAATCTTTATAGTGAGTATATCTTGTAAATTAATGTGCAGTTAAATGTAAGTTGATAATTCATTACTTTCTTTACTATCTGTATATTTTTCTGTGGTGAATCTGCTGTTGAAGAAAGGGCTGTTATTGATGGTGAAGGATGGAGACTGGGTGAATAAATGGAAGCATAGACTCATTTAATGAATCATTACTTTCTGCAACCCATCCTCTGAATAGACAGTACGTTTTAATACTAAATGTAATAAGTACATTCCTGACTGTCTGCATAGTACATAAATACACTTAATTGTGCCGTTACATTTACCTCCCCATATATTCTCCTAATTTTGTGTTTAATACACTCAAAATTTTTAGGTTGAAGTTTTCGTGTTCAATTCTATACACACAAGTTTTAAATATAAAGAATTTCCTTTTCAGTTTTATTAAACAACAGAGATTTTATACAAAATTTGAAAATATCCTGAGTTACTTTATAATTTATTGAAAGACTTTAGTTTTGTTTTATGAGTTTTATAAAATTGTAATATCAATATAGCTATAAGTTAAGTACTAATTGTAATTAAGAAGCATGGTCAATAACCATGTCCTAACCTAACCTCCCAAGGTTAGGTTAGGTCATGGTTTTCTATACAGTTTTTCAGTTAACTCTAATATTCACAATATTTTGATGCAATGCAGACAATTAAGTGTACAGTATTTATGTACTATGCCAATAGTCAGGATTGTACTTATTAAATTTAGTTTTAAATTGTACTGTCTAGTCAGAGGATGGGTTGACTTTCTGACATGCGCCTGACAGCTGGTTGGACAGCGCTTCGGATTCGTAGTCCTAAAGTTCTGGGTTTGATCCCTGGTGGAGGCAGAGACAAATGGGCAAAATGTTTCTTTCACCCTGATGCCCCTGTTATCTAGCAGTAAATAGGTACCTGGGAGTTAGACAGCTGCTATGGGCTGCTTCTTGGGGGGGGGGGATGTAACAAAAAAAAAATGAGGCCTGGTCGAGGACTGACCGCGGAAACGCTGAGCCCCGAAATCATCTCAAGATAACCTCAAGATCTCAAGATAAGAAGCTACCTCAATAGTTCTACTAGCTTGTGGAACTGATCACCTCAGGATACTGTAATCGAAATATGTTTTGGATTACTTGTTTGTACTTTCCAGGGACAAGTACAGTGGTACTGTATCTTCGTTTACGATCCTAATCCATTCCCAGAGACGCATTTTACACCAAAAATTCATAAAATAAAGCAAATTTTCCCATAAGAAATAATGTAAATTGAATTAATCCGTTCCACACTCTCCAAAAAATTAACTTAAAAATACATTTTATACCAAATACTACTATTTTTGTACTAAAATACAGTACTGTATGTATATCTTACCTTTATTGAGGACTCTTGTTGATGTATGGAAGACAGTGAGGAAGGGGGGAAGGAGAAGAGGTGTTAGTGTTTGGAAGGGAAGTCCCCTTCCATTATAACATTAAGCAGTGAGGACTTTTCTGGGGTACTCACTCTCCTATGATTTGCAGGCATGCCAATAAGACCTGGTTGTGGCTCACTGCCTATTTGTCTTGCTAAAAACCTATCTATTGACACTTGTTTTTCCCTTCGTTTTAACACACAGCATAGCAGAGTGAGGCATGTTATGTCTCACTCTGTAGTGAGACATAACATTGTCATTATAAAGATTAATGCAATGGCCTGTTAGCTTTATCTGGGTGATATTTTTCAGCAAAACTTTGCAGTTCTTCCTATACTTCACACATTTTCTTAATGAGGAAGGGAAATCGACAACCCGCATGTCATTTTCATGTTTACGAATGCTCTCTTGTTTTTCCTCTGTCGTCATCCTCACAACTATTTTCTTAGGTTGAACTTAGGTGGTGCCCCAGCACCACGTGTGCTCTTCGACCCATACATGTTTCAACATATGTCATATTCCAAGGAAAACGTAATACACCAATTCAAATTTTACGATGAATTTGATGTCGTGTACCAAAAAAATCATACTCTAGGGCAGTCATGCACCAAGGTACAGTACAACTGTACATTTGAAAATTGTTTTGTCCCCTGAATATGAAGGAGAGCTTTTGAAGATTAACCTTCAAGATGCAGCTATTGAAATATGGCCATACCTGCCCATGTGTAAAACATGAAGTTGCAACTTTTTTATTCTAATGATATAGTTGTTGGTTTGCCTGAATTATATGATTGATCTCTGATATATATACAAGGGCTTCGTGCTACATTGAGGGGGACAAGACTGAATTTGAAAAGGTCCTTGTCCCCAATGAGTAAAAATGTCATCCAGTGTCTAATGTGATCAGTGTCCTGGGGGTGGTTGGTACCACACACTAGGTGAGCTACCTGCCTATCATCTTTTGTTGCAGTGAATATTTTGCTCTGGCAATGTAAACAACAAAAAACTTTTAATTTTATGTGTGTGGGATTAACATACATTAGGCTTGCACTTCCATATTGTAGATGACAAATAAGGTGTAGATAATATTTAGACCAGTACTTTGTGTATTGAAAGTACTTCCTGTTATATTTATATACATCAGAGTAATGCCGAAATTTAAATATACACCTTGTTATTTGCTTATTTGTTTTAGGTCTTAACATTAAAACTTCTAAGTGGATCTTATGTCATGTGATCTTCTCAAGCAAAGAAATTGAGTTTCAAATTAAAAAGTTTGTCATTTGATTGTGCTTCATCCAGGTCTCTTGTGTCAGATAACTTCCACTCTCTTAGCAGTTCTTGAGACCTCAGCATTAAAGCAGTTGAAAAGTGAACTGAAATGAGACTTGGGTAAGTTATGATGTAATCCTGGGGCTTGTGATCCTGGGGCTTGTGACACTGGTTATTTCTGCAGTTGTGGTAGTGACTTGGAAGCAGTCTTGGACATATCTACCTCAAATGTGTGGGTAAATATAAATTAGCACATTGACTCTTTCCACTGAGAAATACATTTTTGTGAGAGTTCCTGCTCTAAATTACCAAGCTGTTTTAGTTGTTTCATTAAATTTTATACTAGGCTGCATGGTTAGTGGATTAACAAACTCCCCTGCAGTTTGGTTCTCCTGTTAACAAAATACATTTTGTAGACATGAAAAAGATGAAGTGTTTCTTAGCTCAGTTGTAGCTTGCATTTTCCTGGTATAAGAAACTAAAGTCTTGTATTGACTTACAAGACAACATAAAAAAAGGTCATGTGAAAGGAATAAAATTGAACTGAAATCCTGTCAGAATACATTTAATCCTCTTCCATGTCTGAATATTGGATGCATTTTGTTTGATATTATTTTAAATATAATGACCACATTGTCTAAGAGTAGTGTAAACAAAGAGATTAAATGCTGAAACAATGCTAGCTGCCAGACATTCTAGTAATAATTTATAAATCATGAGTTGGTGTAGTCTTTATTTCTGCGAGGACTTCCCTCGGTGGCTCCCTGGAGCTAGTTGCCAGGAAGCCACCAGAAAGAGGCATTTCATTATATTCAACCGTGGATTATTTTTTCAGCAAATTTAAAATATTGAAACTAGCAGTCTCAAATCTTGAAAGGAAACAATATAGTATTTATCTTAAATATATAAAGATCACTATTTGAACCATCATTGAATCAAAATGAGGAAAAGATAGTGCCATGTACATATGGATTCTTCATCAATTGTTAATATTTAAACCCTTCTACAGCAAATTGCATAAGTTTGACTGGATTTACAATATCTAACATGCATTTATTAATAATAAAGTAAATGCTGTGGTCCTGACTAGATATTGATGATACTCTGAGCAATTCTTAATCCCAGAAAGACAAGAAACCTTTCAGTTTGTTTTGTTGCTGTGATATTGGAGAAGAGAGCTCATGGGAGAGAACAGTTTCATCCTGCCGAGGCAGCTGCTTGCTACAACATTTAGAAACCCCTCAAACTACTCAACAGTACAGTACTCTTAGTCATTCAAACACTGCAAAAAGCTGTTCTAAGCTAATTAACACTCCAACTAATCTGGCTACCCTACTGGAGGCTCGAGTTGGTAAGCTGGCTGCCTCACCTGCCTGCCCTAATTTTGGATTAGACTGTGATTAAAGAGCAAGGATGGAAGCTACCTAGGCACGTCTCAGAATGGGGCATTTTATTTCATTAATTTTATAAATGAAATTAAATGAAATTTCATTTTACTTATGAGCAAAATTCCCTTAATAGCTATCCTAACCACCTCTCCATAGTACTGTACTACAATACAGCACTCCAATCCCAAGTAACCATACTAATATGTACTGAACAATGACTGATTAAACAATAATCCTAATCCCATTAATTGAAGAGGTTGGGTAGGCAAGACTAGTGGTGGAGGAGTTTTAGGCATCCCTCCACACCAATACTGCTAAGACTATGACTTTAACTGGGATTTTCATAATCTTCTTATTAATAAACATTATTTTGGTCTAGAAGCTGATAGCAATATTGAAGGCTTCTAATATTTAACTATCGGAGGTAGCGATCAACACACTCCATCACTGGTTAAAAATGATGCAAACTTGAGTTGTAACTCACTTCTGGCATTGTAACTCACTTCTGACAAAGACATGTAATTACAATATTTTACCAGAATAAACGTATGTAGGTCATGAAGAGGATAAGTTTAGTAGTAGTTAAAGCAGAAAATAATGTAAGTGAAGTGATTGCTTGGAAAAACAACTACTGTTATTTATAGCTAGTTGACAGATTCATCTAAGAATGGAAATTTACATATACAGTACTGCATACAGTACTGTATACAGTATACTGACTGGCTCATTTAAATAATTTTTTAAATTTGTATTTACAGTAAAACTACAGTAATGTGTGTGTTTAATGCCAGTTCATTTGCATATGTACTGAATTTTGATCCATTTTTCTTTTTCTAGTCACTGGTGAACATTGTGTTTGACCGAGTGGGCAGAAAAGATCCAGTTACTAAAGGGATGGAGATTGCTGTTCACTGGTTGGGTTTTGACATTGATGTGCAGTTCTGGTCCCAACATATTTCATTTTTCCTTGTGGGCTGCATTATTCTCACATCAATTCGAGGATTCATATTGACACTAACTAGGGTAAGTCATTATGTTTGGCATGATGCAGTATTCTTAGTCTTCTAACATTTCATTTGCAGGTAAAAAAAAAATAGTCTTCAATGAAAGCACTACTGTCGGGTAATTAAAATAGTGCATGAACTTTTTCATGCAGGCTTATAATTATAAATCATTATAGGCTTATAATTGGCTGTATTTTAAAGTACTGCATGAACTTCATCCTTAATAATTTTTTATGCTGTCCTTACGTTTCAGTCCATTTTTTATTTTTTATCTTACTTCATTTTATATACTTTATTACCATTGTATTATTATAGTATAACTTCCAAAATTTGGACCCCTTTATAATGCAGGTTTTTCTTTCGGGTCGTGCCTCTGGAAATTTTGATCTAGCTTTCCGTAAGCGTTTGCCTTGAAATCTTATTTGACTACGCATAGTAGTTTACTACAGATTATATTTGTTTACTATTTGTACCTAATCTTGTGCTTTTAGTAATATTATTTAATAATTTAAGTATTATTATTATTATTATACTGTATTATTTAAAATACTGTACAGTATTATGTTAAACAAAATTGCTAGAAATTGTATTCTGTACTGTAGTAGTGCTTGTGTATATATTTTTCACTTCCCTAACTCCTTACAGTACATTACAGTACTTCTCACAAATGAGGTTAGAAGAGGAGGTTAGGGGGTGTGACACATCTGAAAGGTAAGAGGCAACTGTCAGGTCAGTCCTAGATTTTCCTATAACTGACAGTCTGATAAAACCAGAACAATTCTTCTTTACCTAACCTATTATATCTTGGTCAGGTGAGTGGTCCTGCATATCTGCGGTTCCTGAGAGGCATCTTGGTTGCCTTTAAAAATTGGCTTAACATTTAGCCACTTCCTTACTGTGTTGTCATTCATCCCCAATATAAGCAAGATTTCATCTCATGGTATTCTAGAATGCATATTTATGCTCTGTATGACAATGTAGCTATGCTTCAATTGTACTTCTCTTCTGGGAATGTGAGACAGATTTGTTTCTATTCTTGCCGTGAAATGAGAACCATGTCTTCTGTATCTGGGTTTATTTGAATTCAAATACTGTTCCACTTCCTGGTTGCAGTACAGGGTCTCAACCTCTTCCTGGCTAGTAGATAATCCATTGCTTTCATTGGGTAAAACAGAACTTTAATCATGACATTTAGTGTTGGAGTGGAAGAAAGTCTTCCCAAGGGTTAATGTTGTTTTGAGGGTCTTCTTAAATGTCTTGAAACAGGCACTGTATGCTCCTTGTCCTGTGATGGCGTGTCCTGGCAGCTTCATGTTCAGGTCCCCCCTCTTGTTTCCAACTTTGTCACAACTGACTACAAAGTTTGGTCTTGCTTTGCTGATGTCATTTGATATGTTTCTGCCCCCATGCAGCTGCAGGGTGAGTTTGCTTCCAGAGCTGTAGAGTCTATTCTGGCCTTGTCAGCTGCTGTGACTATCAGGCCTTGCCTAAGAGGTTCACACCACTTCTGTGCTATGTAGGGTTGGATTTATTTGCATCTGTCTTGCCTTCAAAAGTGCCATGTTGAACCATTACTTGGCATCCACTTGGTCATTTATGCTGCCATATGTTTCTCCATTTTCTTCTCTCCTATTTCCTGAGGAGGCTGTGGATTTGACTCTACCAGCTTCAGGGGAGACTTTCCAACCACTGTGGAAAGTCACCCCTGAAGATGTTTAGATTAAAACCCATATCACCCATCAGGAAAGTGGTCACTCGGGTGTTTCTCAGGTTTCTTGAAAATGTAGTCATTCTGGTGCACCATTGACGCCTGAGTGCAGATCTCCATCCTTCTGGTTCCTATAATTAGCAGGTCTTATTTAATGCTGGTTGACTCACTGTTTAATGTTGGTTGACTTCAAGAGTATAAAAGAATGAATGATGAAGTGATTTCGTGGTAAATCCCAGTTGTGATGTGGTTGTTCTACAGTTGAACACCTCTAGGGTTAGTCCTGGGATGCCTTGCCTCTTCAGTTGGCTTCCAAATGCTTTGAGTTTCAGCCCTTCCTCTGGTGTTTCAGCATACCCAACCATCTACCCATTAATATGTAATGCCATAAAATGAATGCGGTAAGGATTATAGTTTAATCAGCTATGAACAAATATAATAAGACTAATTAAAACTTCTTTAATAAATTAACACTTTCGCTCACCCCGCGCGCCACCCCTCGACAGGGCGATATGGGCCCCAGAGTGTCACGGAAGCGCGCGTTAATTCCGAAAAGTGTATACTCTCTTCAACTTTGTCACCTCAATTCTCCTTCTACGAGATTAAATTTGGTATCATTGTGTTCGCAATAAAATTCTCTACAGCACTAAATGCATATAAACTCCAAAAGCCCGGCTAATTACCCGCAGCAAACAGAGAAAGTGCGAACGAGTTACCCGGGAGCGCGCAAACGGGATAAAATGTTTTCACTATTTTCACTCTGGTCACCTCAATTTTTGTCCTAGGTCTTTCATTTTGGTCTCAATGGGTTCGTAATAAAATTCTCTAGAGGAACATTAGCCTATAAAAAAAAAAACCTGGTCACGCTCCAACCGCCGACGAGTTGAAGACGGGCCACGTGTTAGCCGTGAGTGAGTGCTCAGAGGCCTTCCTGCTACACTCCCAATTCCTACCCTTTTCAAGCCTTTCTTTCGCAATTTTCTTCCTGGAAGGGCCTTGTTCATGATTACTATCCATCGTGGAGTAAGCGTAGATAGTTTCTAAAGCCGCAGTAAGAAATATAGCCATGGAAAATAGCCGAAATGTTCACACGTTTGAGATGCGAGGGGAAGCGACATTGGTCACAACAGTGGAGCAAAGACAATGGGCCCACGGCGTGTGCCAAGCAGCCTGAGGGCGACGAGGCTCAACAAAGAAAATGGGAAGACATCGGCGCACATTTTAAAACCAGTCCCCAAAAAATCGGATAAAAACCTGATTTTTGGCGAATTTTTAAAGTGGATGACGCAATGCTGCGTCATCCCCGGCATTACCGCCAGTAAACGGATGACGCAATGCTGCGTCATCCCCGAGCGAAAGTGTTAATTGGTTTTAACCACTTCACAGTATTCAATGACTAATTTATTGTTATATGTCACATTCCAGAAGAAAATTTGTCCTTGTTTCAATCAAGCCATTAATTTTGTGCAATATATGAATATACATTACTGCATATTTTATTGCAGTTCTTCTATGCAGTGTCTAGCAGCAAATCTTCGAACATCATTGTATTAGTTCTGGCACAGCTGATGGTAAGTACCATACACCCTTGCAAGCAAATAAATAATTATATTCATACACACACATGAGTAGAAGGCAGATGATGGGAACTGATTGGGAATTTTAAATCATAGTGGAAAGTATTCTGGAAGCGACCCGTGTATTCCATCTGATATTACTAGAGTTGCTTAACCATTTTGGTATGATTACTCTTACCAAGAAAAATAAAGCACATATATTTTTGTTTACTCACTTAATCCATGGATAGCCACTATAGAAAAATGGTCATCCCTGCCTGTGAGCAAAGAAATAAATAATTTTTCATTGTAGAATTATGAATATGTATGCAAAATATAAGAAAAACATGAAAATAAGTGAATGTCTATCTTTTTACTTGGTGGAGGTGCTCTGAAAGGTTGCACTCTGGCTATATGGTCTGGTATCTCTCAACACATGATGCTGACTTTGCTCACACTGAGGTATGCGATACAAGACTCTGACGACTCTTGTGTTCTCCGAATCTTTCACTGATTGTTTATAAAGAGAGAGAAGCAAATGATGAACAGATTTATTTAGGAACTATTTGTAACTAAAGAGGAACAAGATATAAACATTTATTTAGAAACAACATTTCTGGCAAGGCAGTGTAAATTGTAAAATCCAGATGACAGTAAAATTGGGTAACCAGGTGTCCGAAGTAGACACGTGCCACTTGTTGACACCTGCTATTCTATCTCCCGCTCTCTGGGGACAGAAAGTAGCCTAACGAGTCACCAGAGGTGCTGCGAGGTCCCTGTGTTTTGGCTGGTGTAAACATGTGTTAAATGCTGACCTCATCATGAGAGAAAGTGAATACAGAACCGACAGTAAGCATACTGTAAAGGGGCAGTGACTTGAGTGTCACTGGTGGAACTCGAAGAGGCTCTGTCCTTTGTCTTCCCCCCCCCCACGACAGGGGGGGGGGGGACAACCTTCCCCTTCATTACAACCATGCAGAGTAGTGAAAAGCATGTAAGTATAATATACATGGGTGTTGAGCTCTGGGTGATGACATAGAGCATAATTGGCACCATATGGGCAACATTATGGATTGAAATAAAGGCATAAGCCACCAATGTGCCACCCAGAGATGACAGTAGGCTCTTAATACACGTAACATGTGATAATGGTTCAATTGATTTTTTGGTTTGCCTGGTATACCTCATTACAACCTTTCGAAGTTGTCCCCGTGTGTGTCCCCGTGGCCTTCCTCCTTTCACCATAACCGGCAGTGGGAAACGGCTCTAGCAAGATTGCATCTTGGCCATACTCTCTTAACTCATGGTCACTTAATGGAGCGCCGCCCAGCTCATTATGGTCCAAATTGCATTGTCCCTCTTGCAGTCGTGCATATCCTTGTTGAATGTCCTGACTTCCAGGACGAGCGTGTGTCTTGCTTTCCGACCACCCCTTGCGGTCACTTGTCCCTCGATAAACTTCTTGGTGAATCGGATACTTTTGACATCATTCGCCTTATGCGTTTCTGTTCTCGTATTGGCATCCTTGGTGATATTTAGCGTCCTCTGATTATTCCGCACATTTAATGGTGCTACATAGCCTTCCGGGTTTGGTGCCTTTTTTTTATAATTACTTACTTAAGAATTGATTGAGTAGGTATATAGGTGAGGGGAGGTGGACTTTCTTGCTTCTATTGAGTTATCCATATTCTGCTATTGGTCTCCAGTAGGCGCTTGTGACTCACAAAGGCCATAGGAGTATGTTAGGTTATGATCTATTCAGGTGGATAGGTTGTAGAACCACCTAGGGAAGCCCTCCCAGAATTAGGTCAACCACACCAAAATACAAAATTGCACTTGGCCAGAACAGGTCCACACTGTGGTAGGACTGGGCCATAAACAAAAATAATAATTAGCGTAGTGAAGCATTGCTTTCTGAACCAACTCTTTGGTTGATTTCTTGAGCCAGGAGCCACATGAGACAGAACTAAGCTGCTATATTAAGGCCTCATTACCTTCCCACCAAGTAACTTATCAGGTATAAGGTTGGTAGAGACCATTAATTAACATTCTAAAAATTGTCAAAATCAACAGGCCTAGCCAATGCCACTGCCAGGTGGCAGCATCCTATATATAAACAAGGTGGACCGGAGTTACCAACACAATTTCAATCTTGAAAGCTCAAGGAAGTGGTACAAAAGAGTAAGAATGTGAGCATCCACTGGACTTGTTAAGAAAATAGTTTTTTACTAAGCTGTACTTTGGGTATGGAAATAAAGCAAAGCAGAGCCTACTTATTGACTTGCCCAAGCATCCCACTATTTGAGAGAGAAAGTTTTCCAGTGTAATACTGTAGATCGACAATATTGACAGGGTACATTGGAGAGGTTACCATGTTGCAGATGCCCTGTTCAATCTCCAGAAACTACAGGCCCTAATATCTTGAGGAGGACAGGATTAACAGAAAAAAAAACATGAATTTTACATTCTTTCAGAGGCTATATGCATGGGGACAAGCTTGTAGTTTGACTTAACCACCCGTTGAAGCCATTGTAACAGTTGTCATGGGTTTCGGGTTGAGAAATACAGAAGCAGCAGTGGAAGCCTGAGACACCTGAAAATACTGGCACAGAGCCGCACCCTACATTACCTTGGTAATAAACAGTACTAGACCTAGTATAAAAATATAAGAATTTGTTTTATCACTTTCAAATTTAATATGAAAAAGGTCTATATTATATACTAAATATTTTTCGTTCTTTCCAGGGAATGTACTTCGTATCCATGGTGATGCTAATGAGAATGAACATGCCCCTTGAATATCGGACAATTATTACACAGGTGAGGTCTTCACAGTTAAGCTGAGTAAGCCTAGGTATTTCCCAGCCCATCCTCCAGTTTTGGTAGTAATTATAGTAATGATGAGGACCATAATATATATACCGACGTACAATGAAATTAGAAAGTAGAAATCAGCAGTATTGAGTTCGTCAAACCTGTAAACTATTTTCTACTTGTGTTGCAAAGACAAATTAAACTAACCTAACCTTCCTAGGCCTAATACATGATATCTGAGGCCTAATATAGTACATATGTGTGCTATTCTATGCCTAGGAATATTTAACTTTGTATCTTAGCTTCATTTTTGAAGAAATGAAGCTTTAAGTACATACATGAAAAGCATTTTTCTGACAAATTCACTGTCTCTTCCCCCTCTTCTTTTCCTGGCTTCCCTGTGCTCGATGTTTTCTCATTCCTTTGGCATCATGAGAAATTGAGAAGGAGGGTTAGGTGGCAAATTGAATGGCAATGTTATGGTGTTAACATTGGCTTCTGGCAGTAAATTGTAGTAACTTATTGATAATTAAGCAGTTATCCTGGTGTAGGGTGGCAATCTCAGAGTTGCAAAGTTGCATTTCGGATGAGGTTTTGGGTTTATGGAAAGCATTTTTCTCTCTTCATTCTTGGCTAGACTGAGTATTTTTCAGTGTTTTCCTAGCATAAATATGACCCAACAAGGCAGTTGATAAAGTTCCTACTACACTGGTGTGGGATGTTGATCTTTTTTGACTGTGACTGATCCTATTCGGGGGCAAATGATGTATAATCTTGCCATAAGGAAGTAACCATTCAAAGCTAGGATTTCCAAAAGCCACACAGGACCAGCCTATAAGCCATAGGTATGGTTCACTGCTGTAAAAAATGTAGGTATATTAATCGAGAATAATACTGTATTGGACAATTGTTTATGAAATAATATTGATTTATGATAATTCCTTTTTTTTCCAACATTCCATAAACTGTTAAGGAATATTTTAAGCTTACTCTCACACGTTTCTGAATTAATGAATCTGATGTTTGGCCTGTGTAATGAAAGTTTTCTGGCTTATATTTCAGGTCTTGGGAGATCTGCAGTTCCATTTCTACCATCGATGGTTTGATGTTATTTTTCTAGTATCTGCACTCACTACCATGGGTATTCTTTATCTGGCACACAAACAAGTCAATACCACCGATAAGACGGAAAGTTTCTACGAGCCAAAGTGGTGACGCAGATCATTGTTTACTTTGTGACTATTTACATTTTTATGAAATGAACTTGTTTAGCAGAAAATTCTGTGTACTGTTGTGATAAAACTAAACTGAAATTTAGGGGTAGCTTTTTTTGAAATGAGATTAGAAATAATTTAGCAGTTATATATTATATCTATTCCTAAACTGCTGAATACTATATGCTCAATTCATATATTATAGTAAACTTCCAATTTGTACATTTGTAATTTTGTATCCTTATTAATTTAGTTTTCAGAGCTATATGTGCTGTGTTGATAAGGATAACATAGTTACCTATTTCCAAATGGTCCTGTATCAATCTATACACTATGTCTTTAACACCTTGCCTTTGGGAATTCCATATCTTTCCAGATCATCAAGTGGCACTCCATGAAAATATAGCCAAATAAAGGAATTATGACAGAAAACTAGCAGTTTGTCAAGTACAAAGTCAACAAATAAATAAGCATGTTAATTGTTGGCAAGAAATGAGCGAGCATTTTTTTTTAATTAGGCGATATCACTATGTACTTACAAAATAGTAACGGGAACCAACGAAATTGAGAAGGAAGAATTCCAGAGATCTGTAACTTAAAGAACAAGAGGTAATAAATTTAAGTTAATTAACACTTTTCTGGATTTTCGACTTGGAATTACGGGCGTTTTCCCTAACCGCTTGTCGGATCACGACGTAAATTTACGGTGCGGTTTAAAATATTTGTAAAAAATCCAGTTTAAATCCGATTTACTTGGGGTTTGTTTCAAACTCCGCGCCATGAAATTCCCGTTCTCTCGGGTAGGCCGCAAGTCACGTCGGCCTACTGGGTCACGTGACAGGCCGTGACCCAGTGATCCGTCACGTGATCGGATCTCTCTCCCCTCGGCCGCCAAACTCGCACGTTTTCAAGGATTATTACCCGTTTGTGTGTGTTTATAACCCACTAAATTCATCAATAATGGATCCAGCACCAGGCCCAAGCGGTGTTTCGGCTACAGGAGCCTCAGAATCAAGTGGAAAAGACAGGATTACCGCCATCTACAGGAGGTTTGCTGGTATGAGGCTCACTCCCACCAAGATTCCCAATGTCTTGGATGCCTTTGATCAAGCTGAAAATGAACGAAGTGATGCAGAAGGTGAGGATGTAGAAGAAGAATTTGAAATTGGGGGCCATAGACCCCTTGGGGATGACTCAACAGAGGATGAGACTGAAAGCCAAACTGAGGAGGAGGAGGAGGGGGCGAGTTGCGGGCGACAAGCGAGTTGTCTCTATGATTACCAACCTACACAATGCAGACACAAAGAAAGTTCAGAAAAGAAAACGAGTTCGCAGGGCAGATGGAACAGTAAGACTACAGCAGGTTGTGGTGAACTAACCACAGGCAATTGTTGACTACAATAAGTTCATGAAGGGTGTTGACCACTTTGATCAAATGGTAAAGTATTACCATTTCGCCAGGAAATGTCACAAGTGGACCAAGAAAATAACATTTTATTTCTTGCAAATGGCATTGCAAAACGCTTATGCATTGTAGAAGGCCAACACAGATGATCGAAGGAAACTAACTCTGCTCCAGTTCCATGAAGTTGCTATTTGGTCTTTATTGAAATTTGACAAGGCAGAGTGGCCTGCAACAACTACACCATCTCCACATCTAGTTCATGCTCCAGACATAAATGATGACACTGGTCCTGTGTATCCTGCTGCTGACCCGTCAACACCTGGCCCGTCGGGTGTGAGGCGCCCTCTCTTCACGTCTACACCTAGTGCTGAAGCTGAATCTGATGAAGATAATTCATATTCCACATTAGTGTTTCAAAACAATAGTGAGAGCGACGATTCAGACAGTAGTTTATTGCCAACCCAGAGACAACAGCGACGTGTTGTTATAGCAGAGACTCGCCTGAACTATAAATTGAAACATGAGCTGGTAAAAATCCCCAAACGTCGCAGGTGTGAAGTGTGTGCAAAGTCGGGTATCAGGAAGGAAACTGGTATAGCGTGCAAGACATGCGATGTTCCACTTTGCGTCATACCTTGTTACACCACTTATCACAGGAAAAGGGTGTATTGGGTGGACAAGAAATAACCACCCGCACCAGCTTCACTCCACCTAGGAACATCTGTTGAGCAACTTCAGGAATCAGTACCTGAAGGAGGTGGAGTGGAGATAAAATGCTCAACTTATTTTACTACAATCGTCTTTGCTTTGGTAAGTACACATAATTGTCTTAGATTGTTTCAGTATTGTAGTCTATTTTCTTAGGAATATTTTGATACCTAAATGAGAACTGTAGCACGAGAACTAAAGTAAGTATACAAGAAACAAGAGAAACTTTTTTTGTGGGTGTTGCGGGTGTGAGTTGGAGTGTCAAGAGCGGGTTCCGGTTGTGTGTTTTCCGTCATCTCAACAGCTGTGAATTCCAAGGAATTGTATTTGATATGCATATGTCTGTTTAGGGAATTTTATTTCGAACACTATACAAAAGAAAAAAACGGTGTGAAACAAGTATAAACTTGAAAAACATGAGCAAAGTAAAAACTTTTGACGCTCACGGGTACAAACACGCGTAAGATTTTATTCGCCGCAAATTTATTTGACGCTGTGTTGGCCAACTCTACCCATGTTCTTATAGAACTTTCTATTGCGAACACATTGCTATAAAAATGAAATACGTAGCTCCAGAAATAATGTCAGGACAGTGAAATAAGTATAAACATTCAAAGCGCTGCATCACACCAGTGTCGTCGCTGCTGAAATCACGGCTAACGCTTCGCCCAGTTCCCACACTCGTGCGGGTCACCCGATACCATAATTAGACATTGATAGGCGTATGTCTGGGTGGGGAATTTTATTGCGAGTTCAGTGATATCAAAATGAGCGCTGTAGGATGACTGTGAGGCTGGCAACAAACGAAAGAGTATGAACATTTACTTCCTGTTTGGGTGTCACGGCGAGTCATCTTCGTGTTTATTTACTTCGTGGTGGGATACCAAATGCTTGGGTGACATTTTATGCATATGATCTTGTAGAGAATTTTATTGCCAACGCATTGATACCAAAATGAAAAACGTAGCTCGAGAATTGATGTTAAGAGCGTGAAAAGATTATACACTTTTTTGTGTTTACGCTTGAGCGCCCAGAACGCCGCGCGCACAACCCGCTTTATTTTCAGCAAGTGCCGCGCGCACTAAAGTGTTAAACAAAGCTGCTGAAGAGATGTAAGAAAATTAACTTTTGCAAACACATTGGTAGAGTTGGAACATGTTAAGCGAAAAGGTGGTGGAGGCCTATATTGATAGTACTTTCAAAGTGTTATATGACAGAGTACTCAAAAGATGGGACACCATGAGCATAACTCTCATCCTGTAACTACACTTTAGTAATTACTGTACTTAATTTATGTATGTGCTACATAGTCTAACCAGCTTCATGACATCTTTTGATAACAATTTACTGTGCATAATATAAAATCTACCACTAACTATGCTGAGTAAGTTATGAAAAAATTAATGAAAAATGTTTCTTTTATAGAAATTCCAAAATCATTGAATACTTGTATCAGATGCATCATCACTGAATGCAGAAAATGATTCATCTATGTATCATTTACAGTGGTACCTCGGAATATGAGCGTCCCTGTTTGCGAGTTTTTCAGATTACGAGCAGGATTTGCTCGAAAAATTTACATCGGAGTACAAGCGTTGCCTCGGAATACGAGGGTGTTGATACGCGTACAGGCCGACTAGCGCGTGGTGGCACGGCGATCGCGCCTCAGTTTACCAGTGCCTCGCGCCCAGTGACTATCTCGCCTGAATTCTTCACAAGGATTTAGTTTTTGTCGGAAGTGCTAGTCACATGAAGTGTTGGTTTTTGGTTTCTTGCTAGGGGAGTTATTTTGATCTTTTGGAATGTAGATTGGACAGGCTAACCAGACAGTGGTCTGTTTTGATTCGCCCACCTTTTTGGGTCCCTCCCGGGTCAATGGTAATTATGACATATTATAAATGTAAAGTTCTCATAGGCCATGGCTCCCTGCGCCTCTCTGAGGGGACCAGGTTCTGGCTCGTGATTCCCGGGAGGCATAAGAACTCCTGCGAATGATGACCCCAAACTAATATAGCACATATCAGTTCAAACAGCTTCAGGAAGTCTCTAGGGCTTGCCCAGAAAATGGTATTTCATTACATTCAATGCTGGGTTTTGTCCTCCATGTACCTGATATTTTAAAGAACCATTAGCATAATTTGGGATAACAAAATACATAATTTTCCAGCATGCTTCCAAAAATCATACAGCACTTTATTCTTTTAAACTAGTGACATGTGAGTGGATCCAATCAATGAAGTAAGACACCTCTGTGTAGACATCAGGGAGGCCAGGTCGAGCACAGCCATAGCTCCAGGACACCACTCCAAATAATGACGCTTCACAAGCTAATGGTCCCCCTGAGTCACCCTGGCAGATTCCCTTCCCACCTTCCTCAAGCCTGGCCATGCAAAATAAAAAAAAACTTCATTAAAATTGGGTGCAAGTGAATATAAAAACTCTGGTAAGAAAAAAGACTACTCAGATGATCCCAAAGGCAATATCTTTTGGCCCAATTGGACAATATTATGACACTAAGAGCAGGGTGCCATTCTGCAATAGTACAACAGGAACTTTGTCAGATGTTCCAGGCATGTCACACTGCTGCTAGGTATGCTCTGAAGAATAGAATAGTGAAAAGTACGCCTATGAGCAATAATTTTGGTTTTCTCAATTATTGCTCATAGGCGTACATTTTCCTCATGACCTTGCTCATAGGTGTAGCTATACAGTATTTCCGTAAACTTGGCAATGCCCGGCTTCCGTTGACAAATATATTCCCATGCCCGTGATTAACAATTGCTTGTAGGTGTAGTCAAATTTTCTATGGAGATTAAACGGCTCTCCTGTCATCCTTAATTTTAGTTACCTTAGCAATGCATAGTTCTAGCCATCCCTAATATTCAGTGACGTCATCAGCCAGTCATCCTCCCTCAATCAGTCCATTATCAATTAATGCATATTTTACAAAATTACTGATGGAATTACATGCCTGTGCCCTATATAGTTTGTTCAAGTAAGCACACACACTATTACCTTAATGACAGCCTTAATGGTTTTGTTACCAGCAATATAAGGCAGCAGTTCAATACAAGGTGTACAAGTAAATTGTTGTAGCAGATGTTAAACTACACCCAGACCACCAATCAGGAGACCTAGTCAGAGACTGGCCATGGAGTTCATCCTTGGAACAACCATGAGGTAACCACTCACTGGGGTCTGATTACAATAATCCGTCCCCTTTAATCATTTGTGCTAACACACGTGTAACAAGTGCGCAATGAACTAATTCACAGGTAGAAGAGACAACAATACGCAGGTAGAAGAGACAGCAATACGCAGGTAGAAGAGACAGCAATACGCAGGTAGAAGAGACAGCAATACGCAGGTAGAAGAGACAGCAATACGCAGGTAGAAGAGAGAGCATTACACAGGTAGGTAGGAGAGGTAGAAGGAAAGGGAACTATTAGGAGAAAGTGCCAAGCCATTATATACAGGTAGAAGAAAAACTAAGACCAATTAGAAATATAACACAGATGGAAGTGATAGACACACAGGTAGGAGAGACAGTAACACACAAATAGAAGAGAAACAAATACATGAATGTGGGAACAAACCCTGCACATAGCATGGAGTCCATAATCTCATCCTGGGTGTAGGCTTCTCGGCAGTCATGATCGGTGAGGACGGGCACTTGAGTGTAGAGCAGTATGGTAGATGCTTTTCCCCCCTCCGTGGTCCTTCCCCACCCTGACACATTGCACAACTCTGCTGGGGCCAGTGGTCATTGAGGAAGGAGGAGGACAGGTTTAAGGAAAGTTACAAGGTGATGAAACACTGGCAATACAGTATTACAGTATTAGTATTGTTACGGTAATTTCCTGCTTAGGCCGTAGTTCCTGCCTGTTCCCTCATCTGCCTATTCACCAACGTATCTGCATGCTCCAACATAAGGAATCAACATCAGTGACAACAATAATACATGTTCAAAACGTATTGGGTGGCTAGACAGACCCCCCCCCCTCCTCCCTCCACCTTATAGTACACAAGACACCTGCTGTCTGGGTAGGGGCTCAGACGCCACTCGCTAACTGCTTGTTTAACTGCAGACCGATGGTTACCTACAAGATTCGTGCCATCTCTGACGTCATTGGCCCATATATATACAGCTCGCCGGCTTCCAGTCAGAATACACTTCGTGCCCTCAGTAGTAACATCTACTCTCACCTCCCCGGGAGAGAGTAGATGCGCACCTCTTTTTTGATTAACATAAAAATTTCTCCTGTATTTATATTTCTTTTAAATTTTGTGTAAAGCCAAGTGTCTAAGGGTGTTTTGTTTTTCATTATTTTGTGTTATTTAAACATTTAATATAACAAAAATGACTTAAGTTTTTTTATTCGCTTTGATTTTCACCCACAGCTCTCACACGGTAGAGGTCATAAGCAGTTTTTCTTTATTTATTTTTTTAATAATGTGCGGTTGGCACAACACCAGCCAGAATAGCCACTGCTCTATTACAGATTCTCGTCACAGTATCAACAAATCAAAATATGGGTGTAAAACAGGAAAATGACAAAATGCGTAGACAACTTTTCGAAACATTGAAAAAGAGTACAAATAAGGTGATAAAAGATTTTTAAAGACTAATATGAAAGATGGATAAAATGGGTATTAACACAACACGAGGGAGGTAGCAAAGCATTTGTAATAGCAAAAAAATCATACTAACAACATAATACTGTATTTAGATCTCCAGTTTTATGGAGAAAATTAATTGCAAAACCCAGATTAATATGGATTTAGAACTGGAAGATCTTGCCTTTCACATATACTCAAGCCCAACAAAATGAAATTTTAGAGGAAAACCAAAATGCATATTACAGTATATACAAAGCCTTTGCAAAATCATTTGATTATAGAGTGATAGTTTACAAAATAAGGCAAGAAAAGTGGGGTCATGGATAGTCAGTTTTCTATCAAACATTATGCAGAGTAACAGTTACCCAAACAAAATCAAGTCTGAACACAATGAAAAGCTCACACACATTGTTCTTATGCCACTACTGTCTCATCCTCATTTCAGACAAAAATACAAATCACAGCTTCATGTCATCTTTTCCAGGTGATACCAAAATTATTATATGAAAATTACCTCAGTAGAAGATAATATAATCTTTCTCTCCCATTCCATGAAAGAAAGTTAGTCAATATTAAATTTAGCACTAATAGCAGGATTATTAAAAATTTCTTATCAATTAAATTAATTCCACATTGAATCCCATTGAGAATTATCAGCGTTAATATTTCAAAATAGCATAAGGATTAGCGAACTGTAATACAGTACTGTACATGTTATGAGCACGAGAGATTCTCCACTATAGCTCCAGCAACTCTTACATTATAATTAGTATAGAGTCTGAGAATGTCTGATAATGGATCACCATGCTTCAAGCATGAAATTAAATTTAGTTTGTAAGCAACATCACAGGCATATGTGCTGTCAAGTAGCAATAGACCTGCGTGCCAATAATTCGATAACTGTGTATAATATATTCATCTTTGTATACTGGCATTATAGTACAGTACATGCTGTATGTTTCTGTACTCAAACGTTCTTATTCACAAATGGGCTTTAATTAAACTTATATGTGGATAAAAGACATACATTACCTCCTGTCACATTCTTGTCGAACTGGGGCAGATCTAACTGGTTCACGAACTCATTGTAGACAAACGGTTCCTCCAAACGCAGTATGGCAATGTCGTTCTCGTAGGTAATCCTGTGCAATATTTCTTCATTATCAATTTTTAATCTAAATTTTGTTCAATCAAACAAACAATTGGCAAGAATATATTGACAAATATATGTTTTAAGAACGAAAGTGTTCGATTGTATTAATGTCTTGAGCAACAATTATGCTAATTACAGTATTGACCCCAGAAGAGGGTGGCTAGGAAAGAGTGTAATAATAAAAGTATGCAGAGTGGAAGATGGGAGAGAGGATGATGGAGGTGGAGCGTAACATACGGATCATAGTAAGGGTACTCTATGATGAAGTTGATGTTTTGCACCTGCTCATCACCATCCAACTCATGGAGGTCTTGTTCCCCTGCCACCACCTGCACGTGTTGCAAAGAAAGGTAATGATTATGTACCATATACAGTACATCATACATAAATTAGTACCGATATTGTCTACAGTAGCGTTGTTAGAATTTAAAGCACTTGTGTTTTCATAAATATAATGAACATGTCACTCGAACAATGTGCCTGCAGAGTTAATTAAAAATTATTTATATATACCTGTAGTATGTTTTACTGAATATGACTAAAATAATTAGGTCAATGTTTTATGGCACGAATCTTTCCTGTATTTCCAAAGTTCTTCACTTGGGAAGGAAAGTGAAAAAAATAACTTGCTAAATTTAATTTTACACCTATCAGTAATGGGCCAACGTAGCATCCTCAGAGTAAAGTGAAAGTGAATAAAAAAATAGGTGAAGATGGTGCTGTCAAGGACAGAAGGCTTTCTTTCTGAAGGTACTATTTAGGAACTCCTTAATTATGGAAATCTATTTGTAAGCCCTGTCAAGGTTTGGCCAAGATGGTCCCTAACATTATATTTATATTACATACATATATATATAATATATATATATATAATAAATAAATAAAATACTTGCATGGGCACCAGTAATAAAACATAATCTTCCAGGAAGGTGCTGCCATAAAACTGCATATATGAGTACATCAGGGAAAATAAGTCCCAGAATTAAGGCTTACATTAATTTTTTACTTGAAATAGTGATCACTTGATGTGTGTGGTGACTAGGAGTCATGAAAATGTTCACCCTAGGGGAAGGCTGACTAAAATGAGGGGAGGGAATTATCAGGGGGAAAGTGCCAAGCCATTACGACTATATAGCACTTAGAAGGGATCAGGATAAGGATGTGGGATGGGATAGGGGAAAGAACGGTGTTCAACCACTTGGGCATTTGAACGCCGACCTGCTCGGCATTCAATCGCCAGGAATTGAACGCCGACCTGCATGAAGCGAAACCATTGCTTTACCGACCAGCCAAAATGAATGAGCACCTTGACTGTTAGAATGGGACCACTACAGTCTCTAAGCTGAGCAGTTTACATCTGTGATGAGCCAGCTATATATACAAGTTTTAATTTACATAAAATATCCCCAACACCCATCCAGTAGGTGGCAGTGGAATGTTTACAATCACGTGCATGCACTTTCTACAGTAAGCAAACTTGGGATATTTGGCTAACATTTCTGCTAGTACATAATTTTTAATGAAATAACAGCCTGAGCATTTTTTATTAACTGAAATATTTCTTTCGAAATCATAGTTTACCCCTTAATAATATTATTACCCTTAATAATGTTTATCCTTAACATTATTCAGTATTGACAACATAAATTTCTTTGGTCTAGTTTTACCTATGTTATCATCAGCTTTGCATTAGTTAAAATTAGTTTTAATAAATTTGGTAAATGTAATTTGACAATTAGATTGGATGATGCCACACATCTTGAGTCATTTTGAGCAGTTCTGTACCCAATTTTCATCTTTTTATATTTTCCAAAGACATCTGTTTTTGCAGCCATATCACTTACACAGTATTATATTTGCATGTACAACATTTGCAAGTATAATCTTACCCGTAATCCTTGTGGGGAAGTAAAGTCAGCTCCCTCAACACAGTGGGCGGCAGTGATGACATAGCTGGGATCGATGATGGTACCTCCACAAAAGTGCTTCCACACACCCAGGATCCTCTCTTGGAAACTCACCTGGGGGATGTATACATACATTATGGAGTTGGGTTCATGCTCAACTCACAATCGGGAATTCTGGGTTCAAATCCTAGGTGGAATAGAAATGGTTGGCTGCATTTCCTGTCACCTAATACACCTATTCACCTTGAACTTAATAGGTACTCAGGAGTTGGTCAGCTTGTTGTGGGGTTGTATCCTGGGAAAGGTCAGTAGTTTGACCTTGGCTCAATATAATCCTAACATGAACAAATCCACAAAGGCTGTGATGAGGGTTCAAACTATGTCCGGGATGATCCCAGACGCGCCTTAGTCGACTGCGCCACAACATGGTTAAAAGAATTGCAACCTTGAGTGCTACTGCCCTCACAAGGCTCCACCTTGTGAAGACAGTAAAACCCTGGTCTGTGCTTTGGAGAAGCTGTGTGAACCTTGTGAGGGCAGTAGCATTCCAGGTTTCAATTCTTTTAACCATGTCGTGGTGTAGTCGACTAAGGCGCGTCTGGGATTATCCCGGACGTAGATTCGAGCCCAAATCACGGCCCTTGTGGATTTGTTCCTTTCATGCATCACACTATTGTGATTTCTGTGTGAAATCCTAAGATGTATCTACACTGGCTGCCTGTACCTGTACTAAATGCATTATTCTATAATGATACACAGCCTCTGCACTTTACATGTAAATAATCACCAGTGTTATGTTTTCATCATTACAACATTTTCATGGGGTGCAACAAAGTTAATACTCTTATTTGGCAATATATGACTTGAAGAACGTGAGTGAGTCCCAGCTGTGTTTGGATACAGGTAGAGTACCATGATGACCAACAGGTTTCTTTCCTATTTTTGTGTTTCTTATCTCCTTCAAACATACAGCACAGGGTGTTGTACTGTACATGCTTATTGCAATGTGTTCATTAAAAGGAGGGTTGATGTTGCCCTTTAAATTCTCTGCTTGGAGTATTAGACTTAATCATTCACTACATCAACCACACTAACCATGAACCTGTAGAATCGACACAATCATACTGGCAAAACCTCCGCAGCAGTACTCCGCCACCTCATATAATAAGGTGTTGAATTTACCTGAGGGCCACTAACATTGATGGCCTCTATGAGGACAGGATGCCGGGAGATTGTCCAAGGTCCCCCCTATTTGCCTTGATGATCTTTTCCAGCTGTACTTTAATTAAAAGTTAAGTTTTTTGCATTTACAGCTTCGGCGGGTAGGCGGTTCCAATGGTTTATAACCGTATGGGTGAAAAAGCCTCTCCTGTTCTCAGTCCTACATTGTGGCTTGTTGACCTTGAAACCGTTGCTCAATCGGGATGGACGGTAGAGCGCCGGTCTCGCATCATGCAGGTTGGCGTTCAATCCCCGACCATCAAAGTGGTTGGCACCATTCCATTCCCCCGTCTCATCCCAAATCCTTATCCTGACCCCTTCCAAGTGCTATATAGTCGTAATGGCTTGGCACTTTTCCCTGATAATTCTCTCCCCTCATTTTAGTTAAAGGTACGCTTGATTATTCCAAGTGTTTGGTTAGCTTTTTTGACTGTTGACCCTACCTGCTGTGCAACTTTCATTGAGTGGTGGATTTTGACTCCAAGGTCCTTTTCTTCATCAATCTGCTGTAATGTAATGTTAATTTTTGGTAGTTGTGGCATGGAATGCTATGCCCCGCATGCAGGGTCTTGCATTTGTCAATATTAAAAAGCATTTGCCAGTCTTCTGACCATTTATAGAGTTCATGAATACTTCCCATTCCATTCCTCACAGCTTATTGTGCACATTTTGCACTCAAAATTCCCAACGAAAAAGCAGAGTCATACCGAGTACCAAAGCTACCGACAGTGTCCTGTACTCTTGGCTCACCTGATATGGAAACTGCCCTTTTGCTGCCACCTCGCCTCCAACGACCTTCACACCAGCATTGAGCAGGTGTACTGGGACCGAAGGTGATCCTGTGACAAAGATGGTTTATATCACACACAGATACTCTAATTCTTCTTGACTGAACTCTCTTTGAATGTGGAAAAGTAATAAAGACCGTAACTTCTACACGACCAGAAAAATAAGAAATAATGTGTTTTATATATGGTGTGAACGAGGTGTGTGAGGTTACTATGACAATTTTAATGTCGGTACAAGTTTTAGACCATACTGGAACACTGAGGGGTATGGTCAAATCGTATACAAGATGGTTCGACAAAGCCCATTTTCTAATTGTTAAAACTGTACATATAGTTAAGTTAGACTTGGCTGTGGTTGGTTTTAAAATTTGTTGCTGGACCGTCTTGTGCACTGTGACGCGTGTCCCCAGTTGATACCCCAGTCGATCAATAAAGATCGACTGGGGTACTTAATTAATCCATGGGGGATTAATGAGGTAACAGTAGATGAGAATCAAGAGCAGCAGTAGATGAGAATCAAAGGTAACATTACCTGGGAACATCAACCCAACTTCCTGTGTTGGTAGTTAAAGCAAAGATATGTACCATCGTACATATCTTGACATTAAAGGCGATTAGAAAGTAGAAATACTGTACAGTATGTGCTATTGAATTTGGACAAACCGGAAAAGATTTTGAATGATGTTGCAAAGAAAACCTAAACTTCCAAGGCCTAATACACACTATCTGAGGCCTAATATAGTACACATGTGCTATACTAGGCCTACGAATATTTAAGATTGGTTTTTAATTTTATTTTTTCGGACTCTAAAGTGAATACTATTAAATTCTACAATCTAATTGTCCATTGCGTCAATGTACGACCGGACATTAGCGTGGAGCCCCCATACATTTGTTCATGGTAGGGGGAGGAGGGAATTCTAGGGACATCGCTAGCCACGTTTCACTAATTTCGTACGGATATCTTGGACAACCTATTTGTAACACGTCGCATTTTGATGTATACTGTACCCAAGGCAGTACACATGTACAACTGATGTACAAGAAAACGGTAGGGCTCGCAAGATTTTCATATTGTTTCTCTTTCTGTCCGTGCTTATTCTAGTTGGTTAGGTTAGGGCACTTTAGTACAACATTTTCTTGACGTTGGTAATGTTCGTGAGAACGAGCTGCCATGGGAACAATTAATCAATACTTAATGTAACCCTCAACAAAGGTAGTTGAATACAGTATTAAGAGTGGACAAATTCTGACTTGGGTTGACAAATACAGTATCAAGAGTGGACAAATTCTGACTTGGGTGGACAAATACAGTATCAAGAGTGGACAAATTCTGACTTGGGTGGACAAATACAGCATCAAGAGTGGACAAATTCTGACTTGGGTTGACAAATACAGTATCAAGAGTGGACAAATTCTGACTTGGGTGGACAAATACAGTATCAAGAGTGGACAAATTCTGACTTGGGTTGACAAATACAGTATCAAGAGTGGACAAATTCTGACTTGGGTGGACAAATACAGTATCAAGAGTGGACAAATTCTGACTTGGGTGGACAAATACAGTATCAAGAGTGGACAAATTCTGACTTGGGTTGACAAATACAGTATCAAGAGTGGACAAATTCTGACTTGGGTTGACAAATACAGTATCAAGAGTGGAGAAGCACTAACTTGGGTGGATGAATATACTGCCGCAGAATATAATAAAAGCTTACCTAAGGCTGAAAGGCTGAGTGTGAATACTACCAGAAGCCGAGAGCCAAACATGATGGTTGCCGTAACATAAATAAGAGGAACAATTAATATGGTCAACACTGATAAGGTAACTATCTTCACAACACATGTTCAGATTCTCGCTATGGTTTTTCTTAGTAAGATACCAGCTGATAAACTGAAATAAAGTTCAAAGTACTTTATTTTGTTCATGTTTACAGCCCTAATCTCGAGAAATATAAATCGTAAAAAAATATAGCTTTTTTGAAACTGCATGTCAATTGAGGTAAAATGCATTTTGTTTATGCAAAAAGGTACTTTGGATTTTTGAATGGACATAACACTGACGTTTTTACATTGTTGCAAACCCACTAACACGCATAGCATTTCGGGCAACCCCTCATTCTAACAGATAATTATAAGTCGGATATTTGTAGCAAAATTTGAAGAATATTAATGAGTACATTGTAGTAAAATTCGAAGAGGCATGAGCGAGGAGCGTCAGAGGCAGAACATTCCTAGAAGAGAGCCAGAGTGCAAGGGGGAGGGGGGGGGGGGGTTATTGTGAAAATCTTGGTTCGGCTTCAGTGGAAGTAAGGAAACCCTCGTGTGTTCAGTAGAACTCTAGATTACAATCATTCTACCATGGCGTGGTCTAGCGTGTGTGGGGGGGGAACACCCACCGCATAGGTTCGAACCCTCATCATGGATCCTACCTATTATTGTTATTATTATTATTATTATTATTATATATAGCTGCCTCCGGAGGCATCAGTAAAAATCTCGTGCGAGAGGTGATTCATTATGTACCCCATACTTATCCAATTGTGGGTAGCATCCTGAGACAGGTCGTTGGATAAGTAGACATCAGTTATCTTAGTGACAGTCTTCCTGTTTCAGTAAACCATGAAGCGATAGCAGATATCACTGACAAAGAGTCATAGACACGAAACCAGTAACGAAGGGAGTCAACGTGGCATAATATGGTCCTGCAATACGGTACTAGGCTTCCTCAGAACATGTCACAACACGTATTTAAATCTTTATCATACACAATTAACGTCATCTCGCCGATCTAGTAATGTTTCTCTGGCATACAAAATCCATCATGTACGGTGAGGGAGGATGGGAAGATCTGTGGCATGGTTTTCCCCTGCCACGGGTTTTCCCCTGCCACAGGGGTTTTCCCTGGGGGCCAGGGTTTTCCAGGGACAGGCAGGATTGGCAGGGGGATCTGTGAGGGTTTTCCTGGTGCGGCCGCCTCATCTGGCGACTGAGGCGGCCGCACCAGGAAAACCTGACCAGATACTCACTGGTCACCAACGTTACGCCAGACGGACTTCCTCGTTTCACTCAGTCTTATTAATTTGAGCTGCCTCTCGGTAACGTAAACTCCACCAGCAGTCCCATCCGACAAGTTTTCCAATTACACCAACATACGCAGTGGTTATCATAGCAATTAAGAGCAACATGTATTGCTTTCCTGAACCAGAGTGGAAGGCGTGTACAGTGTGATGAGTTGACAGGTATAGTACACTGACCAACATGACAATGTCGAGACTGAAAATGAGATTTCAATAATAGTGTCACCAGGCTGCAATGAAAGTTAGATGACAGTGAGCGATTTAAGAGGAAGGGTGACGAAACATGAGGTGCTGGGGACATATAACAGTGATATTGTTGACGGTTGTGGTAGATGAAGCGCAGCCATCCTTCCACTGTCACCACATGACACCAGCCTCCAACCCTCACCAACGGTGATGTATCTTTTAAATTAACAAAAACAATCTATATTATTTTACACCATTTCTCATAGTTAATATTACCGAATGATTCCTTATCTTGGTCCTTTATACTGTACCCCCATACTCGTCCTGTGAGCGGTAGCGGAGAAGGATAAGTATGGGGTCATCCCCATTAAGATTCTCTGTGCCCTCTGTAGCCCTCAATGTGGTACACAGGGTACAAAAGATCTTAATCAAACCTCGGCGGAGATTTTTACATTAATAATTACATTTAACCTGTACACTTTATAAGGTCAACTAGTTACAAAAAATAATTTCAGTATCTATATATTTACAATTAATTACTTTACATTAATGGTAGATCTTTTGCTAAATATTTTAAATTTTAGACGTGGGGCATATTACAGTCATAGAAAAAGTTGTTGATATTATTAGTCTTCACATTACCTAACCTATCCATAATCTTATGTGTGTCATTTATCTACTAAAAGCAAAATATGGATACAGTGCAACAATTTCAGATATTTTTATCATTTGTAATAAGATGTTTGCCATTTCATGCCGTGAGAATTTAGATTTGTCTCTAAATGGCAAAAATGTTAAGTCCAAGATGTAATACTCTATAGTGTGTATCAGTCTATATCCACACACACTTTACACTTTACTTCGTCTAGATCCCTGGATAAGCCAAGCTGTCAGAGATACTTGTAGCCAACTCGTATTCGAGCACTGTACTGTTTTCTTTATTGATTGTTGCCGCTGGAGGAGGCTAGTTAATTGTGCACCCCATACATATCGTGTGAAGGGGTAGGGTTTATATCAATCTAAGGCTTGGGTTACTCTTAACTAGCTTTTTGGATGAGACGGTATTAATAATTTGTAAAGGGGTGATGCCGTCCGGTGAGGGGAATTAATTACCGCTGCTATCTTTATTAGATAAGATTGTGAATCCTATACATTATGCTTCACGTTTATATTGATGTATTTGTGTGTGTGGTTCAGGATGGTGAGCGTGGCGGTGTGGTCTGGCGAGCGAGGCTGGGGGCTGGATGTGGACGCCTGCCAGTGTCAGTCTCTCCTCCACAACACCCTCAGGTAATACTATCTCACATACTTTTACAGTTGAATAACCTTTTCCTTGAAGCGAGATTCGTTTGACTATTTCTAGGGTTTGGTCGACTTATTTTTTACTGCAGTTCCCACTTGTGCAATTTTCAATGACTGGTGAGTTAAAGCTCTTTCTTGTATGGTCTTTTTCTTCAATCTACTGTGTGGTAGAGCTGTTTGTATGACAGCCGGGATGTGCATTGTTATACCCTATATGCAACAACTTGCAATTTTTAATGGTTTAAAGTATTTGCCAGTTTTCTAAACATTTGTTGAGTTAATAAAGATTTTTTTTGCAAGGCCTAAACATCGTTTCCGCTTCCTACTTTATTACGGATCTTAAGTGACATTTGCAAATCTGATAATATGGTTTGCAATATTTTCATCTATGTAATTGTTGTATATGACAAGAAGGAGTGGCCCAAGATAGAACCTTGAGGGACTCCACACATTTTCCATCCAGATTCATTTGCATTTAGAATATGACTCTGCTTCCTTTGCATTTACCAGTGTTTTATCCATTCTTGTATTTTACCATTTATTCCATGTGCTTGCAATTTTCTCGCCAGTCTTTCATGTGGTACCTTTTCAAACTGTATACTACGTCTACTGGAAGTGGCTTGTCTGAATAGCTGGTTACCGTTCCCACAAAATGTGGGATTCTTTGGCTAAAGAATCAAAGGCAGGTTCTTTGGCTAACTCATCAGGTCTATTGTGTATTTGCATACCAAGATATTAACAGAACAGAATAGTTTAAACTGTGTTGATGAGGTTAATGCCTTTTTCTCACTCTGCAAACAAGACGACTCATGTTCGAATCCTAGGCAGGATGGGATGATTGAACAGTTTCTTCATTATTTACTCTGTACACCCAGCGATAATTGCTGACTTGGATGAAGAGCGATTGTTGGTTCAAGCCAGATGGGTAACAAGTAGGGCAAAGCTTTAAGTGTGCTGAGGGAGGGATAGCTTTTAGCCTGTAAACAAGTCAAAACACTTCTGCTCCTGTTCAGTTAAAAGTGGTTAAGTACTAAGCACAGTAGTTTTTCATTGTACATCGTCTACTTATTTACTAATGTTAGTAGTACATCGTCTACTTACATCAGTTTATATGTATGACCAGACGAAAACAGTAATTGCTGTCAGCAGATGTGGAGGTATGGAGGACTCTGGACTTGTGAGGGAGGGATGGAAACTGCCTGATCCCACAGCTACACCACCACAGTCTCCAGCCACATCACCAACTGGCGGGATCACCCTTAACGTGCTCAACCAGCGCACAGGAGTCACCATCTTTCACAAGGTAATGGTAATCTTGGTTTGTTTTGGCCTTGTACAATAAATTTTGAGGATTGTGTACAGGAGTTGGAGTGGGTTAGTCTAAGCATATTGAAACAAATTAAATTGTGGAATCAGTGACGATCACTAACGCATGGGATAGAGTTCATTCTTCTTTTAGTTACTTCAAAAAGTAACACATTTTGTACGAGTGAATCTGAGGGCAATCCTCATGATCTAATATATGAAGGGTAAATATTTTTTGTAATTCACATTTGGTGATGGCCTCAAGGCTTCATATCAGATTACTGTACGAGTAATTTGTTAGTTATAGCAGCATCGGTCCTATAATCACCTTCCTATAGTACACAGCACTTACAGTGGTTTGTGATCATTTGCAGATATTTCCGCTGTTACAGTACTGGGCTCACTGGGCTGACCTCAAGTGGCATTTGGAGCGGGTGGCTCCGGGACGCATCGTTGTCATGACCGTCGCCGTGTCTGGCACTACAGGTCTTCGTGACACGGCTCACCTCCTCGCTCAGCTTGGTTCACTCTTCGCTCTTCATCTCACACCCACAACACACTGGACATGGATATTTATCAAGGGTGGTCGTACTATCTCCGAGACGACCATTCTTAGAGGCTATACAACACATTTTGCTCACCTTATACTTCCGCTCTTACAACTACCAACGCCGGCTACTTCTGATAAGGATCAACAGGTGCAGCAGGAGCAGCGTTGGCAGTACTGTGCAGCCCACGCTGCCATGGGTGGTCTCTGTGACGAGTACGACCCCGACCCTATGCCTGTCCCCACTCCTCCGGCCGTGGCTCACCAGTCGGCTATTGCTAGTGTGCCCGTAGTGGTCACAGCAGGAAGCAGGAATCAGTATATTTACCACACCCTAACTACCCTCCTGACCACACCAGGTGCACAACAAAACAACATTATGGTAATCCTTGGTGACGCACCGCAGTCAACAACACAGCTACTCCACCTTTTCAACATCAGCTTCACCAGACTTAACGTGCACGGAAATAACAACAATGAACTCTTTCATTACTATCGCAACGTCTTTCAATTCGTCGCCCACAAGTTCTCCAACGCTCCGGCAGTTATATTTCTCGACGAAGACGTTGAAGTTTCACCAGACTTTTTCTCTTACATGAGCCAGACGCTTTGGTTACTTCTAAAAGACCCTTCAATCTACTGCATCAACGCGTACTCGGCTACCGGTTTCTATGGAACAGCATATGATCCCAGGACGATTGTGCGAGCTAGAGTGCAGGTAGAGTGGGGCTACGCTTTGACACTTACGTTCATTAAAGAAGCAATCCGAATGTGGCCAAGTAAAACCTCAGAGGTGGATACGCTGTTTTATGACGAGTGGCTGTACATGCACGTGAGCAATGGCAGAGAATGTGTTTTTCCGGAAGTCAGCAGAACTCTCCATTTTGGTATAGGTGTCAACACTCAAGCTTGGTTTACAGAGTTATATTTCTTGTCTAAACCCCTTGTCAAGCAATCTCACATCTCCCTTGACAACGTCTGCACACTCCTACTGGAGCACTGGAAGGAGCATTTCTCGCGCAGTATCAAACAAGCTATTCCTCTTACAGGAAACCCCTGTGGTACAAATTTTGTACCGCACGTCAACACCTCCACCAATTTTGTCTTCTATTATAACATGCTCAAAATGCCAGATGGACAGCCCAACTATACCAACTTTTTTTTTGCTGCCAAATGCCTGAACGCTTGGGGCTCATCGCCCCAGGGACTGCATGAACGGGTGTTAACAGTGAGAGTGTCGAAGCTGGCCACACTTTACCTTGTGGGTGCTCCTTATTCTCCTTACGGCTACCTTCTTCCACCCTATATTCGACCGTGGGATCATGATTCAATAACTGAAGAGGACGAGGATATTATTCTAACAAAAATTAGAGAACTTGAAATGGGGAAATATGAAATTAAAAATCAAGATGTTACTAGTGACTACTTAACGAGCATTTTATTCGTAAATTAAGTAAAATGTCAACAATTCAGTTTAAATAAACCCAAAATAACTTTATAGGAATGATGAACATACAAGTGTAAGGACATATGGCGAACAAGCAAACAAAAGTGTTCATCATAGGAAATACATGTTAATTAATTTGTGTTTGGCCAGACCAGAGGGGAACATACATACAATGTGCTTGAAAGAACAAAAACAGCTTAAACTGTCTGCATACTCTGATTTTAATCCAAATAATGTTACCAAAGTTTAGGTACTATATCCCAGATGCAAAAGGCAGAAACTGACCCAAACTCAAACGAGGCTTAGCCCACCAAGGAAGCGAGGTCTGAATTCTGGAGGAGGAACCAAAAAATGTCTGCCTGTGCCATAGAAGGTGAAAGGCAGGATGGTAGAAACCTCAAGAAATAAGAAGAACCTGTGAACTGAATGTAGCCGAGTAATCGAGCTCATACATTGATGAGGGACAGGAAAAGTCCTTCCCCTGGAGCAAAATACCATCAGATAAAACCAAAATTTGGAATGGTTAAAGGGCACCCATGGACCCTCCTCGCCCTCACACCTAGACTCCAGAGGCGAGCTATGATGGCCCTGGGACCGAGCCATATTACGTCCCAAGAAGGATCAGAGCAATCCGACAAGACAAAGTCTTAAGGATGGCCCTGCACTCATCTGAGAAAAGAAGGGGGACACACTACGATGAGGAGACTTAGGAAGGTCTAATACTTTAGACATCTGTGACAAGACATATCACTGCTGCCCAGAAATGAGGTGGTCATATCATATACCCCTACACATTTGGGTGAGGCTATCCCCAAGCTTCTGGCCCCCCAACTGTGGACAGATAAATATTCTCTTATAGTATAAATATATGTATCAACATATCAACAAATAAGAATCAACAATGTTACTTGAAGTTTGCTGTTCCATTATATAACACTTAGTACTGTATTTAACACTATTGTATTTACAGTTCTTGAGCAAAATAGTAAATTCTTGTAGAATAATATTGTACAGTTGTATTTTGACAACCTTGCTACCATTTTAAAATTTATTGAACATTACACCATTTGTAATTTTTGCATATTTCTGAATTTCATGCAAAACACACAAAGGAAAAAATTTAATTTCACCAGATAAGATTAAACTTTATTACAGTATTTTATTGGGTTAAAACAATTTTATCTTTAGCTAGAAAATTAAAAAAATGGAAGATCTGACATATCACATATGAAAGTTCTGAACTTGGTAATAAAATACTTTCTGACGAAGGCAATAGTTCACTTCTTATTGATTATTCATCTAGATAATAGGATGATAAGGATAATCACTTCAGAATGCACATGAAAACCAGTGAGTCATCTTTATACCGAATCCTTGATTCCCCAAATACCAGTGATTCACCAATTTATTAAATTTTCAGGCCTAAAATCCATTAAATGAGATTAGGTAATGTTCTTGACTCACAATAAGGGATCCCAGGTTTAATTCCAGGGCAGGACAAAAAAACATTGGTCAAGTTTTCTTTCACCTAATAGTAAATTGTTGCCAGGAGTTACATACTGGGGAGGGTTAATACAGTAGTTCCATCTTGGGGGGAACCTTGATACAAGCCTAAAGTATATTATAATTATTATAATATATATATCATGCATGCAGGCTTCCTGTCCCCGGCTAAAGAAGTTATTGTGTTCACTATTTTTAATTCACGCAGCAGTCAATGGCAGAGCACATTTTCTTTCAACTCGTAAAATAATAAGCTAATTTCTGAAATTAAATAACACAACAGTGAATGAAGCATTTGGCTCCAAGATGAGTGCCAGTCACCAAATATGCAATCTAATAATTTGTAAGAATGCACTACTTAACCACCATCATATGTACTTTCACAACCCATTGTACCTTCTTGCATATACAGGTATATAAATACAGTATATAAATATTTTAAAAAAATCTATAATCTCATCAGTTAACAAAAATGTTCCATTACATGTGAAATTAAATAAATTATAAGGAACATTTTTTAAAGAAGACAGACCCCTCAATGTTATTACAAAAGCAGGTTATCCAAGTATGTACATTTTCAACTCTAAATTTAAATTTTGTTTTGAACTGTCTATCACTTACAATATTTCTTATAATAGCACTGTCACCCTCTATCTCTACAAAAACTTCAAAATAGATATCCTGGCAGTTAATATCTCTAATGTTCCAGGGGTCTTCCCATTTCAACAACAGTTCAGTATAGTGGCCAGCTTTTATGAGGTAACATTGTACTCCCTGTACTTTAGAAGGATATACTAGAAGCTGCATTTCATATTCTATAGCCTTATTTACTAAATTTTCTTCTGACATTCTTAAACTCTCCTTCAAAATTCTAGAAAATGGATCACTCTTGTATTTGGCATCACTTTCAGTGGTGTGAACTTTTGTGTCTTGATATATTCTAAACAGCCAGTTGATATTATCACAGCATTCAACATCTTTAAGCTTGCTTTCATGAAGTCTTTTAATCATATCCTCCTGTGCATCAAGTGATAAATGACTTAAACCTCCATAGAAACTGGGATATTCAGGATGATATATTGTATTATCTGGGTCCTCATTCATCCAAGGAACATGAGTGACACCAAAGCCTTTTAATTCACACATAGTTTTATACACTGTAGCAGCACTGGAATTTATCCCATAAGGCCAAATCTCTATTAAAACAGCTCCAGGTGGTAGAAACATGCCAAGAATTAGTGCTGCACCATGCATTCCAATAGCTGCACGAGCTTGAGATAATTCACCTATAAGTGTGACAAGATTATTTTCTTCAAGAGATAAAACCTTAACTTCTGAATCTTTCTGACTAGCATGTAGTCTAAGTTGGTCTTTTATAACAACAGATAGTTGATCTTCATTTAATATTTTACGGTTGTATTTTCTAGATATTAAAATCCCTAAAGGTATATTGGTTGACTGATGCTCTATATTTAACTTTTCTTTTATAAAAGCAGTAAACTGCCTTAGAAGATGACCGGAAAATGTACTCCTGACTTGAGGGCCCTGTGGTTTCCCATAACCATATTGGTACCACACACTTTGTTTGTTCAGGCCAATGTGTGCACTCTCAAAACAATACCACATCTGTCTGCTCAGTAAATTATCTGACATTAGAATAATATTTTTTGACATTACCTGATAAAGATCCCAGTAAATTGTTTTATCCATATCATCAATAAATATAAGCTTCATGTTTTCTATGCAGAGCCGATAGTTCATACAAATCTCTCTCATTGTAAAGTATATTGGTAAAAGATCATCATGAAATACATGGAGAAGATTGTCTGGCTTGAAACGAGCTATTAAAAGGCTTTCCCCATGAACAGTTTTGTATTTATATTTTGTGAAAAATGAGGTGTATGGTACAGTTGTTATTGATATTTGGAAAGCATTATGTCCAACCACAGATGACATATACAAGTGTTCTTCTAAAGTTTTGATGCTATTTATGCCATAAAGTACAGAATTTGGGCTAAGTACAAAAACAAACTCCTTTTTACCAGGATTATAATAAATATTTTGAAAGCGGCATCTTAAACCCGATTCTGGTGATGAGTAACACCAAACTGACGAAAAAGAATAAAATGGTGCCAAGTTTGCAGAAGATAACAACTGACTGTGTGGTTTGACTTTATTATGTCCACTACTGCTTTTAGCTACAATGTTATCACTTCCCCAAGTATTACCACATACAAGAACTGCAGCAGCTGTTTTTTCATGATGTAATGAACATATCTCTGTGAAGTGGAATTTTTTAGTGGCATTCCAGAATGCTAATGAATAGTGATTATGAATCCATGCATCCCTACACCAACTGTAACAATAAAAATCTTCACAGGCTGGTGATTTATTATATCCTTTAATGTGAGGTTCATTTAAAGTTCTCTTAATTCTTTCATTTGCAGTGAAAGGCACTAATTTCTTAGAATTAGGACACAAATTTAATGTTACATCGAGGCTGTTCTCATGAGCCTGACATGTTGAGAGTACAACAATCCAGGTCAGGATGATTTTGTTGATCACATCCTTCGACATTCCTATCACTGTTGCATCCCTGTAAATAAGAAAACCCCAATATTCTTGTAACAATACCGGTGAGAAAATTAATAGCATACAATACATGATTTATTTCACAATAGGGTTAAATATACAAATACTGTAGGTTGTTTACCAATTACTGTACAGTATTTATATTTTTAAGATTTACTGTATGCATACAGTCAAGCAAGACTTAAGCTAACAATATAAATAATTATGATCACATTATACCGACATAAGTTATATTAGTAATAACTTGCATCAGGACACTTGAAAATCATATCTCTTGTAACATTCAGTATTGAATATCAATGTAAGGTCACAGGGCCTCAGCTGATTAGCTATTTTTTTTACATTTGTAAGCAGATAAAAAATTATAGTTTAAAATTAATAAATAATTCAGTGTGTTGGGGGACAGTCACCCCCCCCCCTGCAAGATCAAACTACTAACCCTCCCCAGGATGCAACCCAACCCTATCAGCTGACATTAACCCCAACTAGGGGTGATTAGGCTGGGGGGGTTAGGCTGGGGGTTATGCTAGGGGGGGGGGAGGTTGATCCCCCCCAACTGGAAAGCCACCCAGTGACCCCATATGATAATGTGTTAGGCGTCTTGTAACTCTGGGTAGCCAAACAAAGGTAAAGCCAAATGGCAAAAGTCACAAAGACCCCCCTCCCCCTGAGCCCAATTGCGCAAAATCCAGCAAAGTCTTCCAGTGACCTCCAGCAGAGCAGGATCCAGATGCCCAACACACCCAAAAGGCACACCAGGAGTTCACCATGACCCAGCAACTTCCAGTACCTCTAGGCAAAACTGATGCTGGGGTGACACCAACTCCCTGCTGGGAGAGCAAAGAGCAAATTGGAAAATGGGAAAACATCTATCAACATCCCTATGACCTCAAGCATTAGAAAGTGGGTCATTGATGAGGAATGTCAGTCAGGAGTATCGTTACTAGGCAGAGCAAGTGTTCCGATGTTCGTTTGTCAACCCTACAACAAGCTGGGTACCCATTTACTGATAGGAGGACAGAGGTATTAGGCGATAGGAAATGTGCCCAACCATTTCTGTCCCGCCCAGAATGCAAACCCGGAATTCTCGATTATGAGTCAAGAACAAACCCAAATCCCAATCATTATGGACAAAGAGGAGGTGGTCGTAGGAGGGAATCAGTAATAGTGAGAATTTGTCTTGGATCCATGGAGAATCAGGACAGAAACAACAGTTGAGCAGCGGAGTTGCAGAATCTGTGGTGAGAGTGATGGACACCGCCTTGACCACTACGTGAGAGAATGTGAATATCTAAGAAACACTAGAAATATGTGTAGAATACTAAATCACACATTGAGTTAGGAAAATACTATGTCAAATGTAAATACTGTTCTTAAAAAATTTCCCCCATTTTGCACCCACAAGATAGCAAATTTCAAGAGTTGACAAATGTTAATATTCTTGTTTGATAAGCTGTTCACTTGAGACAGTTAAGGAAGTCCCAGCTGTGTCTGGATATAAGCGACTGGATGAACAACCCAATAAGTTTTCTTCCTATTGGGGGTGTTGCACACGCTGCTGTGGTGGTATGTCCACTTACAGGATGACTGGCGCTACCCAATAAACTTGCCCCTGGGGGGCAAAATTAATTAAATTAAATTAACGAACCCGATTGCATTACCAGGATCCTTGCAGGCAATGTAAAATACTGTCGAATTTTGAAATCCAGCTTGACAAGATCATCAGGATAAACGAGTCGGCTCTCTGTCCTCGTTAAGGCCACTAGAGAAATAGAGGCCTTCAGTAAATTCATTAAAGTGTACCTTGGTGAGCGGCCACCGCCGACCAGCGCCCACCTCCGCTCCTCGGCCTCTTGTTGACAGTGTTGATGGGTTAGGGGCAGCTACAGCACCGTGTGTAACCCCCCCCCCCCTCCCCTCACCACCAGCAGCACTAAACTGATCAGGATTTACCAGAATTTGACCAGATAGCAGTGACAGACTTATAATTTGTGGGGCCTTGAAGCTTAAACTGTTATAAGGGCACCTTCGCCACGCAACGTGGTATGGTAACCACTATTATTTTCCCCAGTGGGCATTATTGCACCACAGATCACAATTAAAAAAAAAATTAACATTTTAAAATACAAATTTTACATTTAAAAATGTAAACACTACATTTATCTGAATTTACCCAAGGGCCACTAACACTCTAGTGGCCTCGATGATGTCAGGAAGCCGGCGACTTGTCAAAGCCGGCTGACACACAGAAATCACAATTGTGTGATGCATGAAATGAACACATCAAATGTTCATTTGATGTATCACGCAATTGTGATTTCAGTGTGTAATAAAGTAAGGGCGAAGAGGGAGAATGGCCTATTGACATAGCTCGAGTGCATGGGGGGAGTTGTGTAAAACCCTGGTTTGTGCCTCGGGGAGGCTGCAGGATCCAGTAACTTCAGTAGAACTGAACCAGAACTGAAGCACCACCACCAGCAGCCCCTGGCGCTGCTGGTGGTGCTGCAGTGCGCCTGGCGCTGCTGCTGCTGGTGCTGCAGTGCGCCTGGCGCTGCTGCTGGTGCTGCAGTGCGCCTGGCGTTGCTGCTGCTGGTGGTGCTGCAGTGCGCCTGGCGCTGTGTGCTTGTCGACAGCAGCGCCATCTATGCAGGTAAACAAAGCTCGTCTGCTACTACGCTGCCTCTGGTGCTCGCCAACTCCCAGCGCGCAATTACTGCTTCATACATCAACTATGAAGCTCTTGTAAGAATGACATCCGTCTTGAATTAAAGAAAATAGAATGATTGATGAGATGTTTGCCAGAATGCCATTGTGGCAGCTGTTAATTCCTTGTGCTGGTTATTGCATCAGGCATTAGTCACCCCCTCGACCAAATACCTTGTATATCAAGTGTAAGTGCTTGTAGCAGTGATGGTCTTCACAGTGGCAATTAGCTTTACCGGCTGTGCTTACCTGTCTGTGCTCGCAGGTGTTGAGCTTCAGCTCTTAGCCCCCTTCATTCAGCCTTCAATCAACTTTGTATGTAGGGTACAGATTCCCAACCAAATGTTTTTTTAGGTGACTGCACTGGTATCATCCTGCAGTTTAAGAACTTTATATATGCTTGAAAACAAAAGAGAACAAATTCAATAAAGTACAATCCCTTAAATTTGACTATAAACAGAAGCATTTAAATAAGATATTCATATATACAATAATTATGACCTATTCTCTTCATCATCCGTGGTGTAGTGGTAAGACACTCGCCTGGTGTTCCGCGAGCGCTTTGTCATGGGTTTGTATCCTGGCCGGGGAGGATTTACTGGGTGCAAATCCTTAACTGTAGCCTCTGTTTAACTCAACAGTAAAATGGGTACAGTACTTGGTTGTAAAAGCGATTCTTTGTGGGGGTCGTATTCCAGGGACCTGCCCGAAACGCTACGCGTACTAGTGGCTGTACGAGAATGTAACAACTCTTGTATATACTGTATCTCCAAAAAAAAAAAAATCATGGAAATAATAATGTAATATCAATTTTCTCAGGTTTTTGCAAGAATCTTTTCATATGTTATTGGAATGTATTTGATACGCTCCTATTATTTTTTGTTTGCTTTCATTCTAAGCACTGGTGCAAGCACTAAGTTTTTTTAGGCACATGTCTGAAGCCTGGCAACTTTTTGAGATATATATACAAGAGTTGTTACATTCTTGTACAGCCACTAGTACGCGTAGCGTTTCGGGCAAGTCCTTAATCCTATGGTCCCTGGAATACGATCCCCTGGCGCGAAGAATCGTTTTTTTCATCCAAGTACACATTTTACTGTTGCGTTAAACAGAGGCTACAGTTAAGGAATTGCGCCCAGTAAATCCTCCCCGGCCAGGATACGAACCCATGACATAGCGCTCGCGGAACGCCAGGCGAGTGTCTTACCACTACGCCACGGAGACTGTTACTGATCTGAAGAGGGGCAACATTACCATTAGCAATACATAATTTGTCTAATCTACAAACTAAAAATTTGTCTAATACATGTAGTAGACAATGTCTTGAATAACTCCCTATTCCACTTCCAAAAAACTCTAGTTAATTTGAATCTCTGGAGGAAACATGCTGGGCTCTGGTCTAAATTAGTGGAACAGACATCTACACAAATCTTGAAACTTACTATTTACACATGGTGGTGTTGATTTAGAGGCGATGACGATCAAGGGATCGGATGCGCTCAATTACATATACTTATTAATGTATGCAAATTGAGACTTTTTAAAATTATTGCTTTGTAATGTCTTTGAAGGTTAAGGCGGTGGTGAGATGGCTGAGGGTGGGGAGAGCAGTGGTAGTGGGACAGGCGGCACCCTCCCTGACCTTGTAGCACAATGCTATTACCGCTATGGACTTCTTGTTGCCACTCATCCTAAGAAAGTTATTTTACTGGCAATATGCTCCTTCCTTGTTCTCTGGTATGTATTTTTTAAATTTAGAAGCATAATGTATTTTAAAGCAAATTGAAAGAATTTTTATTAAATGCTTGTTTTGTGCATTTGTACTGCACATGTAATTTTTTAATTTGGTAAGGAATAAAAGTTGGCAAGTGGAGTAGAGAATGGGATGGGAAGAAGTGTGTGAGATGGGTTAGGCTATGGTTGACAAAGAAGGAAAAGCTTTGGGAAGGCTGAAGTTGCATTTAATAAACCAGATGAAGCAACCCATCCTCAGGCTATGCTCGTCCATTCAGTAGCCGAGCCCAGAGATACATTCATCAGTGTTAACGAACTGTGTATTCAAAATTGGTGTTTTCTCATGTATAAGTTAATATTATTAGCTATGAGAATTGGTGTATAGTTAGGCCTAATTTAGGTTTGGTTAGATGTTTAAGGTCTATTAGCAGTTATTTGTATTTGTACATGGATGAGTCTTTTACATAGCTGTGATTCGAACAGAGGACGACAGCAGAACACTGCTTGATAAATATTTGCATGTCATCATTAGTGTTTTTCATTCATAAATGGTGTTTAGCAGTAGGATTTATGTGAATTTAGCCTTTCATAACTCGACATTATTGTAAGTCGGGGCAATCGTAAGTCGAGGTGCCACTGTACTAGAATGAAGATGAGTCCAAGTACAAAGCCCCTGTGGAATTCTGCTGGTGACATCTCGCCACTCTGATGTCTCCCTCCCTGGATCCATTACATCCATATAGATGTATTATAGCTATATTTACAGCATTTGTCTAAAAACCAGGTGACAATAACTAAAATCAACATGCAATGATAAACCTCATTACCTCGAGATCTGTATATGTTGTGACGATAATCTCCTTCAAGAGATTGAGCCTGCTCTTCCCTCCAAAATTACGTCTTCACAATTATATAAAAGACTATGGAAGAAATGTCCAACAACGACAACAAACACCAGCAAGGCTTGCCAGGGTGAGCAGAAACGTATGCAACCAGCCACCTGTTCGAACTCCAACCACCAAACTACCCGTTGATCGCTACGACTCCGCTGATTGGTCGCCGGTCTGGCTGCACCTGCCTCGCCCCCCCCCAATACTACCTGATGTCTGGGGTCGCCCCAACATCAGTCTTCAGAATGTTCCGTGCTTTCGTAGCCAGCACACCTCCCAGCTAGACTCTAGAGTGTACTGAGAGAGGTGGTGGCTTTAAGCCAATATTCCAGCACCTCCCACTTAACTTTTGTGTTGCACTTCTTATTATTTTGCCTTAACGTAACTTTCATTGTGTCATTTAAGTATTCTTATTATTTTGATTCATTGATTTTATTATACATATTTGTTTGTCCATATTTTCATGTTTTGATTTATTTAACGTAATTAAAATTTCATTGTTAAAGTCTTACTTGTGTTTTGTGTGTCTTCTCCTTACCTTACCACAGACGAAGTTCCAGTTTTTCTATTTTTTTTTATAACTATGTGACGAGGCCATACCCCTAGCCTTAAACAGCCGAACACCAACGCGTTACCGTCACAAGTTTTATGGGGGCCTGTCCTAGGAGCTTCACTCAGGTACTGGTGCCAAGTGGTAATTTATGGTAAGCGTATTTAACTTTGTTAACGTAGCTTTACTATTTTTCATTCAATTTCATTTTTTATAAGGTGCGGTGTATTGTGCATTACGAGAGTAACATATAGTGAAGGTGAGACAACTTTGGATTACGTGGTGACTGTAGGCCTCAGTCATACTCTTAATTGGTCATCTCTCCCTCCTTGTTATTACTCGTATTTACCATCTATGTCCCTTGAATATTTCTCATTCTGACAGATCATCATATTGGTACCCTGGTACTGTGGTCTGCCCCGGGTCAAGAGTACCCAATCTTCTGCAATCTGACTGTAGGAGGACAAAGAGGGCCATAGTTCCTCTAGCTCGAACTTTAGTTGCTGAATTGGGACCTCAGCAGCAGTTCTCGTCACCAGTTGACACCTCGCACCCCTACACGTCAGTCAGAGATGATGATACATACAACGGTAGGGAATTAGCTTATTTTTTCAGAGCACAAAAGTTCGCTAATTCTGTAAGTATCATATTAAATTCAGTAGGAAAAACTTGCTTTATGTCCTATAGAGACTTGGCAAGGTATGCCTACATCCTTGGACTACCAATTTTACTTTTGAAGCATTTAACTGTTTCATTTGTTTTCGAAACTTTGTTTCATTTGTTAGTAGGATTTTCTTGCCCTTATTCTCTTACATGAGTACCGGGTACAAGATTTCCTGCGCCCTTGATTTCATTTAATCATTTAATATCTTTCACTTAACGTTAATTGTTAAAGATCACACAGGATAGGTACCAGTTGCCACGTTGTCCTGTTTCTGACATTTCATTATTGAACATTCGTGTACCTTTATTTGCTAATTTCACCATGTTTCGTCTCCAAACTTTCCGTGCAAATCCAGCAGGTGAAATAGGGACTTTAAGTCGTGCCAAGAGGACTGAACTACAAACTCTTGCACATGAGTATCAACTAGAAGTTCCCTATCAAGCCAACAAAAATGACCTACACAACCTGTTGCTGGATTACTATTTAGAGCAAGGTAAGATAGACTCTGAAACTCATGAAACTTACTATATTGCAGATAAAACTGACTTGGCAACGATGAAACTTAAACTAGAGCTGGCTAAGATTGAACGTGAGCAGCAAAAGGAAGCCCGCGAACAGCAAAGGGAAGCCCTCGAACAACAAGAACGAGCAGCTGCCATACGAAGGGAAGAACACGAACGCGAAGCCGCTTTGAGGAGAGACGAACAAGAACGAGAAATCACCCTCAGAGAACGTGAAGCTGCTTTGAGGAGAGAAGAACACGAACGTGAGGTCGCATTACTCCGTGAACGTGAACGAGTACAGCTTGAAACCAAACAACGCGAGTTGGAGATGCAACGCGAACATGACAAGCAACAAGCAACTCTGGCTCTAGAGTGTCGTCAACGTGAAATCGCCTTGGAAACTTCACACTTCACTCAACGCCAGCAAGCTACTGCCAATCTTCCCGTCAGTTTTAATATATCACATGCAAGTAAGTTAATGCCATCCTTTGTAGAAGCAGAAGTTGATGTGTTCTTTACCACCTTTGAAACCCTTGCTAATCAACTCAGTTGGCCTGTCGACCAATGGGCCACACTTCTCAGAGTCCATCTTACAGGTAGAGCTGCAGTCACACTCAGTACTTTGGCGTCTGAGAATGACTACTACACTCTGAAACAAGCAGTGTTAGACGCCTACCTACTTTCCACCGAAAGTTATAGAAGGAAATTCCGTGACCACCTGAAGGCAAGTACCACTACCTTCCTCGAGTTTGCTAACACGAAACGGAGGTATTTCATGAAATGGCTGGAAGCAGCACATGTCTCTACTTTTACAGAACTCGTGAACCTGATGCTTGTTGAAGAATTCTTGAGACGTGTGCCGCCTCCTGTCCGCCTCTACTTAGCAGATAAAGAAGAAACCGACTACCTGAAGTGTGCTAAGTCGGCTGACACTTACAGCCTCATCCACCGGCTGACACCCGAACCATCCTCCAGTAAGAAGTCGTGGTACAGTTACGAGAAGGTGAGCCCCGATCAAGCTGGTTCACAACTGTACTGCAAATATTGTAGACTCTATGGACATACCATAGACAAGTGTGGTAAGTCTCAATACAAGGGAACCACTGACCAACAACGACCCAAACCAACTCCTCCTAAGTCCGGTAAGCCTGTGATGAATGTTGGTGTTGATGTTAATGATCTTTCTCTTTTCAGTAACCACCTGTATACTGGAACTGTCTCTGCCAACGGTTCAAATCCGGAGGGACGTTTCAAATTGAAGATCTTGAGGGACACAGCGGCTCTACAATCGATCATCTTGAAGTCGGCTGTGCCCAACATAGTCTACACCGGGGAAACAGTCTTCATCACTGACCTCACTGCTACCACTCCATACCCTCTCGCCAGAGTCCACCTGGATTGTCCCTACGTGAACGGGGAAGTCCAAGTCGCCGTCAGGGAAAAGCCTTTTCCCATGCCTGGAGTGCAACTTCTCCTAGGCAACGACTTGGCAGAAGACCTGCAACCAACCAACCTGATCGTCATGGACAAACCCCAGGTGTGTAACTCTGTGCCAAGTAACCCTATTCTTGAGTATGTTCCAGCAGAGGTTCAAGAGAGTGATGAAGTTTCTCCTCCGGTTCTCGTGACCACCCGTGCACAAGCCGCACGTCCACAGCCAGCTGACTCTACTGCTACCGCTGTCCCTCAAGACCCTCAGAAACTACCCCCGCATCTGACCAAGTTGGAGTTCCGTAAGTTGCAGAGGGAAGATCTTACTTTAACACCATTGTTTTTCCAGGCTGAGACTCAACCCGACAGTATTCCTGGGTTCTTCCTAGAGAACGACTTGCTCTACCGCCGATATAGACCCAGTAAACTGAAGGAGGAGGACGATTGGGCCAACATCGAACAACTTGTGATTCCCACCAGCCTGCGGCCCACTATTCTACACCTGGCCCACGGATCATTCTCCCACTACGGCTTCAACAAGACTTACCATGGGATTCGTCAAGACTACTACTGGCCAGGTATGGTAAATAACGTCAAACAGTACGTAAACCAGTGTCATACATGTCAGATGGCAGGCAAACCGAACGTCTCCATTCCCAGAGCACCACTGATTCCCATACAGGTGCCTGCGGAACCTTTCCACAGACTCATAATAGACTGTGTCGGTCCTTTACCTCGGACCAGTTCAGGTAACGCCTACATCCTAACCATCCTGTGTCCTACCACCAGATTTCCCATAGCAGTTCCAGTGAAGAACATCACGGCTGCTACGGTTATCAAACATCTATTGAAGATCTTCACTCAATACGGATTTCCCAGGGAGATTCAAAGTGACTGTGGCACCAACTTCACCAGTGATCTCTTCAAAAGGACACTGGAGGAGTTCAACATCAAACAGGTATTGTCCAGCCCCTATCATCCTGCTTCACAGGGTTCTCTTGAACGTAGTCATCAGACCATCAAAGCACTCTTGAAAAAGTTTTGTAGTGAAACCTCAAAGGATTGGGATAAGCAGATTGACCTAATAATGTGTATTTTCAGAAGTCTCCCCAATGAGTCCCTAGGAGTATCTCCTTATGAGATGCTCTACGGCCGTAAGTGCCGTACTCCCCTTAAGGCTTTCAAAGACTCTCTCAGAGATGCCACCTTCAGTGAGCATCAGAATGTGCCCCAGTTTCTTCAAAACCTTCAACACATTCTAGAGAGAGTCCACCGCTTTGCTCATGATAATCTATTGAAAGCCCAGGTGAGAATGAAGACTCATTACGACCAGACCAGCAAAGTAAGAAAATTCAAGCCGGGAGACTTCGTCCTTGCTTATTTCCCTATCCCAGGTTCACCTTTACAAAACAGATTTTCAGGACCCTACTGCGTCAAAGAGTGCAGGAATAATAATAATTATGTGATAGAGACTCCAGATAGGCGGCGGAAGACCCAGCTGTGCCACGTCAACCTCCTGAAGCAATATAATGGTACTCCTCCCACTGTCTTGATTAATTGTTCTACCTTCACAGAACCCTACATCCACAGTGAGACCATCCCGACTTCTTCTCCCGAAAGCACTGACAAGGAGTCGGCGCTTTCTAATTCCAAAATCCTTAATGATCTTCCCAAATGCTTTCAGGATAATAATCGTGCTCCTATGCCCTCTTCTAATTCCACTCTCACCTCGTCAGATAAGCCCTTCATCCTCCATGTCGACGCCAATGGTACCGACGTGGGTGGTGTCGTGATGCAGCAACGAGGCGAGAAGAATACACCTGTCAGCGACTACTGCTACAAGGATCTACGGAACAATTGGCAAGGAGCTACTCTTCCTCATCCTGAAGCTTCAGCACTTCACTCCACACCTGAAAAGTGCTCGGTCCACCATCAATACGGACCACACCACCCTACACCTCCTGCAGCACGCCCACTTCTCATCTCAACGTCTTCTACTATGGGCTTGCTAACTGCAGAAATTCAACCTGGAGACACGCTATACCAAGAGTCTGACAACATCTTAGCCCATGATCTCTCCAGAGTTTATGAAGTAGAAGCAACTCCACCACATAACGACGTACTTCTTCCAGAACCGCAGGCTTCGGGGGAGAGTTGTGACGATAATCTCCTTCAAGAGATTGAGCCTGCTCTTCCCTCCAAAATTACGTCTTCACAATTATATAAAAGACTATGGAAGAAATGTCCAACAACGACAACAAACACCAGCAAGGCTTGCCAGGGTGAGCAGAAACGTATGCAACCAGCCACCTGTTCGAACTCCAACCACCAAACTACCCGTTGATCGCTACGACTCCGCTGATTGGTCGCCGGTCTGGCTGCACCTGCCTCGCCCCCCCCCAATACTACCTGATGTCTGGGGTCGCCCCAACATCAGTCTTCAGAATGTTCCGTGCTTTCGTAGCCAGCACTCCTCCCAGCTAGACGTTAGCGTGTACTGAGAGAGGTGGTGGCTTTAAGCCAATATTCCAGCACCTCCCACTTAACTTTTGTGTTGCACTTCTTGTTATTTTGCCTTAACGTAACTTTTCATTGTGTCATTTAAGTATTCTTATTATTTTGATTCATTGATTTTATTATAAGAATTTGTTTGTGCATTATTTTCATGTTTTGATTTATTTAACGTAATTAAAATTTCATTGTTAAAGTTTACTTGTGTTTTGTGTGTCTTCTCCTTACCTTACCACAGACGAAGTTCCAGTTTTTCTATTTTTTTTTTATAACTATGTGACGAGGCCATACCCCTAGCCTTAAACAGCCGAACACCAACGCGTTACCGTCACAATGTCAATAACTACACTTTATGGATTTATATAACAGTAAAAATTTAGGGGTGAATTAAGTTTTGTTTTGAGTGAGTATTTGGAAATGCACTGCAATGTATTTAAGTGAATTCATAACATTGTTCTTAAGGTTTTGCATCAACGTTCATAGTGTACACGTTTTGCACTTGTTTATACTTGTAAGATGTCTACAATTATAAGATGTAACATGTAAGATGTTTACTCTAACTGGTTATGTCAGAATATATTTTAAAATACAAAAATCTGCTCTCTTCACAGTACACCACTGTGGCACCTACCTCTACCTGGATACCTACCACAAGAATATATAACATCTCTGTTCAACTATAGTGTTCCCCTCCCAGCCCCAGAGGGAGGGATAAGACTGGATCCGTCCCCGACTCCTACTCCGATGTGGTATCAAGGGCCACCACGTGCATATATTCAGCAGGTTAAGATATACCAGAAACTCATATTTTAGGAGTATAAACTTATCTTTACGAGAGAAAATTAATGATTGTTTATTTGTCCATGGTTGGAGGCCAGATGCTTTGGGCTAGTCTCTCCCAACTTTCACACATAACACATGTGGGGTGTTGGAGTGTCAAAGGCCAGTCCAGTGTCCCACTTTAAGAAATATTGGCATCTAACCCAACACTCCTGTGTGATTTTCATGAAATCATGTTTGAAATACAGTATTGGTTGTGTTGTCTATTGACTTATTTAACTTATCTAAATTCTTCTTATATAATTTCTCTCCTACCCCCCCTAACTGGAGGGGGGTGGTGTATGTTCGAAGAGAGGAAGGACGGGAAGAGAGAGGAAGGGAAGGACGGGTGCGGGGTGGGGGGGGGAGCGGAAGGGGAAAAGAGAGCCAGGCACATCAGGGTATCCCCCTCTAGTGAAGGACATGGAGCTTAGAACACATGTTTATATTAAATTAATTGTTCAGTGTAAACTTACTGGAACAAAACTTGTTCCAGTAAATTACAGGTTTGTCAAAACAGATTTAGCCTTTTAAAAATACCCATGGCTTAAAGGTGATAACTTAGAGATTCTACGGCATTTTTTTTTCAGATTGTAGTTAAGAGTGGTGTGGTTCCATGGAAGAAGGGCTTGACAATCAGTGATGGTTACCGTGGCCCACTGTCATCTGTCTTCCACCTCGCTCAGACTATTAGCAACTACCAACTGAGCCATAAGTAAGAGAGAGTAGTCATTTTGCTTTATACTGAGCCTTATTTCTTAATCATGTATTATTTAGCATTAGACTGGAAGTAAATATTGAAAACTGAAAGCCCTTAGTGAGCTTAACAATTTTGAATCACAATACTGTATGGGACAAGTTTACTAAATACTGTAAACTAACATCATGATAATATTGAAGAGGTGGAAATAGTGTTAGATACATAGAGCTCACCATGGATGCAGTTGTTGCCTCACATGTTATCTTGGTTAGAATGATATCAAGATTAGGATTGGATGTGTTTTATTCTACACGATCTCCTCAGACAGATATTCCTCTGCACCTTCTATGTCACCTAACTGCTCCTTGTATGTATGTGCTCGCACTTATTACAATAGCAGTTTTTATAGTGAATTTGCCGTCTGTAACTATATACCCTTGACAAATGGAATTTAACGTGAATAAATCCCACGTTATGGAATGTGGAATAGGAGAAAATAGGCCACACACAACCTACAAATTATGGGTAAAGTTTAAAAAAAATTATGATAAAGAAAGAGATCTAGGGGTGGTTCTAGATAGAGAACTTTCACCTTAGGACTACATAAAGAACAATGTGTAAGGCGCCTATTCTACGCTTTTCAATTTCAGAATTGCTTTTAAATACATGGATGACAAAAATACAAAAAGGATTATTCAAGATCTTTGTGAGACCAAAGCTGGAATATGCAGTGGTTGTATGATGTCCATATCTTAAGAAGCACATCAACCAACTGTAAAAGGTGCAAAGACACGCAACGAAATGGCTCCTGGAACTGAAAAATGAGTTACGAAGAGAGGTTAGAGGCATTAAACATGCCAAAGCAAAGATAAAAGAAAAAAAAAGAAACAATATGATCACTACGTACAAAGTAGTAATATGAAGAGACAAAATTGATAAAGAAGGATTCTTGAAACCTAGAACTTCAAGAAAAATAAGTCATAGATTTAAGCTAACTAAACAAAGCTGTTACCAAAAATTAGAAAATTCACTTTCACAGAGTGGTAGACAGTTGGAAGAAGTTGGTGAGAAGGTGGTGGAGGACAAAATCCTCAGTAGTTTCAAAGCATTATATGATAGTGCTAGGAAAACTGGACACCATGAGCATTGCTCTCATCCTCTAACTACACTTTAAGTAATTACATGGCTTGAAAACTTTCATTTCCATATGGAAATGTTTGACTGTCTAGATCACACTATCACTGGTTTCTTTGTTTCATTATGAACTTCCAACACCGTGGTGGCAGGATGTTTAGTTTCAATGTAAGATTAAATGTAAAGGGAGTTGACTTCAATGGCTATAAGTACACCACAAAGAGAACACAGATTGGGGTTGTAGTGTTAATCTCTTGATCTAGTTGTTGTAGGCTATGAAGAAAACAAGGTTTTGCTTCTTGGAAGCAAGCATTTGTGTGGGGGCGAAGCTAGTCCAGACTGTGCCCTGGGCAGATGGTAGTTAAAGGTGTTGTATTACCTTTTGTATTGGTCTTGACTTTGTTAGCTCAGAGGTAACATGGCACAGGTCTTTGTTTGTCTGAGAATCCTGCATTGCCACTTTCCTCTTCAGGTTTTTGAGTCTGGAAATTTTCGATTGTTTCAGAATTTGTTTGATGGTTACCCATTTTCCAAACATTCTCGGAAAGAATTTTGACCGTTTTGTGACAGGAAACTATTCTCTGCCCCTATAAGGGGACAAGACAGTTTGGCACTTGCTTCTAATTGGGCTGAGATAGTTGTAGAAGTCTGCCACATTGGACATGGCCCTTGGGTGCTATTGGAGCTACTGAGGTGCCTTCCAGGAAGGGGCATTTCATTACACTCAGTACTTTATTTTTTAAATTTACAGAATGTATACTGATTATATTCTTCTCTTTCAGTAATAGTGTTACATTAGGGACAGAATGTCTTCTAATTGAGGGTGTGGTGAAGAAAATACAGTCTGCTGGCCAGGTCCTCCCTCATTACAACTGCTTAATGCTCTCTCCTGCTGACTTGTGGGCCCGTAACCAGTACTCCTTTCTTCAAGACCCTCATGTCTTATTGACTGTAAACTCCCTTATGGTAAGTTTATCTTATACTTATTAATACTGATGTACTTGTATTAAAATGAAATCCACTGCATAAGTAGTAACAAACATAAGTTGTGTGGTTTTATTAATTGCTTCTCAATTGGTGGCATCACTTAACCATCTGTGAGGGCCAAATGATGTGATATCCATACATGTTTGCATCTTCAGATGTGAATAATCAGCTATTTCATGGGCTTCAGCATTGAGTATGACAATTGTATCATATTATATAGCAATGACTAACCTCTGAATCGTCATTTTTAACTGTTTGCTGCAATACACAACTAATGTTGAATGGCGATAAAGTTTTTTTTTGCACTCGTCATAATGTGCATGTTTTGCATAATCCTTCAAATATTTTTTCAACGTCCTGAAAAACTGATCTTGACCTCTACATGTTAAGCAATGATCGTCATAATGTTCATAATATGCAGGCGGACTGAGCATTTATGTCTTGCAGGCAAGCTATGAAGGTCAGACCAATGTAGCAGATATTTTGTTTGGAGTACCGTCCCGTGAAATTGGTTTTAGACGTAGTAGGAATCCTCAGCGAGTGATCACATTTGCTGTGACTTTGGCACTCAAGCAATACAATGAAGAGTAAGTAATTGAAATATGTTTGTTTTACCTTTAACATGTATTTTAAATACATAATGGCTTAGAAAACCACTCATTCTGAATCATGCCCAAGAGGAGCCCTTACCAGGACTCTTAATATGTTCTCCCTTCACCCATGAGAAAGAAGAAAGTAGGAAAGGTTTTTCACTATCAGTGTATGAGTTTTGCATTTTATATCATTTATATATACAGATTTATACTAGTAAGGTCAATGACTTTGAATAATTGAGCGAAGAAGTGTAAATTTTCCTAGGTACTGTATTAAGATTTGTATACATGTTTGTTTGCTAGCATTAAGCAATATACAGTACAGTATATCTGTATCATATTAGCTAGTTTTTTTTTTTTGTTAACTGCAATAAGACTAGGTATGATTCCTCTTCAATGAAGACTGAATGGAATATAATGTGGGTAAAGTATTCTTGAGGGTTGTAGTTGAAGAGGGCTGGGATAAGTATTTTTTGCTATCTGACAACTCTGAAACAGTAACTAGCACTAGCAATTTACTGGTGGTTACCCCAAATTACCTCTATTGACCTGCTACTTTTATTTTTTACTGTTACTGTATATTAAAAAGAATAAAAATGGAAACAACAATTCTTTAAATAAAACCTTCCAATTAAATCTATACAAGGATGATTATAGGCTCTATCACACTCTTAAGTACATCCACTGAGCTAATGACACTAACAAACTCCAGGATGAATTTCACATTTTCCTGAAGGAAAGTTTTGCAAGGATTAAGTGTCTTAATTGTTGGAGGAAGATTTCTTTAGTCTACCTACCTTAGGGAAAGAGTTCCTAATGGGAATAAGCTATTAAAAAATAGAGATAAGGATGGATGTAGAATTTATGATAAATAAATATAGGTATATGAAGTGGTATTTATTTTTATGTACGTTACTAACATAACTTGAATTTGCAGATTCGTTAGTGGATTGGAGAAAGAGCTGACATCGCGCTTCCCAGTTCACCAACCTGTTCGACCTGGAAGAGAAGAAATTACTCACATCTATTTTCCCTCACGCATGTCTCTCTGGGAATTTCTTCTTATGATTTTCTATTGTGTTTTGTTTGTATCTATCTATTTTTCTATCTTAAAAATGGATATGTTCAAGAGCAAATTTGGCATGGCCATTAGTATTCAAGCAACATTAATAGCCTCACTGTGCATCTCTGTGGGATTCTGTGCATATTTTGGTCTCAGGCCTCTGCAGAGCAAAGGAAAATATGTGTACCCAATTCTAGCAGGTCTTATTGGCTTTGAGAACAGTATGGCTTTAATCAGATCAGTTTTATCAACTCCATCACACTTGGACATCAAAATTCGTATGGCACAGGGCTTAGCAAGAGAAGGATGGACAATAACCAAATATTTTTTGACCACCATTACAATTGTGACTGTATCATTTTTCCTCTTCATTCCACTCGTTCAAGAATTTTGTATATATGGAAGTGTAGTACTCCTGTGTGATCTATATATGCAGCTGATTTTCTTGACTGCTGTACTGTCTATTGACCTCAGACGCTATGAGGACTCTGAAGAACAGAAAAAGCAGTCTTTAGCAAATAGTGGACCATTTTCTGTAAACCCTTTGTTCAGATATCAACATCATAGTCCTAATCCAAATGTCAGAATTCTTGTCAGCAATTCTGAAAGGACTGGAACTTGTGTGCCTAACCTTCACCGCAGAAATGCACCATCTGAATCATCCATTAAATGTAGTGGGCGTGATCGGGTTGCTCACCTGCAAACAGCACCTCAAAACTCAAACATTATGCCAAAAAGACTTCGTGTCGCATATTTTGTTGCAAAAAAGAGAATGTTTCAAAGGATGTTTATGTGTGTTTTTGTTGGCTGGATTGCATTTATGGTTTACAGCTCGGGACTAATTGAACATTTTTCTGAACCTACGAATGATCAGCATAGACCAAGAGACCTACCCTCTGTTATATTCTCCTTGACCAATCGCTCCAGTTATCTGTACCAAGCTGAGGTATCAATACGACCCCCACAGAATATTGATCAAACTCAACCTCCTAAATCATCATCTATGGTGACTCAGCCTACAGCTACGGGTAATACCACTATCTCTAAAGAAGATGGACTAAAACTCCTGAAGCACCGTACACGCTCACTTCTGCGTAAACTGCCACATTCACACTGGCCAACTCTATTCAGTTATTATAACATCAGTGTGACTGGACATTACCTGAGCATTTTACCGCCTATTCTGCTGTCACTGCCAGTTAAACCAGAAGATGCTCTTAATGTACACAACCCCAGTGACCCCAACACAGGTCCCTGGATTGTTGACAACATTCACATGCACGGTAAGGGTATTCATTATTGGTTTCATCTAGATTTCCTGCTTTTTTAATACTGTGAGAGATGAAAAATTACATAAGAGAAATAAAAGCTACCACTACTCCACTAGTATAACCCGTTACAGTACACTACTACTAGCAGCCACTAGTATAATCCATTACAGTACACTACTACTAGCAGCCACCACTAGTATAACCCATTACAGTAGATGCTTCACATTACTCCATTAACAGAAAATTAGTGTGTTTAATACTTGTAGTGATTAACTACATAATTAGCATTTAGAAGATAAAATGCGTTTTGGAAACGATGTACAGAATTTGTATGTTTGTAGAATGGTGAAGATTATTAGATAAAAGCAGAGATATTATCCTTGTACAAGGGCAAGAAAATGGGGAGCCACAATACCATACAAAAATGTCTACACCACTGTTTCAGCAGCCTTTACATAGACAAGGTGATCTGCATATATTGTTACTAACATATTTCATATATTCCCTGTTCATTGTAATTTTGTGTGCATTGTTCATATACAATACATATTACAGTATTTGCTTCCTCATTGGCCCTCCTCATTTGTTTAACCACAAACTAGTTGGTACATACCTTTTCCTCCTTTATCATACACAGCTAAGCATGGGGCCAGATTCACGAAAGCACTTACGAACGTGTACATCTTTCCTCAATCTTTGGTGGCTTTGGTTACATTTATTAAACAGTTTACAAGCATGAAAACTTCCCATTCAACTGTTGTTATTGTTATAAACAGCCTCCTGGTGCTTCGGAGCTCATTAACTGTTTAATAATTGGAAACAAAGCCGCCAAAGATTGAGAAAAGATGTGCAGGTTCGTAAGTGTTTGCGTAAGTGCTTTCGTGACTCCGGCCCCTGGTCACAGCCAGTCAAGTGAGTGAGGGGTCAGACTGCTTGGGATTCAAGGTGGACTTCCAGAGAAAGTTGAGCTACATCCACAACTAAACTTTATCTAGATTCTGAAACCCTCAGACATTTTAGAACTTAGAGCAAGGGGGCAGGGGCAAAAGACCTGGTGAACCCGGTAGTGCTGCTACCTATCAGTGGCCAGTTGTTACTACCATATCTATTGGGTAGATCATTTGCTGAGGTTTGCTGCTTCATTTCCTTACCATGTAAGCTGTGCAGTTGTCTGTTTTGTTTTGCTTTCTTTCTGAGAGTTTGTTTCTTCAATGAGGGATCTCATTGATGATTTGCCACCTGTACCTTTGTGAGGTGGGGGGGGGGGGGCAGGTTTTAGCCTCTTGTCTCTTGTAGGCTATTAAGGACTCCTAGGGCTGGTTTGAATTATATTTCTCGGTGCAGTTAGCTACAGGGAGCCACCATTTGGCAACTCTTGAAAGTGGCATGTCATTACACTCAATATTGTTTTTCTTTACACTGCAAAGTTAATTAATAAATTTAATTTTGCCTATAAATCATGGTAAGTCCCTTTTTATCTACTGTATTTTTAACATTATTAAATATTTATATTACAGTAATCATAATTTCTCAATTTCTAGACTCGGATGACTCTGAGGAAACTGATTGGCAAGAGGAGTCAGCTTTTATACCATCCTCATCTGGAGAACTATTACTAACAGCTGTCCTGGTGATTCCGGCTGTTCTGTGTTTGGTGTATGCTATGGTTGCCCTTTATCACTGCGTTTGCTCTCGAAATTATGCTGAATGGAGAGCCTCTTGGTGGGGCAAAGATGGGGCTAAAGATGAAACATCTCAAGTGAGTGATATTATATTTATAATATTATGACCTACAATTTGTAGACCTTTCTCGAACACACTAATTGGGACAGGATCTGTTCGGTTTTACCCAAGAATTTAGTCCACACACAGTTTCACTATTTTAATCACGCTCATCAGTAGAACACATCCTTGGACATGTATACACAACAAAATAATATAAAATCAATGCATTTTAAATATTCTGGAAGGAAAAATACAGGTACAAAAGATAATAATTTAAAGAAAAAAGGTACAAAATTTTATTACTTACCTTAGTGATGATCTGATTCATTTCCACACTCGAAAGGGTGACTTTTACTGAAAAAAATCTTCAAATCTACCTGATTGTACAAAGGTTTCAATATTACAAGTTTTTATTTTCCCAAACTTTTAAATATTATTTTTCAGTCATGTCATAACTCCTAGCGAACAAAAATTTATCAAACTCAAAATAAAAACCCACCATAGAATTTTGTTTGAAATATGCTTAATGGCTTTCCCAAACACTGATAGAGAATTTGCTTCATCATTTCAGTGTGCAAGATTGGTAGAAATACTAATTTATCAAATTTTACTTTAGATTATTGGAGATGCATTGCCACTAGTTCTTACGGGCCACCCTCACGATGTAGAGTGCATGTGCTCTGATGGAGTGTTGTTGGTATCGTCATGTTTGGCAGGCATTATCCGAGTCTGGGATCCCAGTACAGGAGAGTGTGTAGCCAACATAAACAGACGCAGGTGAGATATTAATTTATCATTGTTTGTGCAATGAAATAATGAAGTTAAGTTTGTCATGTCTATATAATTGCTTGTTAAGTAATACTTCGTAGTAATTCCAGATCATTATATTTTATATGGTAAGCTTATTTTCAGTAGCTCTTGGACCTAAGTGCTGGTACAGCCATGCATTATTGATGCAGCAGGTCTTTGAGACTCGCCTATGGCTACCAGGAGTCAGGACCAGAATCTGGTTTTCTCTAAGCTGAAGGGAAATTTGGGTATCTATATAAAAGCCCTAGCTTTGTATATCACCACAACTGTGTGCCAAGGTTGCCTTCGTTGTTGGCTTGCAGTTCTCATGCTCACCAGAAATACCTTCTCTATGAGGTTTGGGCTTCTCTAACTCCTGCACTGCGCACCTGTTTCACGTGCACAACATGATGTGCACAAAAAATAAAACAAAATATTTGTTTCTTTCAAATATTGTTAAAATGTGATCACAGGAAACTAAAAAAAATAATTGTATGTAACTTTGGCCATGATGGAGAGAGGAAATATCGCATTGACATCACTGATTCACGATCGCAGGTCACAATTATGGTCTCTAAATCCTGAATGTGAATCTTTAATGTGGGTAGTCCCTTCGGCTCCCCAGAGCTTACCGGGCTGATATGCATGTATTAGACCATGGCATCAGTTGATGGGGTTCTTGTCTACCGGGAGACCACGAGCCAGACTTGGTGGTAGGTTTGTTTGTTTGCAGCCGTCTCCTTTTTTGGCGAAGAATGAGTTGGCTGCTTTCCGGAGGGATCCTTTGAGTCGTTGATGCTTAGTTGGTGAGGCCGGGGGTGCATCATGTGTTGTGTCCCGTTTCAGCTCTTCGCTGTTAACTATGCGCCACGGCTTCTGTGGCCGGGGATATGCTTTAGGTTGATCCGGTTTCCCTTGTTCCCTGTTCCAAGGCTCGGGTCTCCCAGGTCATCCACAGGGTCCACATCCACAGTCATCGTCCAATCTGCCTGTGGTCTATCCTCGTGCTCATGACGTTCGTATGTTTGCTGCTTTGGCTGCCACCTTTGGTAACATGTCTTTGGCTGACATTTAAGCATGGGGATTTTGGAGGTCGAACAGGGTCCTGGCCACGCGTTACTTAATCAACGTTCCTGGCCCTAGTCGGACGTGTGTCACTTTGTGTCCCAAGGTTGCAGCCAGTTGTCTCAACTTTGCGTTGTAATCCTCCTAGGTAAGTCCCTCTTGTCAATTAAGTCAAACAGTCCCTTCTTTGTTTAGGTAGCTCCAGGGAGCCGTAGGGGCTCTCCACAGAAAATCAGTGTTGAATGTAATGAAACTCCATTTTCTGGGTGAGCCCCGGAGGCTACCCGGCACCCTCCCTCTTTCCGGATAGTGGTTTTTCGTGTTCTTTTTGATACTCGGCCTCAGAACTGAATGCTGTAGCGGCCGGCATGACGGTGTTAGTGATTTTTACTCATTTTAGTTTGGGAGCATTGCCTCCCTATTTGGTTTTAGGTAACAATTTTTACCATGTGGGGTTTGTTTTGTTACGTCTAGCTTTCTGGGTGCCAAACCCTGGTCGATGGCAGACATGGAATGCTTACAAACACATGGGGGTTTCCATAGGCCATTGCTCCTCGTGCCTCTGAGAGGGCCAGGTTCTGGCTCGGTCCTCGGTTGGCAAGAACTCCATTGACTGATGCCACGGTCTAATACATACATATCAACCTGGTAAGCTCCAGGGAGTTTTCGGGGCTCACCCAGAAAATGGCGTTTTATTACATTCAATACTGGTTTTTTGCATGTTCATTTTCTAAACAAACATGAGGTCCCGTTGCATGATGTACATAGGCAAGAAACTTCAGCTGTGTGATGTGGCTGTTTGTCTCACTTTGGGAACATCATCAGCAGGATTGCTACCCATAGTTGCTGTGTTAGTTTCCAGGAGAACCCAGCCCTTGCACCCAAGTGGGGTGTCCAGGATTTTTTTCCAAGATGGCATCTGTTTGCTGGAGACCTGATGAAGATGATGTGAGCCCCAAGTTCCTGTGGGAGCTTTAAATCTTACACTAGACCTAAAAGCATCCCTGGTTGCTGTTCACACTACTCATGAAACAACCCTAGTCACAATGTACATGTGAAGGGTTAAGAATTGACTTCTGTTGAGTCATCATGCTTCTGTGTAACACACACATTCTCCACTTCAAAGCCTATTGATGGTGAGTGTGGCAGTTAGGTTTGTGCTGTGTTGTGACTGTGCTGGCCTTGCTCCATGTGAGTTGGGGCTTTTGTTCAGCTTGGGTTTCCTAAGTGAGTGTTCCTGTTTGTAGCTGGGAACGCCTTCCATTGTCTAGTGCTTGCAATCAGGGTTTGGGGTTTATTCATCCAAGATGTTTCCCCATGTAATTACCTAAGTATAGTTACAGGATGAGAGCTTCACTCGTAGTTTCCTGTCTTCCCAGTGCTCTGTCGTATGACGCTTTGAAACTACTGACAGTTTTGGCATCCACTACAACCTCACCTGTTCCAACATTCTACCACTCTGTTTGCAAGAAAGAATTTTCTAATACAGTATTTCTTTTGGCACTGCTGTTTCCTTAGCTTGAATCTATGACCTCTTGTTCTTGAAGTTGCAGGTTTGAAGAATTCTCTTTGTCAATTTTGTTTATTCCTATGTACGTGCATGCATATTATTGAATATGATAGGACCATCTTGCTTGGAAAGGAAGTTGAAAAATTAACTCTCCAAAAGTTCATTTGGCACCTGTACTGAGTCTGGTGTGTTTTGCTATGTACAGCTTAGCTTCTTTGGAGGCAGAGGGGGAACTGTATACAAAGATCAATACAACAATGTATAATTCATGCAGGTGCATTGAAAGGTGAGGAGGTTACCTTGTCAAATTTACAAATTGAGCAGGTCCTGCATTTTCTGAATATAAGAAACAACAAAATAAGCAGTTTGAATGAGTTAAATAAGTTCACTGAAAAATATGCAAGCTTGCTAGCTGTATTTGATGTATAAATAATGCCAGTCTCTTCTGAAACTTTTTTTGACTGGTAGAGTTTGCATCATAAAACACAAATTGTACATGATTGGTTGATTAAATATTCAGATAAATATCCAAATGTGTAGTGACTATTTCTGGCTTGAAATCAGCCATGGTATGAAAGGCAGCTGAGTTAAATATATCCAAATTATTACATCTGGAGCTGGTCTTGCTGTGAAGGAGCAAAATCTATTTCAGGGGCAATATATGTTCAAAGTGCAATTGTATTTAATCTGGTCTTTTTGTATTGTAAATGCCCAGGTATACCTAATTAATAACCCCCCCAGGTGAGATTGAACCTCTTCTCGTGACATGTTGATAAATTTTAAACATTTCAGTTCAGGTACCTTAAATAAAGATAAAATGTTCTTTGTTTTACTTGAGAACAAACAAAACTGACCGGTCATCTTAATACTAAATGTAGCTTTCAGTTGTGACATTTTTTTACTTTTAGAATTAATGCAAAATGTTAGATGAAGTTACATTTAGTCATGAGGTATAGTACAGTAATTAAGTTAAACAAAAAATGTATTCCAGTAGTAAACAGGTATTGGAATATGTCTTTTTATTTAGCTCACAGAAGAAAACTTTATTTCTGTATCTACACAGCATGCCACTGAATGAAGCACTAACCTTAAGATAACTGGTTGGTTGCTATATATTCAGTCTTATAAGCATTGGAAATTTGTTTATATAAATGAAAAATGCCAATAATTTTTTCCACCTGCTACCAGCCACAAGAAACCCGAGTTTCGTATGGGGTCACCAGACCTTGGAGACGACTTTCACTCTGACTATGAGTCTGGGTCTCCAAGATCACAGGCAGGAGACTATAGCTTCTTCAGAAAAAATGCAAGGTAAAGTATTAGTGAAATTAAAAATTTCAATACAAACTATTTAAATTTTTCATCAGATCTCTGGTTATTTATTTTGATTTAACAAGTAATGATTAAATATTTTTTTAATTTTTATCTGTTATTATCATTACTACCCCATTTCATTGGGTGGGACGGTGGAAATAATAGAATAATTAGGGGAAAGTAAATTAATGATATACAAATTGAACATCTCGACTATTTGCCATATCTTCCAATATCACACAGAACCAGTACTGTCACACCCCTAGCAGTACATCCCTAATAGATGTACATTCCCTCACCTCTTCATACAACCAACTGTAAAGGGCATTCCACAAATTGTCATATTAAAACAGTGTGACAAGTAATATAAATGCTCCTATCTGATCACCCTGAGCTAGTACCCAAACCAGGGCCAGGGGCTACCCAGGTCACTGCTCTCATGCCAGACTCATCGACTTACGTCCCATAATGACCTTTTTATGGGTTCGTTATAATGACTTTCCTAATTGTGCTTGTGGGATTCTATAGGCAGTTTTTAAGAATAGAATGTTTTCAGTTTTTGTTGGGAAAGAGTTGATATAAACAGTTGAAATTTGTTTCAAAAGATTTAGTGCCACAGGTGAAAGTTATACTTATTGTTTATTGTAATACCCTGTACAATTGATGCAATTTTGAGTTCTTTATTACTGTATAAATATTTGGCTGTCATGTTGAAACATTACAGTGGTGCATATTATGATTATGACAAATTCATGCAATAAAAAATGTACCACAAAAATTGTTTTAGTAATGTTTTCCTGAACTATTTTGTAATTTGACTATACTGTACAGGTATCTCATCTTATCATTACAGTGGTTTATGGCTGGACGAAGATGAGAAGGATGACAGTGATTGTGAGATTGTGGACCCATTAGACTCTGCAAAAATACAGCAAGATAGTTCATCAGGAAACCTCTTTCATACGTTTCCAGATCTTAGTCCTGCCATTGATCTTCATTTTTATAGTCGATCAGCAGATTCTCGCAACAGTGGCTGCTTTAGTCGTTTTGATAAGTATTATGAGGAGCACAAAAAAATGCTTGAAGATGATGAAAAGTATAGACAGAGACGGGGGAGAAAAATTTCTGATTGCAATGAATATCCTTCATCTGCAAACATAACTAAAAATATGATAAGATCTCCATCTTATACAGAGACTTTATCAGGTTATAACCCCAAAAAGCATTATAGAAACCTTAGTGCCGGGAGCATTCCAGTTGGTGCTCTCTTTGGACACAATGGTGGTGGTGGTAAAGGATCTATAGAAGGAGAGGGAGACAGTACAATGGATGAGGAATTGTCTCCAATTTGGTGCCTTGAGTGTCAGGATGCACTAGTAATAGTAGGATGTGGTTCAGGCCGGATAGAGGTATGGGATCTCTATAATAACGTTCTGAAGGTAAGTAATTATTTAAATGTACTGTACTCTTACATTAGCTAGCATAATTTTTGTGTTTTTATGAGCAATGTCCCCTCAGTAGGTCACTACCATAGTCAGAGTCCATCCAGGACTCATTCACCAAACCATAATCCACCTGTACCCCACTGTGACAAATTTTTAGATAGTCTTTCCATATAGTTGGGAATGACAGTGTGTCACTCCTCGGCTAATGCACGAATAATGTGGCCTGTGTGACCTGAAAACACAATTATGAATGAGAGAATCTAGTGACCGAGACAAAAAGCAAATACTGCACAGCCATGAAAAATCTGCAAAGGCATGACATGGAGTGAAACAGTATGGGATGCTACCCACACAGGGAATTTTACAACAGATTGTTTCAGGTGCACAGCACAACCACACACACTGCATGGTACAGAGCCAAGTACAGTACTGTAGTCATAAATGTAGTAAGGAGCTCACAGAAGAAAACCTTAGCTGGGGCAGAACTATACTGGAATAATAAAATAACTGACAAGTGAAGTAAAATTAATAATGCTTACACAAGCAGATGCTTACGTCTGAAGAACTGACAAGAACCATGAATGTAATGGGAAACTTATAAGATGTATTACAACAGCTGAAATCATTACATGACTGGGTACGGAGAAGAAACATCTGGTAATTATGTAAAAGTAGAAAGACAAAGCTATCCCCAAAGTGCTATACCATCAGTAACAAATTTAGGATGTCATGCAATAGCCAAATCCACAGGCAGGTCACCAGGACCCTTTGCTTGCATCAGTGCACATAGAGCCAGGAATAAACAAAGCCAACCACACCTTAATAAATGGGTGAGAAAGCAATTGAATGCATCCTGTGCACAACAGAAACACACCACAAGGCGCACATCTAAGTGTGGCAAATGCATGGAGAATTTTGTTAATTGTTTTGAAGAATCCGATACATGGTGGCTCAGAGCTTTGAGGGAACAGTGTGTTTTTATTTATTTATTTATTTATTATTATTATTATGTTTAGAACTTGAAAAACAATCCATCCACAGTGCAAAGTGCCTAGGAACTGCAAATTTAGTGGAGAATTCGAGTGAAGGTTCCCACTGCTGAATGGCATAGACTGACCAGGAACGGGAAAAAACCCAATGGTCAGCATTTCATAAAAAAAAAGGAAATGGCTTGCCTGCATACATGCGAGAAGTTTTTACAAATGTGACATAAGCCCACTACTCGAAGTCCTTAAGCATAGGACTAGTCATTTAACAATAAATATGGGTCCCCCTCTACCCAGATGACTAGCAGCTGAGGCAATGTCAAAATAAAATGTGTGGAGGGTTTGGCTGGAGCAGTATATTATGGTGCTTTGAATGTTCAGTGTATTATGTTGTGCATGCTGCCTTTACATTGTTAGTAAGCACTCTTCTATGTACATTCTTGGATTGGATTCAATATTTTCTCTAGAACCAGCATGACTCAACAGGGACAGTTTGAAATGTTCCTCGCCACACTGGTGTGATGTGTCGACCTAACAGATTTATCTGGATGAATGTTTATTGTGTTATTGCAAAGCAACATTTTACTTACTTGCTCCCAGCAGAGAAAGCAAAACATACAACTGTATTGTACATAAGGGGCATAACTGGCTGACCTCACGCAGTGTTCAAAAGAGAAGTTGACATGTGCCTTCAAAAGATATCTGATCAGCCAGGCTGTGAGTAGCTGCATCGAACAGCCTGGATGATAAGACCAGCAACCAGTTCTTATTGCAGAGACATTGATCCTCGAAATCATCAACAGGTAGTCAACATCATCTTTGCTATGCTGTGCATACATTCTTATATCCTTACTATACTGAGAGTAAGAGGGGTGCATTTTGAATTACAGTGGAACCTCAGTTTATGAATGCCCCGGATTACAAATTTTTCAGTATACAAAGTCAATTTCTTTGTAAAATGACTCGGGTGTACGAAGTTTGCCTCAGGTTACGAGGTTAATACATGTTTGGGTCGAGCACGTAGCTGGGTGCAGGGCAAGGCACGCTCAGTTTACCAGTGTATCCCGCCTAGTGATGACCGTGCTTGAATTCTTTGTGAAGAATTTAATTGTTTTTCTGCTTTTTTGGTTTCTGAACATAAAAGTTTTTATTATATATCAATCATGCCATGGGTCCCAAGAAAGTCAGTGGTAAAGTTCATGCTAAGAATATAAGTGTTAGTAGAGGCAGTAGAGGATGTCCCTTCCTCATTAAGAAGATGTGTTCAGTATGGGAAGAACTGCAAAGTTTTGCTGAAAAAACTCTCCCAGTTAAAGCTGTAGCAGGCCGTTGCATTAACCTTTTTAATGGCAATGTGATGTCTCACTACAGACAAGTGAAAACGTAGAGAAAAACAAGTGTCTTTAGACGTAGTCTTAGTAAGACAAGCAAGCACTGAGCTACAACCAGGTCCTGTTGGAATGACTGCAAAATCTAGGAGAGAGAGAGTACCCCAGAAATGTCATCACTGCCTAAATGTTATAAATGTTTGGAAGGGACTCCCCTTCCAAACACTAACACCTCTCCTCCTTTCCCCCTCCTCACCGTCTTCCATATGCCAACAGGAGTCCTCAGTAAGGGTAAGGTATGGTAAAAGGTATGAGTAGTATTCTGTATAAAATGTATTTTTAAGTTAATATTTTTAGGTGTGTGGAACGAATTACAGTAATTCAGTTTACAGTACATTATTTCCTGTGGGAAAATTTATTTTGGTTTACGAATTTTTGGTGTATGAACCGTCTCTTGGAATGAATCAAACTCGTAAACCAAGGTGCCTCTGTACTGTTCTGTAGTTTCTTTAAAAAAAGGAATTCTGTAATTTTTGTAAATTCAGTGTATGATAAAAAATTTATAATTATTACAGTACAGTAATAAATATTTTATTTTTCAGTGTATATATGATGAAGGTGTCAAAGCAGGAGTAACTTCAATGCGTATATCAGGAAACCGTCTCATGATTGCCAGACTAAATGGTGCTGTAGACATGCTGCGGATTGAGCAAGCTAGTTCTTGTCTGCAAACTTCTGATGCATATCAAACATTTAAACCAGGTAATAAGACAATATACAGGTTTTGCTATTCATATCCATTTTTTTTTCTCTGTGGGTATGTGTTTAGGTGTGGATGAAGGGGTGTTGGTATGGGATAGTGTGTGAACGTAGGGATGTTGGCATGGGATAGTGTGTGGATGTTGGTATGGGATAGTGTGGATGTTGGCATGGGATAGTGTGTGGATGTTGGCATGGGATAGTGTGTGGATGTTGGCATGAGATATTGTTTGGGTATAGGGACTTTGTATGCAATGTTGCCTGGATGTATGGATGTTGGCATGGGATATTGTGTGGATGAATGGGTGTTGATAAGGGTAATTATATGAAAGGGGTGTTAGTAAGGGATTGTATGTTGGTATAGGTTTGAGTGTTGGGCAACAGCATTTTGAAGGTTTTGGTATTCTTTATATTTATTCTTACCATTAGCCTAGTAGATTAAAGTGAAGATTTAATTGAAGGTATTGCCAATTGGAAGCCAGCCTGTATCTTCAAGAGCCTTGCAAAAATGTTAAATTGGTGTCTTGATTCAAAGTTTCTCTCTCAAAGTGAAGGCTGTCTGAGAGAGCCTTTTATTATTTACCAGTTAAAACATTTTAGGAAAGTCCGTTATAAGAAACTTAAATTGTAGTTTTTGATGAATAGACTCGTAGCACACATCTTCTAAAAAATTTATTAGGTTAACAACTATCCAGCAGATATCTTTGTCATCGAAGGACTGGAAAATAACCGTTAAATATTACAGTACTATACTTAATGTTTCAGGTCACAGTCGAGGCAATAGTAGAGACTATAGTAATACTGGGTGGACATTTGGGTATGATGAGCCCATAAGACTATTGAGATACGCTGGAGTGCGTGCCCATCAGCAGCCCATCACGGTCATGACTTGTGATCATGTGCGACTCATTACTGGTGCACATGATCACACACTTAAGGTTTGTCATCCTTTCATTTTATATTTTACATTTCATTTTCTACCTTCTGAATTTACGATTTCTTGAAGTATCACTATATGTTTTTGTGTTGCCCTCTGTTGTCTCCTCTGTGCATTGGCTGTGGTGCCACAGAGACATCCACTGAACTACCAAGCGTCTTAGACTTGTGCGAGCCTACCAAAAACCAGGACCAGAATCTAGTGTGGTCACAGAGGCTAGAGAAGCACGGGAATCTGAGATCAACCTTAAAACCAAGTAAAAGTGTCCAAAAATTATATATACAAGGCAAAACAAACTACATATCTTTAGTAGAGAGAGAATAGATGTAAACAAGGAGCATGGTAGTTTGCCCAGTGTCATCAAACCAGGCGCTAGTATTCAAGCATTGTTTCTCAGATTTAAGTGAAAATTTAGTCTTACTCATCATCTTGTGTGTGTATCATGGGCATGTCTTCATCTTATTGACCAACTCAACATCATACTAAATATATTCCAGGATGGCTTAATCATCCCTAAATGAAGATCTCTCTTGTCTGTGCAAAGACAAAATGTGAAGGGATGATTTAACTAGGGAAGTCTATATAAGATATTGATGATAAAATACAAATATATACTATTAAAAAAAATGGAACGTGTAAAATACATATTTTCGGCTTCTTGTAAAATATTACTGTGGCTAAGTCCAATCACTGCAGTATTTAGAAATCCACTTCTTATAAATAAAAGTAGGTATGAAATGTGAATACTTTAAAGCTTAATTTTTTAATTGATATTTACTGAACAGGTATTCAGCATGACTGATGGTAGAGCTCTCTTCACTCTACATGGGCACTGTGGCCCCATTACATCAGTATTTGTAGATGGGAGTTTAGGTGCCTTAGGTAGCGAAGGAGATGTGACTGTGGACCTCGGGGTCGGTGCCATCATTGGCAGTGGATCTCAGGATGGTATGCTGTGTGTATGGGAAGTTGTTACTGGTGCCTGTGTTTATAGGTAAGTTTATAAATCATATTTCACTTATTGCTTTTACTAATATAAGTGTCATTCCTTTATAAAATATCCCTTTTTATGGAAAGTTCTGTTAAAAAGCTGAAAGAAAGTTAAACAAAAGATTTACCTCTATGGGAAAAAGGTGGTTTTATTCCAGAGTCTTTAACGATTTAATTTTCCCACTTTTTACCACTTTAAAAAACACCTATTTTAACATTAATATTCAGTTCTCCTTCCATTTTCAGCACACATTCAACACAAATGCAGAATGCTTTAGATATGCATTGATGTATGAGTATATGGCAACCAAGAAAGTTCTTAAAATGTATAAATGTAGCATGTGTGGGAGCCCAACACACTGCCATGAATGTAGTAAACTTGAGGATTAGCATGGATTACAGTATGTTCAATATGCTGTGTTAATCTGTGCTCATCCCACTTCCAAAATTCACCTGTTCACCTTGAAACTTTGTGTGTAATTCATTTCTTACATGCATACCACCAAATTCACTTACTCCAAATTGAGGGTTTGCTGTAGTTTTTTTTTTTTAAACTTTAGCTTCTCTTAACCCTCTTAACTGGCTCCTGTAGCTCTCAAGCAATATGTGATGGTGTGCCTGTTGCCTGTGGGAGATTTAATGTGCCCTGTAATATTCAGAAATCCTGAAGATTGTGTGTGAATGTTGTTCAACACTAGACACCTCTTGCAATTGTATCCCACATTGGAAAAAAATCCTGAAAGCCTTGGTTTCCTTTCTATAAAGTACAGTAGTAGAGAAATTGGCACCATTTCCGGTGCATCACTGTCCACTTACTGACGCCCATGCTAGAAACTATTGATGCCATGTAAAATTTCAGGGACTTTTATGAACCTGGATGATATTAATGATGAGAAATCTATTACACATAGTTAACATGAAATTAATTTTCAGAATTGCATGTTTTCAACATTTCTTCCCCCTTTCTACAGTCAAACTAAAATAAGAATTTTTTTCACCCACCTCCAGAAATAAAGGCTTTATGATACAGAAAGGAAACATCTGTTTTGCCTAGCAGAAAATTGACCTAAATTATAGTACACAGTTAGGGGGTTAATTAAAAGATAAATAATTTAAAGCTACAGTAATACTTTCACTGGGCCTATACTTGTAAAGTATAGATATGTCTTAGATAATGAAGAAGATTTCTACCTGATGGAAACTGTGCTCATTCATTCATTATTGAGAGAGAATTTATATACTGTAGTAAAAATAACACATGAAATTGGTGTGAACATTTTGTAAATAGCCACTTAACTGTAAAAATTTGAGAATTGTGTTTCAGTATAATGATACATAATGACATTGAATTCTTGATGAAAGTGAAATGTTCAGTTAATTGTTTTTTACAACAGTGTACAAGCCCATGATGGAGTCATAACCACACTCACTTGCACAACAAGCTACATCTTGTCCCTGGGTGGAGATGACAAACTTTGTGTTTGGGAAAGATTTCAAGGACACCTCCTTAATACTTTGCAAATGGTTAGTATTTCAGATTTTTTTTTAATTTAAACAAATCCGCCTGGAGATTTTCTTTTATCTAAAAACTCGCACTGCAGCTTCTTAGTTCTTGTATGCATTTTGCTAATCTAAGAATTTATCACTATACTGTCAACTTTTTTTCTATTCCACGGCCCATCTTGTGGAGTTGTTTTCCTCAACACATTTAATTTCCAGTGTTTCATGAATCATCGGTGGAGTTTTATTTTAAACTTATTTTCTGAACTATGCCACTTTTTTTTTTTATCAAGTATTGCTTGAACAAAGTTCTTGTGTTAAGGGATATACAGTACTTTATGCAGTCATTCAGGTCTGGATTGAGAATTTTCCAGTCTTTCCCACCATGTTATGGCCAGATGGGAGTATTTTTAGAGTTTGTGGAAAGGAAGGTGAAGGGGGGAGATAAAGAGGAGGAGGAAAGAGAGAAAAAAAGCCTAACTACATCTCGAAATGGAAACTTGTATTGGCTCTGGCTGGAGTCCACCATGTCCTTGGAGTGGAATATTGCTCAAGGGTGACCAGGTGTCCAGTTCAGAAAGCAGCATTATTTTCCTATAGCCAGTGTCAAAAATATGCAACTTTGAAGTACATTTTAAATTATGTAATGAATTAAAAAAAATTATTATCTTTCAGACCCAGATGTACTGCAGTAGTATGGTCATGCTCACAAATAAACTACTTATTACTAGCAGACAGGTAAGTTAATTTAAAGGCATAGTTGAACATTCTTTTAACAATTACTTTTTATATTTCAAATGTATAGTACAATAAGTCAGCAGCAACCATGAAGAGCATTGTCATTTACGATGTGCCACAGGTATGTGTGTTCGCGAAGAATCTGTTTCAGTATTTGGGTTCCACCTCTTTGCTGTCACACTAACACTTGAAAGACAGTCATACTTGACTTATGAAGCTGCTTCTCCAACCCAAGTACAGTATAGGAGACTATTGGTGTTCTAAGATACTGCTGTACCAAAGAGTAAGAGTTCCTTATTGACTTAAGTAGAACCAAGTATAATATGTTTTGTGGCCAAACCATACTAATGCTCTTGTATATGACCTTTAAATATTTAAACTGCCTAAATTATAAGAGCTCTGTTTTAAATTAAAAAAAAAGTGTTTTAAAAACAAATTGCATTTTGTCACAACTTTGTAATTATAATTTTCTTTAATCCATATTTATTACAGGGTTCATTAACAGTGTGGGACATCACTTCAGGAGTTCCAGTACGTGTAGTACGTTTGGGAGACCGTGATGATTCTGTATTTATTTGTCACATGATGCCTGTTGCAGACACAATCGTCTGTGATTATGGAAACCAACTCAGAGTTGTAAAATTGCCAGTGGCAGAAAAACTGGACTGATGTAAGGGGATTAAATAATAATATTTTGATATGTATATAAAGCAGTACCTTCACTTATGAAATCAATAAAAGGTTTCCTAGTATTTTTAATACATAAATCACTTCATGATTAGTATTCAGTATTAACATAAAGCCATTATTTACTGGTACAATATGAAAAAGTTTGTCATGTTTCATGAAATGAAACACTGTAATATTTATATACAGACTTTCCTACAAATATTTTGTAGTTTTTTAAATTGTATAATGAAATCATCAGTAGTGAATTTGGAGCATGACACAAATTTATAAGTTTCTTAATTTCTTAAAAGTAGTAATTTAAAATAAAGCCACTTTCGTATTTAAACACATTATGGTCAAACATGTTTCTGATTGATATGGTGTAGAATTGATTATATGGCTGTTCTGTTTCTATCAGACCTTTTAGAAAACAATATAGCCATGTTACCTGAACCAAAGTTTTGTACCAAGTTCATTGCTTCTTTGCTCATTCATTAGCTTTTATGCACATGTATTTAAAAGATGCCTTATCATCCTTTCCACCTGTATATTTTCATCAAACACAATGCAAACTTGCTATTTAGCAAATAGTTAAGTAACTACAATTCTTAAAAGGTTTATTGTTTTATGTTTTGATGTGATTGTGCAGCCCGTTCTCTCGAGCATTCCCAGCGTCACTAAACTGATGTACTAAATTGCCCAAACCTAACAAGACTCACAAATAGAAAACAGGACAACATGCCAATTTTGCAAGGGACTATGATTTTCAGTACATCAGTTTTTGGTCTTGGGGGATTTATATGTCAAACTGTGTTGTACTATTTGAGAGGACGAGTTGGATTGTGAGCATGTATTGTGCTAGTTGTACAGCACCCATGAGTACTCTATTTTGGGAGTAGCATTGCCTGGTGTTGTAGATTTGTAAATTTGCGAGCCTAACTTTTAACCATTCTCATGGTGTAGTTGACAAAGGAACCTCACTTGTACAGAGAAAAATTTTGTGCTGTATAATTTACACTATGAACATTTTTTATATGACTGCCTACTTGCTGAAGTGGGGAGTATTTAAATAGCAATGCAATTTAAAAATGTTGATACCCAATGGCTGTGAAAGTGTTTTCTGTACAAGTTGCCAATGTATTTTGTAAACAAAATTGTAAATGATTATAATAGAAAAAATGCATTTCATCTTGTTCACACCAAATTGTTCTCTTTTCCTATATTTTGAAGTATGTGAGAAACAATGCAAACTTAAAATAGTTTTTATATACGAGTATGATTACCCTTTTTCTTATGGTAAATTGTTTATATAAGATTGTAATGTACTATACACTCGTCTCATATTTAGACGCCTCCTGCAGTCACTCAACCTTTAAAAGCTCAGTTCTTGTAAGCACTATACTTTTTTTATATACAATTTCAAATATAGCTGAAAAAAATTAGTTTCTTTGCAAGTTTAAAATGTGGACGAGGGAAAAAAGCATCTTGTCTTGAATATCCATGTCAAGACCTGAAATTTGTCGGCAAGTAATAAATAATTAAAGATGATTGATATGGTGGCCTTGGTGGCTACACAATATAGTATGTATAGGCTCTTTCAAATCTTCTGTAATATTAGAATTTCACATAGGTGCATATGATTAAATAATACAGTAATCAAAAGAAGGCAGCAACACAGACTATTTAGCTATGCCCGTTATGCAGAACAGCATAAGCCAAAAAAAATCCTAGATATTCAGGATGCAAATACATGAGCAAAAAGACAAGATTTGATGTCAAAGGTATCCAATTCATCAAGTATTTGATTGAGGTACAACTGAACGAGGTACATTGAAAAAATATAAGTTCTTCTATTCTGGAAATTGGAACATTCTACGTAGTGCAAGTTTTTTCTATTAAGTACCCATTAGTTAATTTTATTTAAGTGTATGGCCAATACGCAGCCTAGCCAGAGCTGTGTCCCACCACTTGTTACAGTGATAGAAGGAAGGCCATAGGAATAGATCATCAAATAATATGCAGTTTGCCACTCATAATTCCTAACCATCTAATGGTTGCATATCACATTATGGATGATTATAGAAATCAGTTTCTGGAAGGTGAAACAATCGCAAATCCTCATCAGCAGCAGCAGTGTTCACAAGAACAACCAACATGACTGGGTACCCAGCACAATGCAACTGTTCAACCCAACCAAGGTTAGATATTACTTTTTGTTAATTATGTGGACCATTGTACATAGACATAATGGACACTTAGAATTTGTTACTATTCACTTTATAGTCCAACAAAATAGCTAAAAACCAAACTTAAATATTCCTAGGTTTAGTAATGTACATACTGGTATATGTATTATATTAGACAGCATGTATTAGGCCTAGGATGGTTAGGTTAAGTTCTTTGCAGCATCAGTACAAAAACTAACGGTTTGTCCAAATTTCATCTGTACTGATTTCAACTTTTTAATTGCCATGTATATAGCCCTGTTGTGGAGATTTCTTGACCCCATAGCACTGACCATTTTGCCATCCTCGTTTCCCATCTTTCCGTCCATCCCCCTCTTTCCTTCAGTGGCAGTTTGATAAGGCAGACTGTTGTCTTATTCACCTTCAGAGTTGCTTTTCCCATCTTGATACTTTTTTTTTAGTACAGTGGCCTGTAAGGCCATCCATACAGCTAAATGCAAGTTGGAATCCTACATTCCTACCATTACTGTTTAGTACCACTCTCCCTTATGTCTGAAAGAACATGTGGGTAAATTTGTTCCAGACAGTGCTTGTCGATCCTGAAAGACATGACCCCGACTGACTCTTACAGTGCCCCGACTGGCCCTCACGGTGCCCCGACTGGCCCTCACGGTGCCCCGACTGGCCCTCACGGTGCCCCGACTGGTCCTCATGATGCCCCGACTGGTCCTCATGATGCCCCGACTGGCCCTCATGGTGCCCCGACTGGCAACGAATTATCCAGCTACGTCTCTTACGATCAAGCAGGTGCGCTATTTCATCCTTCCAGCAGCAGGAGTCTTAAGACCAGGTCGCAGCCCATAGAAAGGCGGCCAATCCCCTTGCCCGAGCGGGTTCTATGGGCACTACAGAGAAACATTTTTCCCCAAACCTTTCCCTACGGCGTCCCTGGGCCCCAGCTCGGCCCCCCACACCCTGGGGACAGCCACGCGCGCGTCTCTCACTCCGCTCCTCTTGGCTGGCTCCCTCTCCCCCTCACTATGACCACCACACCTCAACCTTCTCACACCATTGTCCGACCCTTGGCACACTCTACACCGGCCGAGCGTCACCATGGACACCTAGAACCACGTGGTCTGGTCGAGCACGACCATGAACACCCAGATCTACTTGGTCTGGCCGACCACAGTCACCTCCTACCACAAGTCATTAGTGCTGTACTAATATCACCTACGACCAACAGCCCAACATTCCGGTCACCCTTCACAACCAACAGCCCAACATTCCGGTCACCCTTCACAACCAACTGCCCAACATTCCGGTCACCCTTCACAACCAACAGCCCAACATTCCGGTCACCCTTCTCAACCAACAGCCCAACATTCCGGTCACCCTTCACAACCAACAGTCCAACATTCTGGTCACCCTTCACAACCAACAGCCCAACATTCCGGTCACCCTTCACAACCAACAGCCCAACATTCCGGTCACCCTTCTCAACCAACAGCCCAACATTCCGGTCACCCTTCTCAACCAACAGCCCAACATTCCGGCCACCCTTCACAATCTCTAACACTATTATCAGACAGGCCCACACAATCACTGCACAATGTCAGCCTTCCGATACTGAACCATTCTGGATAGTGTCATTCCCAGATGCACCTTCCAGCCCCCCGGGTCATCCCCTAATTATCCCCTCCTACTGGCCAGAGACTACCATCGTCAATCCTCCCACTCCTTCGCCTCTTACACCTTATGACAGACCCGTGATAAATCTTTCTTACTTGCCAGCCGTTAATCCATACTCCAGCTTCTCTTCCATACCCACAGGACGACCACTAACTACACCTTCTTACTGGCCAGCCACTAATCCATCAGTCGACACTTCCATACCCACTGGACGACCACTAACTACACCTTCTTACTGGCCAGCCACTAATCCATGAGTCGACACTTCCATACCCACAGGACGACCACTAATTACACCTTCTTACTGGCCAGCCACTAATCCATCAGTCGACACTTCCATACCCACTGGACGACCACTAACTACACCTTCTTACTGGCCAGCCACTAATCCATCAGTCGACACTTCCATACCCACAGGACGACCACTAACTACACCTTCTTACTGGCCAGCCACTAATCCATCAGTCGACACTTCCATACCCACAGGACGACCACTAACTACACCTTCTTACTGGCCAGCCACTAATCCATCAGTCGACACTTCCATACCCACTGGACGACCACTAATTACACCTTCTTACTGGCCAGGCACCAATCCATCAGTCGACACTTCCATACCCACTGGACGACCACTAACTACACCTTCTTACTGGCCAGCTACTAATCCATCAGTCGACACTTCCATACCCACTGGACGACCACTAACTACACCTTCTTACTGGCCAGCCACTAATCCATCAATCGACACTTCCATACCCACTGGACGACCACTAACTACACCTTCTTACTGGCCAGCCACTAATCCATCAGTCGTCACTTCCATGCCCACTGAACGACCACTAATTACACCTTACTGGCCAGGCACCCATCCATCAGTCGACACTTCCATACCCACTGGACGACCACTAATTACACGTAAGTGGCCGGCCACCACAGTCATCAACCCACCCCCAGTCTCCAACCCCATGTGTTGTTCCACTCATCAACCTAATGGATAACGTTGGAATCCTTAACCACTGTGCTGGTCTCTTCCCTCTCACACAAAAGCCTTTATTTACTGATCGATCTAATATCTCGGACGATTTTACCTCTCCTGGAATTTCGCTTTTTGATTTTGTCAACACAGGAGGTGGTGATGGCGACACCCGTGTGTCAGGTGACGGCAGTGTTGACACGCTGGCCTGGGGGTCCAGAGATCCTAGACAAGATCACTTTCCAGTAGATAACTTTGTCGTAGAACTCTCGCCCAGCCCTGTGAGACCTAGTGAAGTAGTCACTGGTAATCCTGTAGTCCTCCCCATCAGCACTTATCATAGTCAAAGCTTTGGTAAGAGCGGCTGGAGAGTCAGTAACTTTACAGTCAGCACTCAACAGCCTGGAGCCCAAACACTCGCTACACTGAGCAGAACAACCAATACCCTCCCCAAACACATCACTACACCCACACCACATACTGTTAAGAGAGTGGAGAGCTTGACTGAGCCCACTGTGCCTAACCTGAGCCTTGACCTAGCCACTGGCCCAGACAACCTTCACCATTTTGGACCCAGCTTACTGTGGCGCCAGGAGAGCATCAGGAGGCGCATCCTTCGCCAGACATCTCTCACATAAACACTCCAACATCAGTTTCCCGTCCCAACCCGCATTCATCCTCCGTCTAACACCTCCAGGATCAGTCTCCCTTCCAGTCTTCCTTCATCGTCCGTCTAACACGCCATACACAATTCTGATGGGTGTCTCGGACACACACAAACCCATCAGTGTGATCCAGGACACTTGAGACACAGGACACTGGAGACACAGGACACTACACCTATGATACACCGTGAGACTTTTGAGACTTCGAGGAGAGCCGGCCAGAGGTGCGGCTGACGACGTAATCAGCCGCTGATGAGGCCAGGTCATAACTTTCCCTCGCCTCGACTCCAACTTGTAACACCTTCCACACTTAACTCTAAGACCAAGTGCTGACTACTCAGGTCTCTCTACAGGAGTGTCCTCAGTGCTTCCTCCTGACCTTACAGCAACTTACATCCACCAGTGATTTATATAAGACTGACAATTGCTGTTATATATATATATATATATATATATATATATATATATATATATATATATATATATATATATATATATATATATATATATATATATATATATATAACTAGTATGCTTTAACCCACTACGCCATCAGACCTTACATAAGAAGTAGATAGTTCGAGATATATATCTCAAACATCTCTACCTCCCGAAGGCACCAGATGAGTGAGGGGTCAGTCTGCATTTTTCGTCAAGCCACTGTCAATGTGAGAGAACTCGTGTCCAGCTTATAAGCCTATACTTGCATAAACCACAAGTGAAGATAAACAATCTTTGGACAACACCCACCAGTGGGACTCGAACCCAGAAAGCACAACTACCTTCCAGTAGCTGGCATAACTAGTATGCTTTAACCCACTACGCCATCAGACCTTACATAAGAAGTAGATAGTTCGAGATATATATCTCAAACATCTCTACCTCCCGAAGGCACCAGATGAGTGAGGGGTCAGTCTGCATTTTTCGTCAAGCCACTGTCAATGTGAGATAACTCGTGTCCAGCTTATAAGCCTATACTTGCATAAACCACAAGTGAAGATAAACAATCTTTGGACAACACCCACCAGTGGGACTCGAACCCAGAAAGCACAACTACCTTCCAGTAGCTGGCATAACTAGTATGCTTTAACCCACTACGCCATCAGACCTTACATAAGAAGTAGATAGTTCGAGATATATATCTCAAACATCTCTACCTCCCGAAGGCACCAGATGAGTGAGGGGTCAGTCTGCATTTTTCGTCAAGCCACTGTCAATGTGAGAGAACTCGTGTCCAGCTTATAAGCCTATACTTGCATAAACCACAAGTGAAGATAAACAATCTTTGGACAACACCCACCAGTGGGACTCGAACCCAGAAAGCACAACTACCTTCCAGTAGCTGCCATAACTAGTATGCTTTAACCCACTACACCATCAGACCTTACAAAAGAAGTAGATAGTTCGAGATATATATCCCAAACATCTCTACTTCCCGAAGGCACCAGATGAGTGTGGGGTCAGTCTGCATTTTTCGTCAAGCCACTGTCAATGTGAGAGAACTCGTGTCCAGCTATATATATATATATATATATATATATATATATATATATATATATATATATATATATATATATATATATATATATATATATATATATATATATATATATATATATATATATATATATATATATATATATATATATATATATATATATATATATATATATATATCTATATATATATATATATATATATATATATATATATATATATATATATATATATATATATATATATATATATATATATATATATATATATATATATATATATATATATATATATATATATATATATATATATATATATATATATATATATATATATATATATATATATATATATATATATATATATATATATATATATATATATATATATATATATATATATATATATATATATATATATATATATATATATATATATATATATATATATATATATATATATATATATATATATATATATATATATATATCACTTGTTCCCTTGTAACTCACTTGTAACACTTATATGCTGTGCTTCCTATTTTAACCTGCTATGTTAAATGGGATTCTTGTATTGTGATTTGTGTATTTGTACTCACTGAATTTGTGCGCCCCTTGAGGGACTTGAAGTAAGGGAGTAGAAATAGCCTAAGCTACTCTATCCCTTTGAGATGTATTTTTGTATTGTCTCAATAAACATACTTGAACTTGAAGTGGACGTTAATGTTTTTTCAGCAACTTTATTTCCTTAGTTTCCGAGCTGTTTTCTTTACCGTGTATGTTGTAATAAACTATTCCTATATTTACAGTTGTTTCTCCCTGTGAAGATTATTAAACAATGGTGATTATAAGGGCGCGGAAGTTTAGCCTGGCCAGGGCCGCCAGCAGCCCTTGGGCCCGCCCCGGCAGCACCCAGTCTTTAATTTGGCACCTTTGTGGCACCTTTGTGGGACCTTGGTATAAGCCTAACATGTATATATACACACTGGATGCCTGTCCCCCCTACACAATGATTTATTATTACCTATTATTTTATCATTTAATTTAAATATTAAATAAAATAACTTATTTAATTATTATAGTAAGTACTTAATAATAAGTAGTAAGTACATAAAAATGATTAAAAAGTACAGTTTAGTCATAGGAGATTCCTAGATAGGAATTCACTACCAAATTTCAATATATCCAAATATTTTTAGTGTGAAATTCAGTTACTATATGCATAAATTGTTGTTTTAATAATATTACGCTTAACCACTTGGACTGGACGGTAGAGCGACGGTCTTGTTTCCTACAGGTCCGCGTTCAATCCCTGACCGCCCAAGAGGTTGGGCACCATTCCTTTCCCCCGTTCCATCTCAAATCCGTACCCTGACCCCTTCCGAGTGCTATATTGTTGTAATGGCTTGGCGCTTTCACTTGATAGTTTCCCCACCCCCCCTGAATAATATTACGAGAGCAGTATTTACGGGCTATTCATGCCCGTGCCACATCTTGGGTGGCTTAATCTTCATCAATCGAGAGCAGTACGTCCTAACCAGACATTATATGATGATATCCTAAACAGTTGATAAATAAAAGTAATTGCGGAACTCCAGTTATCTAATAATTATCATAAATGGTATAAAACCTTATCATAAGCCAAGGGATTTGTAGATCAGTGTTTAAAGGGAATTTGGAAGTAATAATAACACAGCTGATGCCATCTGTCGGCAGAAGAGAACACTATCAACTGGCTGGTCAACAGTGGCCATAAGGTACAGCTTACGCCATCTGTTGACATCAAATTACACTTATAACAAATTACCCCACAAAATACCACTAACGCCATCTAGTTTTTTTCCAACGCACTATAAATAGCCAAACAGCAACCCATAAGGTGGGTTGTTGTGCTCGGGTAGGAGGTTCCAAGCTCCGCCCACAAGTGGTATGAGGGTGCATAATCAATGGCATATCATTGGTAGAAACTCTTTGTTGACATTCACACAACAGCCAATCACAGAAAGGGATCAGCTAAAGGCTCCATCCACTTAATAAATCATCTTTATTCAGCACACCATCCTTGCTTATGACATTCTGCTTCAACTTTAATCTACCTAAAAAGTGAAATGTTAAGTATTTAAAAATATTAATATAGTGATAATTAAATACTGCAGGATGTAACGAGTGTTACAGAAACACGGGCTGGCTACCTAACTTGTGACGTCATCAGTGGGTGTTGCCTCACACAAATAACATCGGCGATACAATGCCTCCGTCCTCTTATTGGTCTACATTATTCAGTTAGATGGAAATTTCTGTCTTGTATAAAACAGAAATTGTTGTTCTTTTGTACAACAACAAGGTTATTGAGCAAAAGGACGTATTTCTTATTTTGCATTTTATTCATATAAGCGTTGGCATTCCCCGCAACAGCCAATCACAGGAAGGTATTTGTTGGAAACTCTACCTTCAACAAAGTTGATTCCTAATGAACTCTAACAATAAATTCGTTTAATAAACGAGTATTTAGGGTCAAGCTACAGATGAACATTATAGGATAACGGTGTTTTAGCTTGCAGCTTCGTTAGACAGAATCCCTGGTCTTAATTTTAAAAATAAAGAACTAAAAAGCGTATTTTATTGCTAACTTTTCGAGAAATAAATCCCAGTCGCATATTTGCCAACATTTATGCATTGATTTTTTGGCTTAAGTTCTTATCATAATCCCTTTTGCAATCTCAACACCATCTGGCTCGTATCTTGTAACTATCTTCGTTACTTAGCCTCAAAACCTTACATTTGTCTTACATATCCTCAACAGTAGATCAAAAAAAAGTAATTGCAGAATTCTAGTTACCTAATACCAGCTTGGTATAAAACCTTATTATAAGCTACCAGACGTATAGATCAGTGTTTAAAGTAATAATAATACATTATTATTAATGTAATAATATTATTAAAATAATAATAATACAGCTGATGCCATCTGTCGGCAGATAAGAACACTATCTTCTGGCTGGTCAACAGTGGCCATAAGATACAGCTTACGCCATCTGTTGACATCAAATTACACTTATAACAAATTACCCTACAAAATACAACTAGCGCCATCTCTTTTTTTTCCAACGCACTATAAATAGCCAAACAGCAACCCATAAGGCGGGTTGTTGTGCTCGGGTAGGAGGTTCCAAGCTCCGCCCACAAGTGGTATGAGGGTGCATAATAAATGGCATATCATTGGTAGATATTCTTTGTTGACATTCACACCACAGCCAATCACAGGAAGGGATCAGCAATAGGTGCCATCCACTTAGTAAATCATCTTAATTCAGCGCACCAGTCCTGCTTATGGAATTCTGCTCTAACTTTAATTTACCCAAAAAAGTGAAGTGTTAATTATTTAAAGTGTTAATAAAGTGATAATTAAATATTGCAGGATATAACAGATGTTATATAAAAATGGGCTGGCTACCTAACTTGTGACGTCATCAGTGGGGGTTGCCTCACACAAATAATGATACGCTGCTCTGCCCTCTTATTCGAGTAAATTATTCAATTAGATGGAGATTTCTGTCAGGTGCAAAACAGAAATGGTTGTTCTTTTTCACAACAACCTTGTTGTTGTGCACAAGGACTTATTTCTTAGTTTAAATTTTATTCATAAAAGAGTGTTGGTATTCCCCGCAACAGCCAATCACAGGAAGGTATTTCCGGAAGCTCCGCCTCCTTATGGACTCAACACATCGCTCTAGCTCATTACTCTCTGTTTTCATCTCTTGTATATACAAACTATGACTTTTTTCGATTACTGTTATAATTAATAATAGGCGATCTAAAAGTTTTTTACACAAAATGGCTAAATTCTGCCATTAAATGGACTGTGTCTGGTATACATACAAACATACACCAATTTATTACCATTCATCCATTATTAATTTCAAATGTAATGTATACTGTCTAGTTTATTCCTCTCGCCATTACTTGGTGCAATATTTGAAAGTTGTCTATTTATTTATCGATCTATCTATTATCTTGTATTTATATTTACAAGTTTCTGTGCTTGGAAGAAAACTCTGCATTGAATTGGGACTAATTTATTAAATAATATTATTTAGTATTAATTAATATTTACAATTATTATTAATTACAAATATTTATAGCTTAGATACTTTCATGTAATTCGCAATCGTACGTTCTTAACATTAATAGCCCAAATTAGCACATCTTGCTTTGAAATTAGCCCAAAAAGTAGCAAGTAGCGAAATTAATAATTTGGGAGCGCTGTGCCTCTCGATGTCGTGAGAATGTTAGCAATAGGCTCAGATAAAGAAATATTAATTTATGTTAACACTACCGCTAGTGAAATTAATAACTACTGTAATTAGTATATAATAATGATGTATTATAATACAATGGTAGTGTGTTACTGTTGGAAATTTCCAACAGTTTGGGCAAAATGTGACCCATCGCCGTTTTCAGTAATTAGCATATTTTCGGTATAAAAGGTCGTAATTGGAAAAATGAAAATAGGTGCAGAGAGTCAGAATTCGGCTCAAAATCACGCTCAGGAGTCAAATTTCCGACATTTGAGATATTTTGAAAACTGCAGGGGGGTTTGGGCAAAATATGACCCATCGCCGTTCTCAGTAATTAGCATATTTTCGGTATAAAAGGTCGTAATTTGAAAATGAGAATAGGTGCAGAGAGTCAGAATTCGGCTCGAAAATCACGCTCAGGAGTCAAATTTCCGACATTTCAGATATTTTGAAAACTGCAGGGGGGTTTGGGCAAAATGTGACCCATCGCCGTTTTCAGTAATTAGCATATTTTCGGTATAAAAGGTCGTAATTTGAAAATGAAAATAGGTGCAGAAAGTCAGAATTCGGCTCAAAAATCACGCTCAGGAATCAAATTTCCGACATTTGAGATATTTTGAAAACTGCAGGGGGGTTTGGGCAAAATGTGACCCATCGCCGTTTTCAGTAATTAGCAGATTTTCGGTATAAAAAGTCGTAATTTGAAAATGACAATAGGTGCAGAGTCAGAATTCGGCTCAAAAATCACACTCAGGAGTCAAATTTCCGATATTTCAGATATTTTCAAAACTGCAGGGGGGTTTGGTCAAAATAGGACCCATCGCCGTTTCAGTAATTAGCATATTTTCTGTATAAAAGGTCGAAATTTGAAAATGAAAATAGGTGCAGAGAGTCAGAATTCGGCTCAAAAATCACGCTTAGGAGTCAAATTTCCGACATTTCAGATATTTTGAAAACTGCAGGGGGGTTTGGGCAAAATATGACCCATTGCCGTTTTCAGTAATTAGCATATTTTCGGTATAAAAGGGCGTAATTTGAAAATGACAATAGGTGCAGAGAGTCAGAATTCGGCTCAAAAATCACACTCAGGAGTCAAATTTCCGATATTTCAGATATTTTCAAAACTGCAGGGGGGTTTGGTCAAAATAGGACCCATCGCCGTTTTCAGTAATTAGCATATTTTCTGTATAAAAGGTCGAAATTTGAAAAGGAAAATAGGTGCAGAGAGTCAGAATTCGGCTCAAAAATCACGCTTAGGAGTCAAATTTCCGACATTTCAGATATTTTGAAAACTGCAGGGGGGTTTGAGCAAAATATAACCCATTGCCGTTTTCAGTAATTAGCATATTTTCGGTATAAAAGGGCGTAATTTGAAAATGAAAATAGGTGCAGAGAGTCAGAATTCGGCTCAAAAATCACGCTCAGGAGTCAAATTTCCGACATTTCAGATATTTTGAAAACTGCAGGGGGGTTGTAATAGGAGTGCCTCCACTCCCGTCAAGCACAACTAGATGAGTACATCTCCAGAATGCAGCCTGCATCAGCTGTCTAACTTCCAGGTATACCTGTTTACTGTTAGTTCAACAGAGGCATCAAGTGAAAGAAATTCGGCCCATTTGTTTCCTTCTCGGTCGGGAATCGAACCCGGTTCCGTGGACTGCGAATCTTAAACATTGTCCACTCGACCGCGAGACCCTTCATGTCCCTATTTTTGTTTATATAGTTTACAGTTAGAATACTAACAGTTGAGAGATTCATTACCTGCTGCCACTTACTATTAGTAGCGATATCTTAACTTAATCCTGACAATTACAATGTCACACTGTCTAGTGATTGTGTTGTGCTGTCCGTACAGCCGTACATATAATAAATAAAATAAATGTTTATTTAGGTAAGGTACATACATACAAGAGATTTTACAAAAATTGATAGATTTATAGATAGAGCTAGTACATACAATGCCTAAAGCCACTATTACGCAAAGCGTTTCGGGCAGGAAAAACATTAAAGACTAAAACTTAATACTACTTAATATAATGACTAATATAGTCACACTCTGATTTGTTACACCGATAAGAAGAACTAAACAACTCGGTAATTCTGAACGAAAACTTGTGGACTTGTTCGGTACAAATACAGATATTCGATTTGACGATAAAGCTGAAGCTCACACAACAATATAATCTATGCATTTACACAAAGGATCCCCAGACTGTCCCTAGTTAAGATATGGTGGCTGGATAGGGTAAGAGTGGAGGTGGAGGCGAGGGAGGAAGTATTGTGAGGAATGAGACATTGTGGGAAAGAGTGAAGGACGAGGGTGAGTAGGTCAGCTGCTTGAAGGTGATCCCTCCAGCTCCTGCCTCCTCTGGGACACGCGCCACCTTCAGGACACACGCCTCCTGCAGGGGCACACACGCCTCCTTCAGGACAGCACATCTCCTCCAACGCGCTCCCAGAGATACATACTGAGAAATTAAACAAGGTAGAGACCGTATAATATGTAGATAGCATGTGATATTTGGTGTGCAGGGCTGGGCTGGTTATCAGAGCCAGGTATGCAAGACTGCACGAGATATGCAATAGTATCAACGAGGTTTCAACACACTGTATTTGCACTCTAAATAATTAAAACTAAATTGTAACAAATTAACTGTCAAAAGTGATCTGGGAGCATGAGGTGGGTGGACTAGTTATGGAGTGAGGAATGTGTGAGGAACAAGGACAAGGCTGACCTACATACCTGCACTTCACACCAGGACAGACACGTGTCATGTGTAAGCTTAAGTATTTGGCTGGAGTGGTAGCAGTTTAGTACATTGTTATGAGTACTGCAGGAGTAGGACAGTGCTATTGGTAGTAGTTCATGTGTGGAATAATTTAATTTGTTTTTTCAGCAAGATTTTAACATTTTACTCTTTAGTTGGGATTGCAGAAATTATCTCCTGTTGGTGTTTGTGCTGCTCGCAGGTAGAGTGTAACTGAGTGTACAGTGAATGAATCGTCAAATACAGTTAATGTATTTGAAATTAAAACACTATTAATACCAGGAACTATACTTTAAAATTTACTGAAATATATATATTTTTCAATAAATATGCAGTGTAATTACATGCAATAAATAAAACTGAAGTTGTGGGAGAATGTGAACTTTCAGGAAATGGAATATTCCATGAGCAACATAAGTACAGTATGTGTGTATCGTGGCCTCTACTCTTAATTTAGGTACAGCATTTACGTCTGTTCTCATGGTGTGGTATATACACAGATATAGATCCGTCTTGCCCATTATGTAAACATAGGTTACATACTATTGTACTGCCAGTCGCGGTGCATATCCTGACACCATCAGACTGTTTAAACATCAGACAAATGAAAGGAGAGCCACTAGATCTTTAAGTTGCAAATTATCTGTTATGCACGTACTGTTAGAAACACTAACTCTCTTGCTAAACTGTTGCAGTTTATATGAAATTCCAGGATAATAAGGCATGCATTTATTTCTGCATGCAAAGAAGGTCTAAACTCTTTAAGTTAGGGCCAACTCCTTCAGGGTACCAAGAGAGAGATGGGCACTGAAGCACACAGTAATAATCAATGATATACCGTACCTGTATATAAACTTGTCAAGTTACAGTGATGGAGTAATTTATGAGACAGTCATGGTGCAGTGAGCCATATGGTCAGGCTTGTGGCAGTCTCTTGTCGAATGGAGAATGTTGAGCAGATGCGATGAATCTGGTGAAAGAAGTGATTTCTAGTTGGATTGACCTCTGACTTGCTTAGCTGTTGATTGATTGATGAAGATTGAGCCGCCCCTAGAGTTGGCAAGGGCTTGAGTAGCCAGTAAGGATTAGCTGTGTGTTTGGCTGCTTTATATAGTCAGCCAAAGCTGTAGCCAGATTAATGGTGCTTCCAAATTGGCTGCCAGCTGAGCAGGAAATAGTTGTTTGAACTGAGGAGTAGTTATATACTGTGGAAGCTGCTGTTCAAGACGCTACAAATGTCATAGTAAACTGTCATGGCATTGTCATAGTAAACTATGTAGATTTCATTGCTTATGTGCAGAGGCAAATCCCAGGTTTCACTCTTCAGAGTTCATTCAGTTAATACTGATTTAAGAATTAATTTTTAATGAAGGACAACAACAAAAATACACACACAATGGGCAATTTTTAAATGAAGATTAATATTTATGTACAATTTCTTGGGAAGTACCATAACTGTTTGTTTTATTGGGAAAATAAATAAACAATTTTCTTGGCACCTAGACTGAAGTTGGTTATGGTAGGGAATGCCAGTTTTTTGTGATGTGACCATAGCCAACTTAAGCAGCAAAATGGTTAAGTAGTACAGTACTGTACTACTTAATCATTTATCTGTAATCATATTAAGCCCTACTTTATATTTTTTGAGGAGCTTTATATTTATATCAGGAGCACAATTTATTTTAATAAGTGTTTGTTCTCATTTCTCTGTAGTACTGTATAAGTCTCAGAAACACTACAAAATGGCAGTTGACGATGATGGAGATGTGCTGCCAGATCGTGATGCAGCTAAAGGATTTTATGCTAAATATGAGCCAAAGGAAATTCTTGGGCGAGGAGGTTGTTCTGTTGTTCGTCGCTGCATTGGTATGTATAATTCTTTATTAAGCATTATCATAGCATTATAGTTAACAAGGCACATCCATAATAGACTAGAATGTAATTGGTTGCCATATGCAGATGATCATTCTTCTCTAAAAAATATTTTATTTATTATAACAATAACTTTCTTTGCAGAAAAGGAAACTGGCCAACAGTTTGCTGCCAAAATTATTGATCTGAGCGACTCCTCTGATGAGGGTGTGTATGAAGCCACTATTCGGGAAATAGATGTATTGCGCATGGTAGCAGGGCATCCATATATAAGTAAGTACATGTTAAATAATATGCTGTACTGTATTAAGAGAGTAGAGGTAATATTTTTAGCACCTGGTAATCTCTGATGCTTGGAGAATTCAGTACATTTGTATGTGTGTTACTATTTATTTGATCTTTCTAAATGGGTACCTTTTAGTTTTTACTTAATTATGTGGTACATTTCTTTAAAAAAAAAAAAAAATGTGATGCAAGATATCTGGAGATTTACATGTTTTAACTTGAAACTCTCAACAATTATTATGCTACTGGATAAACCTATAAATCTTGATTGCAAACAATATCCTAGAAAGTTTTACGTTGGATTTTCTGAGCAAGGCTTCCCTTGATTACTGTTGTGAGTCAGGGCCATGGGTCCACCTAAAGTAATGCTAACACACCAAGCTCTGGGCCACTTTGTTCAACTGAGACATCTAACTTTTTAAATTGCCTTGTCCTGTTGTACAGAGGTGTTGTACACTAGATAACATTCCTCAATCCACTAAAGAACATGAAACTTTGGTGATACCAAAGAACATATCAAACCACCAAATGATCATTGAAACCACTAAGACCACAAATTACAGTACCACACTGAAGATGCAGAATTAGCAACTTCCCAACACTGACCATCACAAGATGTAAGCAATAGCTAGTACATTCAGGTCGGAGGAGGTAGCATTTCATATTTTGTGCCTTGTATCAATCATGCAAAGCTCTTAAGTTCTGCAGAGGCTGTTTCAGTGAAGCTGACAGGTTTTTCTTAGAAGCTTAGGTTTTGTATTCAGAGTTTCATGCCTTGGTTTTCATTTCACGGAATGGTTCGAAGTCATTGTGAATTTTAATACCCTCAGCATAGTCTGACTCCTTTTGAGTTGGGCCACTGCCTTGGTGGGGGGGCTTTTGGGATTTTGTATCTAGATCAAAGTCTTGATGCTGGTTTTGTTTACCAACACTACAGATATGTAGTCTTATTGGTTTAATTATGTGCTAACCTTAGATAGCCAGATTTTTCACATGTGCTCACGTGAATGATTTTGATTTTCTGGGAAAGTTCTTCTGTATCTCCTAGAGCTACCCACCCGGAATCCTCCAGATCCATGTACCACACCAGGCTCTAATGAACAATGAATGATCTTGAATGTTTACCATAGACTAGGAACAGAATCTGGCCACCTCAGTAGAGGCATAACAAAATGTGAAAGCAAGATAACCTTACTGAAGGAAAAATCCACCAGACAGGTAGAGTGTACCGAAATAAGCAACTGCTTGGATAACGTTTGCAACCTGATCTGAACAATGTACTCATATTGTTCAGGTGCATCTTCTAGTTGGCTCCACTTCCTTCCTGCCAGATGACAGCCCAGGCAACCTGAGGAACCTGGACAGCAACAACAGTCATTTATGCACTTGCTGTGCTTGTCTGCTGTCCTCTTGTTGTCTCCTAACTGTGCAAACCCTTACCTTTTCAGCTAAGTGTTGTCCATTCCTTGAATTCTGTTGTGTGCTTGGTCTTTTACTGATTTTTACTGTTTCATTTGTGTGTTTTGTTACTTGTCTCGGCTGCATGTGGTCAGAGTTGGCTTCTCTTGTTGTCACTGGTGTTGCCCCTGTCCTCAGTCAAGGTCATCTTCCTGTGAGAGGGTTCAGGAGTCTGCCACCTGGGGTTACCTCTCGAGGGGCTTCTTCATGAGTAGTGTATGGGCTTTGGCTCCTATTGGACTCTGTGGTTGGGGTGGGTGGAAGTTTGTTTCTGTTGGTACATTGTGTGTAATTGGCAAGTCTAATTACCTAAGTGTAGTTACAGGACGAGAGCTACACTGGTAGTGTCCCGTCTTCCCAGTACTCTTTGTTGTTTAACGCTTTGAAACTACCGACGGTTTTGGCCTCCACCACCTTCTCACTTAGCTTGTTCCAACCGTCTACCACTCTTTTTTGCAAAAGAAAACTTTCTAATGTTTTCTCGGCACCTTTGTTTCCTTAGCTTGAATCTGTGTCCTCATGTTCATGACGTTTCTGGTTTCAGGAATTCCTCTTTGTCAATTTAGTCGATTCCTGTTAGTATTTTGTAAGTGGTGATTATATCACCTCTTTTCTGGGGGGAGCCCCTTCAGCTCCCCGGAGCTATCCAGGCTGATATGAATATCATTAGACTTTGGCATCAGTCAGCGTGAATGGAGTTCAGCATCTTCATTGTTGTTGGTGCCTCTCATTATTTGAGTATCTGGTGGAATTCTTGGCTGTGCCCCTGGGCCCTTCTCTTTTCCTGATGTCAGGCCTTGGGGAGCCTGTAAGGAGGCCCACAGTAGTGCCCATGCCTTTTTAAGCATGGGCACTACTTTTTAAGTCCTGTGGACTACAAACACCTTGAGTGTTCTGCATTTTTACTCTGGGGCCTCCTCAGAAGGCATTTCTAGAGACCTGCTGGTTTGTGGATTTGCCTCCCCTTTGTTGGGCATCTTGTTTGCTCACGAAGACAAAAAAAGTCTTCTGGAAAAAATGGAAAATGGCATCACACAAGGCTCTGTCCTAGGACTGATGCTGTTCCTAGTCTATGTAAGTAACCAACCCAAGATATTTAGTTCATGTGTGTCAGTATTTGCTTATTACACAAAACAAATAAGTAGAACCTGTGAAGTGCTGTAGTGTGTTGCAGGAAGACCTTAAATTCCAAGAGTGGGCACTTAAATGATTGTTGAAGTAATTGTGGGAAGCCGGCAGCAGGTGTAAGGAAATGTGTCCAAACATATCTGTCCTGTGCAGTAATGAGACCCAGGAATTTCCAGTTGTGAGCTGACTGCATGTGATGCTTAATCAGCACCTTCGCTTTTCAAACAGGAATTTTACAAGTTAATATCTTGGCTTTCACAACACTGTACTGTATGAGTTGCCAGCACTTTGTTAGGTGTATATATAAACTATGAAGATTGGTACAATATATGAAATTGATGTTGTATTATCTTCTTTTTTCAGTTGAACTTCATGACGTATTCGAATCATCAACATTCATATTTTTAGTGTTTGAACTTTGTGAGCATGGCGAGCTGTTTGATCACCTTACAACAGTGGTTACTCTCTCTGAGAAGAAAACCAAGTAGGTATCTGCAAAATTATTCTTTCTCATTTACACATTCAAACACTTAGTTTTCGTAACTACCTAATGTAACCTAACCTTGCCTCGAGCCTGGCTAGGACTTGGATCACATAGGTACCTGAATGTGGCCATTGACCTGGATGTCCTTTCCCCAAATGTGTACACAAGTATGAATAATGTATAATGCAGTGGAAAGTCACTTGAAAACACATTCATACTGGATTCTCATTACCCAGTGAACTTCACTGGGTTAATTTTTTTAACAACAATTACAGTACAGTATTATAATGCATTTTTTAATAAACAGAAATATGTACAAAAATGCTATTTTCTGGATCTAATACAGTACTCTGGCATTAAAACTTATAAATTTCAGGTATCAGTATTTTATGATCAAGAGTTACTTGTACAGTAAAGTACTTTAAATATTATGTAAGTTGGTGTTACATACAAGTCAATGGTTCTTAACACTGAAATAATTCTTTTCATGATAGTTATGTATTGGCAATGTACAATTTTTTAATTCTTACTCCTCAGGCTAATCATGCGACAACTGTTTGAAGCACTCGCTCATGTTCACGGGAAGGGCATTGTGCATCGAGACCTTAAGCCTGAGAATATTCTTTTAGATGACAACTACAATATCAAGCTCACTGATTTTGGCTTTGCAAAAGTACTGCAACCAGGAGAAACATTAACAGGTATGTTGCATTAACAGTTTATCTGCAGTGCTTTGTAGGTTTATCCCCCACATTATTCTTGAGACTTTAGACCTGCATGTACAGAGGCGCTATCATGGTGATCAAGGTAGTTTTGTAGTATGAAATTTTCCTTATAATATGTTTGTTTAAAAGGATAAAGAGTCCTTTAGTCCTGGTGCCGTTTATGATTTGTATCTTAATTTAGACAAGCACTGAAAATTAAGTTAAAACTGTCTTCGCTCGGTAATCTGAATCATGTGGGGCCCAACCCCATTTAAATTAACCAAACATTTGACTTGGCTGAATTTCTTACCAGGCATTTCCAAACATGATCAAATTGTTTTTTGTACCACAATGAACATAATTCATATTTCCACAGGCAAACTCCTGCCGTTTACTCAAAAACGATGTGTATTTCATAATACACATCGTTTTAACGATGTGCTTTATAAAACGATACACATCGTTTTAACCCAAGTGATGTGTGTGTTTTTATGCTCAAAACAAATTTTAACTCAAATTCTTTTTCTGGTTAAAAAGTCAAGAACTCGAATGAAAATGTATTGGTCGAGTTACAGAAGTTTGGATTACCGAGCTCTTACAGTATCAAGAACAATTGCTTTGCTTTTCAACTGTACTGTACAGTGTACTAGGTTCTTCTGATTACTTTGGCTAGCAATTTCTTTGCTTTATATTTAACTCTTCCGAAGAAAGTTATTATGTATATTTAACTTTTACCCCAAGAGTAATGAAGTTTGTCTATTTTTGTCATTTTTAACCAGAATATGGGTTTGTTTTGGGGCACTTGCCTTTCTGGGTGCCTGTCCCGGTCGATGGCAGATATAGAATGCTCCAAAATCACACATGCATTACTATAGGCTATTGCTCCTCGTGCCTCTCTGAGGGGGGCCAGGTTCTGACTCATGGTCAACCGTTAGGCCTAGAACTTCACCCACATCGACTGGTGCCAAAGTTAGGGATACAGTAATTATATCAGCCTGGATAGCTCCAGGGAGCCTCCGGGACTCGCCCAGAAAATGGCGTTTCATTATATTCAACGCTGGTTTTTTCAGTATTCCTCCAGTAGATGAGGGATATGTATGATGGAGAAAACCTCTTGATATGAAATACGTATTGTATTGCTTTAAGAGGCATTATTGTGAGAGTGGTGATGAGGTTTGCAGATGTAGTGAAAATATAGAGACAAATACAGTAATAGTAAAAGGAAAAGAAAATTGATAAAGAAATTCATTGTTTAAATGTTGAAAATAGCTTTGAACAAGTATGTGTAAATGATGTGTTATATAGTATCTGGACAAGAGGAACTTCCAGTCTGTGATATGTTTTGTTTAGGACCACATTTTGATGAATATTTTACATAACTATTACACAGAAATATTAAAAGTCCCATAAAGTTTATTTCTCAATCTGAGTGTTGTTGCTTTCTTAATTCTATTATGTTGTAAAATTTTAGGTTGTGTTTATATTATAGTACTGCAATGAAACGTTACTGAGGATATAATGTTTAGAATGTAGCTGAAGTAAAGAGGTGTACAGCAGTCTAAATCAAACTTATATTTTTGGCATTAAATTAGTTACATTTAGTTTCCAGTTTGAAATGTGATATATATAGGAATGATAAGAAGACAATTTAAAGAACTAATATAAAGTCATTCTTTAGTTGTATTTCCTAACAATTAATTTGGTATTTCTAGAAAAGTAGGAGTGGCCAGTGACAAATGAGTGCCTGAAAAAAAGAATTGTTTTGAGTTTGCTGGATGGGTGATTATCTTCAGGTAAAAGGATATCATTCATTTTGGAATGATTTCTTCATGGGTGGGTAGGAACATCAGGCCTTACATGAGATTGCAGTGTGAGAGGATGGACTCCTGAGATTCATCTTGAACATTTCCTCCATTAACAGTTATGCTTACCACGGTCAGCATTTTGAAGGTCCCATAGTTCACGTCCATACAAGCTTAGACATTGACTGTTAAATAACTTTACTTTTGACCAGGTATCAAGATAACTAAATTCGCTCATAATGACATTTGTCTGACTTGCAGGCCTCTAATACTATAGCATCAGAAAAATGGACAAGTGGCATTTTGAAGAAATAATGTCCCAGATTCTTTTCAAAAGACCTTATCAGAATATCTCTGCCTAGTAGTTTTAGTTTGGAATCAATATAAAATGAATCCCATGAGTTAAAGGGGACTACAGTACCTACCTTTGCCAGGATTGAATGTTGAGTTGTATTCTGCACAATATCTTTCACATATTAAGTTTTCCATGGCATGTTTAGTTCGTGCAAGTAGAACTCGATCATCAGCATAACATTACTAATTGCCTTAGTACTGCCTATGCAACAGCCAGCTTGAATGGCTCTTAACTTTCTTAAAAATGGATCAATGTAGCATATAATATGGGACTAAAACATCTCCATGATTGGCCCTATTTTTTAGTGAGAAATTTTCAGAGAGGACCTTACTTCATTTCACATTTAATTTGTACACCTGATATGAATGTATAAATATCTAACAATGACAGGGCATACTTTTCTGTTAAAAAATTCTCTAAAATGTTTGGTGTGTTCAACTTTGTCAAATGCTTTGGAAACCTCAATAAACAGAGTAGCCCATACATCACATCACATGTAGTAATCACAGTACTACAACTGTGAGTTGTAGTACTGAATAGTTTCTGCTACCGTGAAACTACAATGTTATTGAGTAGCCAGTTTTGTGTACAAATTGAAAGTCAGAAGTATCCAGTTCATCAGCTAGACACTCAATGACTATATCATATTCTTTGTTTAAAGTGGGTTTATGCACACACTTCTCAGGTTGTCCATCTCTACTGCTCTACCTGTTGATTTTTCGCGTTCATACTACAGTACTGTATATCATCTCTGCTGATCTCCCACTTTCTTCTCCACACCCGCTCAACGTTACCTTCACAAATACTATATAAGCAAGTCATTCCCATTTGTTTCATCATAAATACATAAATGAATACAAATAAAAATAGAAGGAATATGTTTATAATTGGGGGGGGATATATAGATTGAGCAGTACTAATGATTATGGCATGAATGATCTCATTGTTTTCCCAAGAATTCAGGAATATTTACCTCTGAAAATACTATACTGTATTAAGCAAATGCACTATATCTATAGTATATCTATATCTATACATGTCCTGGAAATACAGCCGGGTTCGTTTTCAACTCGCAATCGAGAATTCTGGGTTCGAATCCCGGACAGAAATGGTTGGGCGCATTTCTTATTACCTAATGCCCCTATCCACCTAGCAGTAAATAGGTACCCAGTAGTTAGCTTGTTGTGGGGTTGCATCCTGGGGAGGGTCAGTAATTAACCCTGCAGGAGGGCCTCAATATAAGCCTAACATCAGCTGTCTGTATAAACTGGTTGCCTGTCTCCGACACAGTGAATTATTATTGTTAATTATTATTATCTTGCTGATGATGCTAAGCTACGAGGGAAGATAAGAGACCTACATGATTGGCATGTTCTTCATGATGATGACCTTGCCAAAATAAGTGTATGGAGCAACAATTGGCAAATAGAATTCAATATGAATAAATGCCATGTTATGGAATGTGGAATTGGAGAAAATAGGCCACACACGACCTTCAAACTAAGTGGAAAAGCATTAAAGAACTCTGACAAAGAAAGAGATCTATGGGGTGGATCTGGATAGTAGACTGTCACCAGAGGACCACATAAAGGACATGGTGTAAGGAGCATAGACTACACTTTCCAACTTTAGACTCACTTTTAAATGCATGGATGTTCACAATCCATGAATGAAATGGATTCACAACTTCACAATGGAAAAAAAACCAGCGTTGAATGTAATGAAACGCCATTTTCTGGGTGAGACCCGGAGGCTCCCCGGAGCTTTACCGGCTGATATGCTAATGTCAGACTTTGGCATCAGTCATGTGTATGGAGTTCTAGGGCCTACCGGGGACCACGAGCCAGAACCTGGCCCCCTCAGAGAGGCAAGGGGAGCAATGGCCTATAGAAACCCCCGTGTGGTTGGAAGCATTCTATGTCTGCCATCGACCGGGTCAAGCATCCAGAAAGGTAAGCATTCCAAAACAAACCCCTATTCTGGTGAAAATTGCTACCTAAGCCGAACTAGTGGATAGAACTCTTCAACAGAAAACAAGGGAACTAGTATGACGTCATACATCACCGCGCCGCTGTCTGCGCAGCTCCCCCCTCCCCAGGAGGGGGAAGGGGGAGCCCCAGACCCAACTGGTGGGTGTTGTCCAAAGATTGTTTATCTTCACTTGTGGTTTATGCAAGTATAGGCTTATAAGCTGGACACGAGTTCTCTCACATTGACAGTGGCTTGACGAAATATATATATATATATATATATATATATATATATTTGTTGTTATTTTTCTATTTTTAGTTACAGGTCATTGTTATGTCAAGCGTAATTTATTGTCACAAAGTGTGTGTAGATGTGATGTTTAGCAGGTAACCCCGAGACTGTTGTGGGAGGCAAGAGGCACCGGGTTGAGGTAGGAGTCATACCCAGTGTACAGGCACAGTAGGTGCCTAGGCCACGGCCCACTGCACCCTCTTCCTTACCCAGTGTACAGGCGCACTAGGTGCCTACACCACGCCCACTGCACCCTCCTCCTTACCCAGTGTACAGGCGCACTAGGTGCCTACACCACGCCCACTGCACCCTTCACTTTAACCAGTGTACAGGCGCACTAGGTGCCTACACCACATCCACTGCACCCTCCTCCTTACCCAGTGTACAGGCGCACTAGGTGCCTACACCACGCCCACTGCACCCTTCACTTTAACCAGTGTACAGGCGCACTAGGTGCCTACACATCCACTGCACCCTCCTCCTTACCCAGTGTACAGGCGCACTAGGTGCCTACACCACACCCTTCACTTTACCCCAGTGTACAGGCACACTAGGTGCCTACACCACACCCTCTGCACCCTGGTCATGCTAAAGCCGTCTCTGCAGTATGACCTCACTCTAAGCTTCAGTGTGTTAGCCGCGAGTTCAGCATTCAAGCCAAAGTTTTAATATGAAATGTTTCTAATTTATAAAGTAATGTAACACTGTAGTTGCAAAATGCCCTTCCACGTGTTCTAATAATTCTTCTCTCACATTTTCAGGACGTTAACACAGGTGAAGAGGTCATCAGTGAGCATGTGTGTGACCTTGACACTCACACTGAGGTGAAGAGCGCGCGTGCGTGACCCAGGCAGGTGGTGGCGGCCAGCTGGGGTCGCCCCGGCCAGCTGGGGTCGCCCCGGCCAGCTGGGGTCGCCCCGGCCAGCTGGGGTCGCCCCGGCCGCTCCTGTACCGCGCCAAAACATCTCCGTTACTCTCACGTGACACTGTTGTTCTCCATGCAGAACAATATGACACATAACTGCACTATGAAATCACGGAGAAAGACATTTTGTTATATATTTTTCGCCGACTGGCTTTGTTACTTGTGTACACCTATGGAATGTGCTCTCCAGAACTGTTAAGACAAGGGGCTGTTCTAATTAACATTGGCCGCCAAGTGTTTCTTGATGCGGGACCCTGGGAGAAGGAGTCCGAGACCCGTGGGGTCCCTGGAACACTTATGGGAGTCCCCCTGGCGCCCCGGGGCCTTCCGGTCACTCAGTGCCCATGAAAGTGTTGGTAGTGATGGTTGAGGCTCCCACGGGGCCACGGGCCGGTCTTTGGTGACCTGTTACAGCGAGTTTCCAAGTCATCCGCAACTGTTTATTTGTTGCCCCAGAGTTCACCCCCACAAGTGTTCTGCCTGGAGCGTGTTCAGCCCTGAGCGTGTTCAACCCTGAGCGTGTTCAACCCTGAGCGTGTTCAGCCCTGAGCGTGTTCAGCCCTGAGCGTGTTCAGCCCTGAGCGTGTTCAGCCCTGAGCGTGTTCAGCCCTGAACGTGTTCAACCCTGAGCGTGTTCTGTCTAGTGCGTGTTCAGCCCTGAGCGTGTTCATCCATGAATATGTTCAGATGTTAACAATAATGTATTGTTACCAGCTGTCAAATGTGCCCCTGATAATTATGTATATTATTGTTGATTTAACAACATTTTCTTGTTAATCCCCCGGCCAATTAAATTAAATATTCCCAAGAATTAGAATATAAGAAACTGCAATACACTGAAAGTGAGGCCTTCTCAGCCCCGAGCTGTGAGCGTCGTCACTGGTGCGGGACAAGCTACTGCTGCAGTACAGGTCCCCTACGTGTACACACATACAGTGCCAGTAGTTACATCACCAGTATTACACATAAGGTAATTACCTGGTAATTCAGGTAAATAAGATACTTCAAATTTTGTCAACTTTCACACACACATACATGACGGCTTATTCTTTAGTGTCATATTCCAACACTTCAATACATACTGCCTCGTCTCTTCACGTTTCCTCACACTAATCAGTTTGTTGTAAGTAGTCTAAAGTTTGGGTTCAATTCGCTAAATCAGAACGACTTCATCGTGATTCCCGGCGTCAGATCCAGGAGGCGACGGGGTCGGATCCTGCCACACAATGTGACCTTCATATCCATGTCAAGAGGCAGACGTGCCTATAGTGACCTTGGTAATCACAAACTGTGTTCACTTACCCTGGTGGAGAGTTCTGGCCCATGGATATTGATGTACAAGTCTGATGCAAGTACATCGACCTTAATTAGTGAGGGTTCAAGCCCCGTGACTGAGAAGGGAATCACATGTGGAAAGTTGAGTCAATTGAAAGTGAATCACATTGTATAAATACTTATACGTATTTTCTCACTCCATTTATCTCCAAATAGAACCAAATGTGTAAATACCTACAACAAGTGTCTGAGCAGCTGAGACAAAGCTGCAGTACACAAGTCAGATATTGTGTCTATGCCAAAGACGGTAACGGAGACTTACCTTTTCTTCTCCATCTCCGTCCAACCACTTGGGTTGGACGGTAGAGCGACGGTCTCGCTTCATGCAGGTCGGCGTTCAATCCCCGACTGTCCAAGTGGTTGGGCACCATTCCTTCCCAAATCCTCATACTGACCCCTCCAAGTTCTATATTAATGGCTAGGCGCTTTCCACTGATAATTCCCTTCCCCCCCTCTCCGAAGTTTGGTGACTGACGCCTGAAATCAACACTCCTGAACCCTTGGTGACCCCACTGTACCTCCCCCCCCCCCCCTCCCCCCCCCCCCCCCCCCCCCCCCCCCCCCCTCCCTCTCCCCCCCCCCCCCCCTCTCTCTCTCTCTCCCCCCCCCCCCCCCCTCCCCTCCCCCCCCTCCCTCTCTCTCTCTCTCTCCCCCCCCCCCCCCCCCCCCCCCCCCCCCCCCCCCCCCCCCCCCCCCCCCTCCCCCCCCCTCTCTCTCTCTCTCTCTCTCTCTCTCTCTCTCTCTCTCTCTCTCTCTCTCTCTCTCTCTCTCTCTCTCTCTCTCTCTCTCTCTCTCTCTCCCTCCCTTTCTCTCCCTCTCTCCCTCCCTCTCTCACACACACATACATTCCTCGTACATCACATATATTCACCCACACAAAACTGAACTGTACTCATTGTTATGTACACATTGCTGTCTTCTCGCAGCATAATGTTATTGTTGATATATAATACAATCTCAGCCCATGTCAATACCAACTGTTATTTCTACTTTAAACCTTTATAACCAGCCACTATATTAAGCGTATGACTCTACTTATAAGCAAATGGTTTGATTTAAGTTTACACATCATCTAGTGTTGTCTAGAATATAACTTCCGGATTGTTTACATTGTTATTCAGGAGACCAAGACTGTTTGACGGCCGCCAGATGTCGCCTTCGTCACTGTCAGGCCTGTCTCTCTCTCACTTTATATACACTACTTTAAAACTATGATTATGTATATTATGTATATATTATATATCTTATATATGTATTATATATTTGATAAACGTCCACGGTTTGTTAGGAACTGCTTATCCAGGGCGAGGCTGCGTCCAGGAGCTACAACACACCACACATTATTTAAGACAAACAGTCCAGCTCTCTTGAGAAAAATGTAACATAAAAAGATGTATTTGCTGCTCCAGCTTTACTAAACTGGAAACGGTAAAACTTGTTCATATTCCATGTTCAAAATATATTAAGACCATTACCACAGCAGTTTGAAATCCCTTATACTGTGCCGCCAACTATAATTAAAGTTGTTAATGATGCATTTTGGTGTTTGTAAAAAGATTTTCTTATTTTAAGCCATATAGTGTATTTTAGTTTTGATGTATTATGTACCAAGTTAGTTTCAATAACTCAACAGATACACATAATAGGAAGGTTACTCAGCTGCTCTTTAAGACATGATTACACTCTCTCAGCAGGAACTGTAACATCTGTCTGGCTCGGTCACACTGGCACCAGGGTTGCAAGGGGCTCTTTAAGCAGTCGCTGCTCGGTCACACTGGCACCAGGGTTGCAAGGGGCTCTTTAAGCAGTCGCTGCTCGGTCACATTGGCACCAGAGTTGCAAGGGGCTCTTTAAGCAGTCGCTGCTCGCGGTCACATTGGCACCAGAGTTGCAAGGGCTCTTTAAGCAGTCGCTGCTCGGTCACACTGGCACCAGGGTTGCAAGGGGCTCTTTAAGCAGTCGCTGCTCGGTCACACTGGCACCAGGGTTGCAAGGGGCTCTTTAAGCAGTCGCTGCTCGGTCACACTGGCACCAGGGTTGCAAGGGGCTCTTTAAGCAGTCGCTGCTCGGTCACATTGGCACCAGAGTTGCAAGGGCTCTTTAAGCAGTTGCTGCTCGGTCACATTGGCACCAGAGTTGCAAGGGCTCTTTAAGCAGTCGCTGCTCGGTCACACTGGCACCAGGGTTGCAAAGGGCTCTTTAAGCAGTCGCTGCTCGCGGTCACATTAGCATCAGGGAATACGAGAAAACCATCAAGCAGGAATGACTACAAAGAAGTTCTTTGTGACATATGACAAAACTAGAATCTTTATTCAAAACCATTCATACAAATTACAGTAATTGCTGAGCTATATAGGTTGGAGCAGACTAAGTAAAACTTACATTTTGCCATAAACTGAGTAACATTAAGCTTACAATTTCACAGGTGATGTATATTCGTAAAATAATGTGTAGTTTACCAATACAGCAGCAAGAAATATTGGCATTTGAAGAAAATAAACAAATCATACCACTAAGCTATATAAATTTGCACATCCCTACATTTGACAGCAAATTCTGAGACTATTGTGTATCAGTCACTCAACACCCAGCTCATGTAACACAAATCTGCCTACTTCAAAAGGACTGAGTGAGTGCCTGTCAACAAGCCATAAAAAGATTTCTCGTCCTAGCAGTCGTCAACTTGATCACCATTCACCTGTAGACTATGCCGACATGCTGCTTCAGCAATATGCAAGCACTGTCCGTATAAGCAGCCTGCCTCTAGATGTACAACACCATCTGGCTAGTACCAAAATAAATCGTAACTTTAATATTGAAATTGCCTGTAGTGAAATAGCCTGATGATAACTATGGCATAACCCCCTTTGAAATTAAAAATGTACTCAAGAAAGGTAAGGCTACCTCTCCTGGAGAGGATGGCATCACATACAACACCATGAGAGTACTTGCTGAGCTGCCAAATAGCCCTTTGCTAGAATTGTTTAATCAAAGTCTAAGGCAGGGTGTCTTACCTGACCGCTGGACACGGACTAATAATACCCATACCCTAGTTCACAAAAATTCATACTCATTTCTCTGACGTCGTGCATGTGTAAAGTTCTTGAGAGGATTATCCTCGACAGACTAATGTTTCAAATCAAGCCCCACCTTGCCCCTAACCTGTATGGTTTCCTTCCTGGAAGAAGCACACAAACTTGCTTTGCTAAATATTTTATCAGAGAGGGACCAAACTCTCAGGCGGCATTTATTGATCTCCAAACTGTTTTTGATACAGCAAACAGAGAAATAATCTTAGAACAAGTCTCTTACAGTCTCCGTGGTGTAGTGGTAAGACACTTGCCTGGCGTTCCGCGAGCGCTATGTCATGGGTTCGTATCCTGGCCGGGGAGGATTTACTGGGCGCAATTCCTTAACTGTAGCCTCTGTTTAACGCAACAGTAAAATGTGTACTTGGATGAAAAGAAACGATTCTTCGCGGCGGGGATCGTATTCCAGGGACCATAGGATTAAGGACTTGCCCGAAACGCTACGCGTACTAGTGGCTGTACAAGAATGTAACAACTCTTGTATATATCTCAAAAAAACAAAAACAAAAAAAACTAGCCTCTTTTGGAGTTAAGGGAAGACTGTTGACATGGCTCAGGGGTTACCTGAGTAACAGAACCGCCTCAGTCCTTTTCAAGGGGTCAAAAGTAAACTTTGTGCACCCTTTGAGTTGGGTACACCCCAGGGTGTACCCAACAATTACAATTACAATTGTTACTTACAATTAGCAATTACAATTGTTACTTAACCTATTATAGGTATAGGTTAGGTAACAATTGTAATTACGAAGCAATAAGATGCTTACCTTAACATACTAAGTAGGTTAGGTAAGGTCGGTGTTTTCTATGAAGCTTTTCAAGGGAAACTATTATGTTAAGTATGTCACCTATGCACATGTTTAATAAGTCAATATTGACTTATTAGTTGCGTGCATAGGTGACATACTAAACATAATAGTTTCCCTTGAAAAGCTTCATAGAAAACACCGACCTTACCTAACCTACTTAGTATGTTAAAATAAGCATCTTATAGCTTCGTAATTACAATTGTTACTTAACCTATTATAGGTATAGGTTAGGTAACAATTGTAATTATGAAGCAATAAGATGCTTACCTTAACATACTAAGTAGGTTAGGTAAGGTCGGTGTTTTCTATGAAGCTTTTCAAGGGAAACTATTATGTTAAGTATGTCACCTATGCACATGTTTAATAAGTCAATATTGACTTATTAAATTTGCGAGAACGGGTTGCCTTTGTATGGATACCACCACATATAAATATAACCCATCATAATTAGACAGACATTGCAGCCAAATTAGCGTGTAACAAAGATGAAGTTGAATTAGATCTAGGTATCCCTATCTCTAATGTCAAAACTATATTGGTCCAAACACTCACGTCAGATAGGAAAGAAATTACTGATTCCCAACGACCTGAAAGCACTAGTATAAAAAGCTATTTGTTCAGATCTGAAACCTATATCTATGGGCAGCACAAAACGTCGACCAGACTGTGCAACACAGTGATTGCAAGGATCAGGTTGGGTCACCGTTACTTGTGGCAGGTGGCTGCAGGTGACGGATCTTCCAATCCTGAGCACTCCAGGTGCCAACTCTGTGAGCAGGAACTGCGGCATGATCTCCCGCACTACATCACCGAATGCCCAGTTATTAGACCTTTCAGACCAGTTGTCATGAGGAACCTGGAGCTTTGCAATTACTTTATTCACTCTCGTGTTCTTGAAGATATCCCCTCATATTGCACTAAAAATTTGGTAGTGCAGACTACTAAACATATGGCCCTGTATAACTAACCATCCTGCGAGATGGGGACTTTTAGTATCACTGCTACCTTATTCACTCGTATTGATGATAGCCTCATAATGCACCCGGAGTCTACCAGTGCAGACTGGTTATCACATGCCTCTGTATGACTTAACCATCCTGTGAGATTGGGATTTTTTAGCATCACATAGCTAGCTATTTGACACTGTACCCCCCTTCATATAGTCTAGGGCAGCTGCACAAATGCAGATGTACCTATTATATTAATACAAAAAATTGAGACAGTAGGACAGCCAAGGAGTTCTCACGTGATCAACCAGTTGGCTAACCTTGTAAGCTACCCTGGCTGCTGCCCAGTGACACCACCTTCACACATGGTTCCTTTCGGCAAGCCTTGCAAATAACTGAAAAATAAATTTAAAAATCCCACATAGAACACAGAGTGGATGTAGCATTAGCGTACCATCATCAGACGGACATTCCTGGAGCTGAGGACACCCACAGATGCTAGCGTGAGTATAACGTGCTGGTAGTGGTAGTACCACTTGCCAAGAGCCACACACTGATGGTGAAGGTTATCAAGCAATAAAAGTGTGATTGGACTTCAAACTCTCTTACTCTGGATGTGGATCAAGTCATAGTTGAGAAGGCAGAGAAAAACACTTGCACATTAAAATTAAAATCATGAGAACACACCTACAAATGTAGCC